TAATCCCTATCCAAACAAATACGTGATGAATATTACAACATTGAAAGACCCAAATCACTTCAAGATAGACTTTGACAATTATAATTTTTTTTGGATTTCTCCAGGATCCCATCATCAAATCTTGATGATTACAGGACCATTCGGGAAGTCTACCCTTTCGAACAAAAAAAAAGAAAAAGAATTATCAGAATCGGTTCTAGCATTCTCGAGAAATCGGTAAACATACATAGATAAAAAATTATGGTATAATTCATAACTTCCTTTTTTGAAGTCGGTTAAAAAGCGTGATTTTGGTACCTTCAATAGCTCCTTAACATTCTCTATTATTCAAAAATATTTTCACTTTCTACGTAAATGAAGATGCGCGTAAAAATTAGCGTTATGCCAAAGTAAAGTAAATTAAACAACAAGTAATGTAGATGTAGTCGTCGTGGCCTAACGGATAAGACGTCCGGTGCATTCGTGTTGAAGCGATGCACCGGTGTTCGAATCCCGCAGGCGGGTACCAATTTTTCTAATGAAATACGTACTCAACAAATGTTCACGATTGACTTCCACGGTGAGGGAATAACATCGTGTAATAAAAATGAAACCCGCAAAATTATAATTTGCATAATTACTGGTGGTAGGACCTCTTGTGAGTCCGCGCGGGTGGGTACCACCACCCTGCCTATTTCTGCCGTGAAGCAGTAATGCGTTTCGGTTTGAAGGGTAGGGCAGCCGTTGTAACTATACTTGAGACCTTAGAACTTATATCTCAAGGTGGGTGGCGCATTTACGTTGTAGATGTCTATGGGCTCCAGTAACCACTTAACACCAGGTGCGCTGTGAGTTCGTCCACCCATCTAAGCAATAAAAAAAAAACTATTGCACGCTGACGAAGTCGCGAGCAAAAGCTAGTGCTTAATATTATTTGAAGTAATTTTATTCGTTGTTAAACTTGAGATGCCTGTAACCTTTTGCAGAGTTTTTTTTTATGATTGAGGGTTTACTGGTGGCCCGGAGGCCTTCTCAGTTTCACAAGGACAGGTGGGCGAGCAAGGGCTCAACCACGGGACGGGATTTGCTAACAGCTACCGAGCGCCTCCAAGGGTAACCTAACAACTCAATTGTAGCTACTTCGCGAATGAATCTACTACCGGATCGGAATCGCGAACCGCTGAGAAGATCCGGCGAGAAACTCAACGGGCTGATCTTTAGGTTGGGTTGCACGTCGAATTCTTTGCCGAGTTCGACGAGTACGGTTACCGGGGTCCTATTGTTAGAGTTGAAGGCGTCTAATGCAAAGATTATTGTATCTGATGGATCCGTAAGGACGTGTCTAGGGCGTCGACGGTGACTGGCTCCTGCGTGCTTTTGCAGAGCTCTGTCATATCTATAGATCAAGTCTTCAAATGGGTACATAGTAATAAATTTGTATTTGTAATGTCATGTTATATTATTTTGTATAATAAAAACTAAAATAAAAACATTTCAATAAATATAATAAATCTGTTTTCAGTGACAACGATGATCCGGTATTTTGGTTGTTTCGTTTATCATATCTTTGGTACTCGGGATTGGGATGCGCTGCAACCCTGGTAGCTGGCCTGGCAGTATCGATCATCACTGGAGTGACAGATCCAGCCAACGTCCCTATAGATCTAATATCACCACCAGTAATCACTTGCCTAAATTCGCTGCCAAACACACTGAAGGTATCTGTGTATTGACACTATATTGAGATAAAACCGCTGCAGTGCTGGGGAAACGTTTACTAAAGCTATAATTCTTTTTATGATATGTTTGTGTTTCATGATACGCCTGAAAGAAGGCTTTTGCTTTTAAATTTCATTGAAAAACCAGCACTTTCTAACTATAGGTAATTTTATTAAATATACTAATTTGAACTGTTCATATTTTTTTTCAAAAATAGTGTGGTACGGTACACTATTTTTCTCATTATAAGTACATTTTTAAAGTTTGTTGTTTTGTAGGTTTTTTTTAATTTCCTAAAATTTACCCCCAGCCTGAATAAATTGAAGCCTTGATTGATTTTAGGAGCAGCTCTTTAGGGCCATTTTATTTACCTTACAGAAATTTAAATGTTCTGGCATACGTAAATGTATCAAGAACGTATAATTATATAAGCAATTTAACATATCATATGTTTCACGACTTATATAGGTTTTGAGAACTATATCGAATTTTAGAAGTAGGTAAGGGCGGCATTATTTGAATAGGCTACTAGCGGCAAATGTGTAAATCCGCCACTGCCAAAAACATTAAGGCTTCAACTCAAGTCGTTGGTGACATACAAAATTTGGTGTCAATGAGCTTTGATAAAAACCCAGTAGTGACATTGACCATAAGCGCAACTACTCATAAAAACGAATGAAAAAAAAAACATAAATCCTTTGCAGAGAGCGTTACGTGTACCTTTGCGTGTTGAATCTCAAAGGCGACGTAGTTCGAGTGTTCGACCTCCAACCATGGGCGATGATAAAGATACAAGACGCCGTCGCAGATTATCCGAGTTGGCGGGTGGAGTGTTCTACAGTGACGCACCAACACTCACCCACGGCCACGAAAACTACGCTTTAGACTTGGAGAATCCATCGCCAGATGAACATAAACAGGCTATGATTAAACTAGAAGATAGTGATGGATTTAATACACAATCATCTGTATGTTAATTCATAATTGTAGCTATAGGTACTACTTAACGAGAAAAAATTAAGTACCCATTTTTGTAAATAAATAAAAAATTAGTTTATTTTAAAATTAAGACATTATTCTGTTGTTAATAGCTGTGCCAATTTTCAATTAAACATTTTATTAACATTCGTTATTTGTACTTAGTGCCTTGGAAAATTTGAACTGATAATTTTTATAGCTTCCGTGGCTAATCTATAAACAAACAAACAAATCAAATACTACTCGTAGTAACAATCTTATCTAGGAAACAGTTACGATGTCGTAAAATTAAACACAATATTAAATCTGTTTTACTTGTATTTTCATAGGTTATCAAACGAACAAACGCATTTTCAATAATAGCTTGTAATTGGTTGGGTTATATATATTTAACGGGTCGCTAATTGTGAGCATCCTGACCTCCTCCTCCTCCTTGCATCGGTTTCCTCATTACTGAGGGTCGTGGTCATGGCCTTGAAACAGTTTGTTTTTTATAGTGCACCGCCATCTGTTCCTATCTGCAGCTGAGTGCAGAGCATCGTGTACTGTGGTATCCAGGGCTGCACGAATCTGGTCCGTCCAACGGGTCGGGTTCCTGCCTCTTGGTCGCTTGCCCTCGACCTTTCCAGTGACCACCAATTTCTCCAAGTTGTCACTGTCTTTCCTGACCACATCACCCGAAATACCCCCATAAATGATCTGCATAAAATCTCCATAACCCGATCTCGGACTTACAACCCCTCATTAATAATAATGTGTGTAAGTATGTGCCTTTTTTTTTTTTTTGGTCAGGAGGAAATCGCCGGACTTCCGCCCTTTTCTGGGGATACTGGGCGGGGTATGTCAGAGTCGAACTGACTAAAACCTCCTGTCGCTCAACAACCAACGTCCAAACCTCGCATGAGACAGAACTCATGACAAGGCAAAGGGGGGAAAGTGAAGCGTTTAGTGCGGAGCACATCTCTCCCATCACCCNAAATCGCCGGACTTCCGCCCTTTTCTGGGGATACTGGGCGGGGTATGTCAGAGTCGAACTGACTAAAACCTCCTGTCGCTCAACAACCAACGTCCAAACCTCGCATGAGACAGAACTCATGACAAGGCAAAGGGGGGAAAGTGAAGCGTTTAGTGCGGAGCACATCTCTCCCATCACCCTCCCCCTCGGGACGCCGGACTGGGGGTCGTCGGCGCCACGACCACCAGCCCTCTCGGTCGGCAGACTGTCCGAAGCCCGCCTAGATGGCGCCGAGTAATTTTTGAGGTTGAGGAAAAATGGCTTTGTGCGTTTTAATTTTTTTAAGTCTTTAAATTCGCGCATCATTAATCAGGTTGTGTCTTAGCGTTAGTTTTTGGCTTGAACCATAAAAGCACGATGGACGACATGTAAACCTCTTTTGCTTGTACTAGTTTTAATGAAGTGTGGATAAGTATTGTATCTTTTTTCCCTGCCTAACAGCGGGTAGCTTTAGGGGCTATTCGAGCTAGGCACGGTTTGGTGTGTGAGCTCACCGGACTCAAGCTGGGTGACTGTGATAACATTAACCATAGCAAGAGCAGTGCTTCGTTGAAATCAACACCTAAACAATCGCGACCTACTGAGAAGATCCGGCGAGAAACACAGTGAGTTTTGGGCAACGGGCTAGGTTGCACATCGAACTCTTTTTTGCATTCGACGTGTTCAACGAGATCAATGAACGGTGCTTGGGGTAACCAAAATACCGAGAGTAGATCGGGAGGATCCGATAAGTTGAGCTTAGTGCGACGGCAGCTTTGCGTTGCTCCGTCGTCTGTGTCAGATGTAATTCGAGACAGCCATGATAAGAGGATGAACGTGCCTCGCCACTTTCTCGAAGAAATATTGAACCAACCGTTTCATGTGTCATAGATAGTTTAATAAAATATTATATTAACTATTATATTAATAAAATATTATCACTTAATTCTTTTCGTCCGCTGCCAAATCAACTGTAAGGTGATGTGAAACACTTACGGGACAAGAGCCTCACGATATTCTTCATCCCATTGTCGGGATTCCGTGTAGAAAAGGAATTATCTCAAGCATCGTCGCATCTTTCTATGAGATGGTGGGCTCGCTGCGTTCAGCAATTACTATATAATTCAATATTCTAGATTTCGTACAAAATCAGGAGTCAATTTGCAGTCAGTCAAGCAGTCAAGTCAATATTGCAAGATAGTTGTAATGCTTTAGCGAATATTCGTACAATTTCGAGGAGATATAGGGTTTTGAGAATGGAAAAGACTTGTCAATAATACTTTTTTTACCTTAATTCTAATAAATATAAAACTCAATGAAACCATTGGAATGTTTGCATTATGTTTAATTCTCATTTTTATTAAATAATCAATAATGGTAAGGCAAAAAACATAATATATTAAGACATTAAGCCTTGAGGTTCCCTTTTACTATCATCTATCTATTAAGATACAATTTGTAACAATACATTGGCAAATTAAAATGTCTAGCATTCTTTGAACATTTCATCAATTTTATAAAATAAATGTCATTTAAGGCCAGTAAGTGAATTCTGCTTAAAATACGTAACATAAATAAACTAACAATTTTTCATGATAATAAGTCTTGCTTTTGGTGTAATGATTGTTGCTGGTGAATTTCTTGTATAGTTGAAACGGGAAGTGTAGCACTAACTGTTATAGAAGGCATACCTGGTAATGAGACAGGTGTTACAACTGATACTCCTGTTGAAATTGGAGGTGGTTGTATTGGTGTTGCAGCAAAATTGCTCATGTCAAATGTAGGTACTAGATTTGGTGCAGTTGTAGGGAAAGCAGCTGGAGTCACAGAAGCCTGAGACTGACTATAATTTGGCATCATTGGTATGTATGGCTGAGGCTGATTCATCGGCATACCAGGCAGACTGGGCAGTGGTGCTGGAGGCTGCATACTAGATACTGATGGTATGCTTCCAAGTTGTGTCAATGTTGCATCTGCAAAATCTTCAGACAAGATTTCATCTTAATAAAGTATCTTTTATAATAAAAACAAACAATATGAAAATTTAATTACTTACTACTAGAATATGCAGCCATGTTAGATACCATAGACTGTGCAGAGGAGGATGGTGACTGTTGGGTTGGCTGCTCTACAATGTTTTCGATAGAGTTTTGCTGTGGATACTGCAAATATTGTTCATTAAACTTATTCGGAGATGGGAAATTTCCAGGGGTAACCATTGGTACTCCGGTCAAAAATGGTGGAGGGGGATTCTGTTGTTCCCCTTCAGCATTCGTGTTAATAACAGGGCTGGCTTTCTCATCATTTACAGTTAGTTTTTGGTTTTGAGATACTGTATTTTGTGGAATATAAGTTTGTTGAGACACCTGAAAGACAACATTATTATTATTAACAACAACAGTTTTTCTTTCAATTGCAATTTTTTTCAAACTAGAGATTTCTACATTATTATTAAGTTCCAATAAAAAATTAGTACATATAAAGCTAGAAATTCATACTCAAAAAATATGATAGTAAATTAATTATTTATTTTAAATATTCACATACAATGGATCCCCAGTAATCTGGCCCTTGTCTAATCTGGCACCCTTTATATTGACTCCAATATTTTTTGAGAATTTTCGCTAATATAGATAATGCATGATTGAACAGGTTACAAATTGTATGTGCCACCAATATTGTTCTAGACATGTAGGTATCTTTTTGATTCTAATTGCTTAATTTGAATTTGAATTGTATATGATAGTGGTGAAGCCTAGATCGCGTTCATTATTTAATGTGTACTAGCTGACCCGGCAGACTTCAGACAGAAATTGTTGGATCAGAAGTTACACTTGTAAACAAAAATGTAGATTATAAGGGTTCTTAGGCAGTCAAAATAAGCCGACAAATTTATTAGTTCGACACTGGCCTACAAAACGTTTATCAGATTACCAGGAGTCCGCTGTATTAAAAAGTTTTACTGAAATAATTTATTTATAAATTTTTACCTGCTTTACATGAAATAATTGATTTCTCATAGTTTAGCATAATCATATAAAAGAAATTAAATCAAAATTTAAAGTAAAAAAACATTACATACCATTCCTGGATTGTACAGTTGCTGTGGAGAGTTAGTAGGAGGACTATGCCTTATGGGAATTCTATGCAAGTAGCCATACCCTATGCCACATCCCAAGCTACCATCCCCTCCCCAGTTATGGTTTGGTGTTATGAGAACCTCACGACATGTATCATCATTTGCATTATATACATACAACTTTAGAGCTCTTCCTTCATGAGCCTCTATGAGAGTGAATAAGTCTTCACTTTCATGCAAAATAGAATCTGAACCTATTATATAATCAGAGAATGGTCTAAGGCCAGCTAGTTCTGCTGGAGATGACGGATGTACTTCCTGAAAAACAATATTAAGCATCCAAATTGTTACAATTCATTTACCAATTAAATTGTTGAAATGGATTTTTTGATTGATATGTTACACTTACCAATACATGCCACACATTTTCATTGGCGCCTTCGAAGGAGCAAAATCTGATACTAACACCAAGCAATCCTTGGCCACCCCAGTTAGCACTTGGTGTGATCATTACCTCTCTTACTGATTGTGTCTTACTGCTGTATATAAGCATTTTGATAGGTTTATCAACGTTGTTTTTTAACAATTCTTTTAACGTGTCATTGTCTTGGTCTAATCTGGTAGTCTCAATTGCTAAAATGAAGTCAAAAAATGCTTCAAGATTAGCTTTTTGGCCGGGTGAACCCTCTTGAACCTATAATAATAAATAATATAATGATTGGCGTGTAAATAATACTCTTACGAACCAGAGTAATTAAAGTAATATCGTTAAAAAACAAACCCGTAAAACATGATATCCCTCAGTTCCACCTCCAGGAACTTCAGTGCTGTGTGAGGAGCCCATTGAGATCCGTATATCAGTTAGTTATTATACGAGGGATGTTTGGATATAGTTATACTGGCCTCAAGTTATTTGTCTATTTCAAAATATAATAAACACCCTAACTTTATCGTCTATCGTTCAGTTCAATTTTGGTTTTGCTTTTTGACATTGACTGCTGGTTTTGACGTGGCACTATGCACCGGTGTATAATTCTGTGTTATCTATGCCCAAAGGTATAAAATCAGTGCAATTCACAACCAATCACAGATCTTGATGTATACATAATAACAATTTTGATTGGATCATGTGACACAGCTGTTTAAGGGCTTGCCACAAATTACTAATCTGTGCTACAAAATCAATAGCTTATTGGGACTTTTTGACGGGAACGCGTGGAGTGAAGTTATGTGATTTGTTTTATTTTGCCTATTTAGTGTTTCTTCAGGTTTAAATGTGTAATAGCGGTGGTTTATCAACTGTTTAGTGTCTGTGAAAGCGCACAAATATGGGAAAATGAAACAACGCCGCTGAAGGTAATTTCTCGGGATCCTCCAAAAAGTCCACTGAAAAAATCTCAGTAAATGACCATTTTACTGAGATTATATTTCATCCCTTAACATTTCATTCATTTTAATCAACCTCATTTCATTTCATTCATATCATTTTTCATTTATAAAAGTTTTCAATAAAATTAAAATAAGACTTGACTTAAAGGTCTTAGTTACCAGGTCATAAAATGTCTTAAAAATAAAATAAAAATACATAGTATCGCATAGATTATACACTTTTAATAGGTACCGGTAAAATGGGGCGATTAGGGACAAATTCCAACTTTATGACCAATTTTAAGGTAGTTGTTGATGTATATAATGCTATATCAGGATCAAAATGATTGAGTCTTGGGGGCATCTTTGTTGTCCAATTGACAACTATGCAACTAGCATTCCAGTTTAAGCAAAAAAAGCAAAAATAGGTGTAATCCCTATTTACCCGGAAATTGCGGTTAATTGGGACGAAATGAGAAATTTGCTAGGGTGGGCACTACTTGGTTTTAATTAATTTATTTATTTAGTTGCACCAACAAAGTGATCATCAATAAAAAACATTGAAAAACTGACACTCTGAACAAATATTAAATATTTTATTATGTATTACTTAGACATTAATCCACCTTGAGATTTCATTGTTCTTATTACATGTCTGTGCAAAATTGACTTACTTATATTAAATTGCTTAGCTATTTCAACTAAAGACTTATTCAGACTTAGATAATATCTCTTATAAGGCTTTGCACTCTTTGATACGTACACGCGAGGCATATCTAAAAATAGAAAACAATACGTAACTGATAATATAAATATTTACCAAACAATAAAATAACAGATTGATAATTTTGAATAAAAGTTCTAGACAAAAACATCATGAATAAACCAGATTTTTACCAACAAATTTAAAAAATATTGTTATAACTACATAGACAACCCTAGAAACCTGTACCTATTTATACTTAGGCCGTTTCCATTTCACGTATTCTCATCCCAATTGACCCCTTTTTCGTTGTTATTTGTACCTAAGACGTCCCCAATATCCCCAAAAACAACAGATTTTTACATGTATTTTTATTTAATCAAATACATTAAAACCAATAACAACTGAGACTTACCTTTAATATATATGCTGGTTCAAACACTAAATAACGTTTATAAATCATAGTCGTCTTCTATTATTATCAAATAAATAAAAGAGAGCAAAGTTTCTAGCACTGAAATAATTACCACTACAGAAAGTTAATTTGAAACGCGATTTTTTATAAGTTAGCAGCTATTATCATGCATATTCAGAGTTTTTTTGTAAACTTTCAACATTCTACTATTAAACTACAAAAAATGGAAGATTTTGCAACGAATTTATAAATAATATTGAGTGTCGAAAGATTTTCCCGGTTTTTTCCCGATTCGCCTCTCAATCCCTAATCGCCCCATTTTACGGTACCTATTGCATGTAAATGTTTGGTCAAAATTCGTTTATATAATGTTTGGTTTATATATAATATAATTTTAACTTTAAAATTACTCTGAGATATTGGTTAATTTAGAACAAGTATTTAAATAAAAAAATATGTAAGTGTGCAAAGCAAATGATCATGATTTGTACAATAATTCACAATAATAATGTTTTAAAGGCACTTTTCATAAAATTATAGTACACTGTTTTTTTTCAGATGCTTGCACAAGATAAAATTAGATTAATTACATAGGTGCATGCAAAAAAGAATCATTAGAACGTTAATCACAAACTTTGGAAACGCTTGTGTTTGGAAAGTCTTCTTTTATCTACAGAAATGTCTGAGTGGAAGCATCTAATAACTGAATGGCTGAATGAATACACATCTTTGCAAGAAAATGAAGTTCAAAGTTTTGCAGCAGAACATGAACATAATCATGAAATTGCTACAGCCATCTTTAATTTGTTTTACTGTGAAGATGAAACTGTAACATATAATTGTGAACTCGAAAATGACGCTCAGCTTGTACAGGTAATTGTTCATCGGTATTGCAATTTGATGATGACATAGAAATATGGGTAATATGCATATTTAACCAATAGAAGTGGATATAAAAAAAAATTACAAAATTAAAAAAATATTATTTAAATGATTGATCGTTTAAATAAAACCAGTGTAAATATAGGTAAATGCACATAGCTCTTATGACTACTCTATAACTATATGATGTTTTCTGCATATTTTTGTATAAAAACTGTTCAATTCTTACCTTGTTAATAGAAACGTGAATTTAAAGTAGTGCAATAAAAATAATGCTATCCTTTATCTATTAATAACTCCATAGAACCTGACTGCACACTCAAAATTTTAAAGTGTGTAGCATTTGTAACAGTACATTCTTAAAATAATAAAATCAAACCCAAAATGTTTTTATTCCAGCAGGTCTTTGCTACAGGTGCTTTGAAATAGTCATACTTTCACTGGCTTGCATCCAAGTTTCACTGCTGACAGAATTGAAAACTTCTTTTGTTAAACTTCAAACTTCCTTTGTTAAAATATATAAATTCCAATATCAAATAAAAAAATACAAAAGTTTGAAATGAAATCCTATTTGTAAAAATTATGTAAATTTGGTAAAATTCTCAGTACGAAAAATAGCTTTGTCTTATTTCATAAATGTTATTGTTACAGATATTAGAGAACGTTTGTACACAACTATTTAGCTTCTATAGATCAAAAGAAATACAACTTCAAAGATTTACGTTACAATTCATTCCCACTCTTATATATAATTATTTGAGCTCTGTGGCACAAGGTAAAAAAAAAACATATAGGTGCATAGAAACATTGCTAATTGGTAAGTCAAATTTTTTTTTGTGAAATCACAATTACTGGCTATCAAATCAAAACATTTGTAGTGATTGTTTTTCAGGCATATACAACTTTGAAGTTGTAGATGAAAATGGAAAACCGAAGGTTGTGTCATTCAGACTTCCATCTTTAGCTCAATCATCAATATATCATGAGGTGAATAATTTATTTGTTATATTATGATGATTTTGTGTAAAGTCTGCTACATATAAATAAAGGAAAAATTGAAAAATGTATACTATATGCTGATTTAATTACATCTAAAACTCCTGTAATCTGAAAAAAATACTCAGTACTTTTCACATGATGAATCTAAAATGTTATTGCATACTAAAATGTAATTTTCTTAAATCTATTTCAGCCTCTTTCTTTAGGGGCTCAGTTTTTGACTGAAAGTGCACTGCGTAGATGGGAAGAATGTAATACAAAATTGGTAAATTGGGGCCCGTTGCCACAAGTCGATGTCATCAATGCTCAGAATAGATTGAAAATTGTATCAGCACTTTTATTTGTATACAATCGCCAACTGAGTCTTCTACCTAAACTTTCTTTACGACATTTATGCATTGCAGCTTCAAGGTATTTCAGAAATTTGTATTGTACATGATTGAAAACATTTTATACTAACTTTTTTTGTATTTCTAGAATTGTGACCCATGGTTTTGAAAAAAAGCAAGGAAATGATTCAAAACGTGTTCCAAGAATAGCAGTATCTCCTAGTTTCTTACTAGAGTTGATTGCAGGTGCATACTTTGCTATGTTTAATGAATTCTATACTCTTGCCTTGCAAGCAGTGAAGGATGTCGATCAGAGAGCTCAATATGAATTATTCCCTGAGGTGATGATTGTAACTAGTGCTGTGATAAATTCACTGAAGAATAATGCTTCTGGTACGTAGTATTATACAAAATATCAAATAACTTTAATGCTTTCACAAACTTCTGCTTTCACAAAAAAACTTCTGACATCACATTAAAAACCTCAATTACGATACCTAACCTTTAACTAGTAGGAATTTATTAGTTACTACATTATTGTAGATGCTATATTTCTCTGACACAGTCAAGTCTAGCTTTGCTAAGTTTATCGATGCTATGTACCCTATTACTGTTAATACATTTTTAATTTAATAATTTGAAAACTTTACAGGACAACCATTTGATGGGCCAATGGGTATTAGTGTTGCATTGTCACCAGCAACTACAACGGTTACCATGTCCAAATCTATGATAACAAATGCATCATTCCGCACTAAGAAATTGCCAGGTGAGAACTTAACATCACCAAGAGAAAATCTGTTCATTATTATATACAATAATTGAATAGTTGGAACCAATACGTAAGTGTCTTAAGGTAGCGTCAGAACGCTACTTCTAAAAAGCGGCGCGACATGATAGCCCTCTTATCGTAGCCGCCTAATCACATATCCGACCCAGGCGACGTGGCAAGGCAAAGCCAGCCTCGCGCGAACTATTTCTTGTCGGATCCCTCGGATCTACACTAGGTACTTTTAGGCTCTTCAAAAGTTGGACGAGCGAACTAACCCCCATAGACACAGCCTAATAAGAAACTTCTTAAGTAATCAAAAATTCATCATGAATTATGTATTTTTTATGCACAAAGTTATTTGCCCAATAAGACTACAGTACTGTCATGGCTTTTTTTACTGTGTACCAAATTGGCTCCTTTAAAAACAATAAAGCAATTATTAGTGTCTCAGTAATCTATATAAATTGCATCTTAATTTTTGTTTCTTGTCTCTTTTTGATTGCATAGAACAAGCTCGCTGCCTGTCGCTAAGTTGTTATCAAAGCCTGAAAATGAAATAATTTCGCCACGTACCTTTGGACAAAACGTCCTAGTCTTTAATTATATGAGGGCTGTTTCACCCTTTAAACCGAAACTCATGATTAAGTGTAGTCTTGCAGTGGCGCGTCTTGCTTTTTAGGCTTTGTATTTCATCCTAAATTTGAAACTCGTATGATATCATTTGTGGATTAAAGCCAGCAATATATTTGTAAAATAAGATCACAAAAAAATTACCATATAAATCATAAATGATTGATTACAATTTTTTTTTTGTTTTTATCCAAAACAAATATTATAATAGAGGTAAAAACTATATTATTTTGCAATATATTTTGCTCATTATTTTTAATTTCATTATTTTGACTTGTTTGTATGCAGATGAATCAAAATATTTGCTGCCAAATACTTGTACATGAGAAAATTAAACAATTTGGAACACAGTGCATGGACAAGCGTATCTAATTATTATTTTTCCTTCATGTAACAAATATCAACTTTGTTTTCGACAAATTTAACGAAAATCATTCACAATAAACCTTACTGACTTTTAAAAATCACAAATATATATAGGGTACTAAAGTATTTGTAGACATAGCAAACCATAAGAAAGGTTTATTTGAATATTTATGTCACACTGCACCCTAAACACGTCACAAGAAAAGAAAAAAAAAGAAAATTTAGATAATACATACTTTAATCAAACTTTATTATTGATCATGACTTTTGCACTTGCAACACATCGAGATTTGAAAGCATCCCTTATATTATTATTTATTGTCGTTCAGTTCCAACACAGGCGGATTATCCGTAAGGCAAACTAGGCACGTGTAGTTACAAGGGGCGAGCGAGCTCAGAATTTTAAACAAATAAAGAAAATAACATATCGACGATTAAGAACTAAATGCTGATCTATAATCTAAATCTATAATAGATTATACCTATTTGGCCTATTTCCCAGAGCAGAGAGGAATCATGAATTTCGATGCTCGTTCTGTCGTCCCTATTGATTTCTTCACCGTCATATTTCATTCGCGCATTAGCGTAAGTACAAGAGTCCTGGTCTACTAAAGTCTAGGGTTTGGTGATACAACGTCATCGTAATTGCAAAAACAACTAGTTAAAATTTCTAGTATTATGATGGCCATTTATGGCCGGTACAGGGGCGCCGATAAAGTGATTGCCTAAGGCGCTCTGGGCCTTTAATCCGCCACTGAGTACCAAACAATAATTTATACACCATTGTAATAAACTTACAGATCGAATGGATGCTTAATCATAGAAATGACAAACTCATATTGTATTTAATAATTTCAGTCCTAACAGGTATGCAGTATCTTTGTGAATACCAATTGTCACTTATTTAATAGATAAACACAGCTCAGCACGTGTCACGTTCAAGTAGCAATTACCTTATTATTTAGTAGAACGTGCGGCTTAAAACAAAATTATACTTTCAGACGATATTCCAATACAAGCCGGACAAGCGACAACAGCCGAGTCCACCGACGTGCTGACTTCAATTACCGAGGAAGGCGAATCGGAAACTGCTCCGATACAACGCGGCATAATTGCTCGAAATTCGAAAGCCAAACTAGCTTCTTTCCCAGTATTAGGCAAAAAAACAAAGGATACTAAAGATAAGGGTAACGAAAAGAAAGTGATACTGAAGGAATCCTCAAAAGGCATATGGAATTCTCTCAGTGGAGGCAGTGGAGACATGGTGGACGGCTTACAAAAAACAGCAGATAGCTCTGTTGAAACCAATGGAACCTCAAAGGATGAAAAGATATCTATGACATCAGTACATAATAGTTCAGAAAACTCGGACACGCGTTCACATATTACACCAGACTCATTAGATATTGATACTACTCCACGCTTTGCAGCCATGCAAGTTAGTTCGGTGTAATTTGAGTAAACCAATCCGCTGGTAATTATTAAAGGGTTGTATTAAGTTTGGTTAAAATTGTTATTGTTATGCTCATTTTAATATAACTTTATTATCAAACTGTGATTAAAGGGAGATTTCTGGCAATGTCAAAAGTATAATTTAATGAATAATTATTTATTGGATGTTATTGTTTTCTTAATTGCTGTGATGTCAACTATTAAAATGATTACATATAAATTTATTCTATGTTATAGTAAAGAAAATAAATTATGTCATCCAGATTTGGTGGTTTAATTTATTTTTATTAAAATTGAAGTTCGCCTGCTAGAGTCTGCCGAAGGGAAGCGATCTCGGGTAGGTTCTGGGGGTGGGTGGCAGATTGTTAACATCCCTATTAGGACTTGGACTTGTGGGGACAACACTAGGTAGGCAGCTTCATTATCGATTTGGTGCCTAACCTTCGATATGTATGTGACCGTGGTCTGCACGATAATACGCCCGGTGTACTCCAATTGAGCGATCTGACAATGACGGTGTTCAATTACACAGACAGGTGCCATTTTTTCTAAGAAAACAGATACCACGTGAGTAGACATGACGCGTTTTATACATATTTTTTAAAGTTACAGCTGCATACATTTTAACTGTTTCTAGGACACCTACAAATAGGTAATGTTCGTTGCTTTTAATTTTATAATAGTATTTCCTTAATTTTAGGTTAGATATTTTCTGTTATTAATTATTATCCTGAATAAAAGGATAAAATTTAATACTTAGTGTTACGTATTGGATGCCGGATAGTGTTTACATTATTTTTTTTAATTTTCCTCTTCGGCGTTACAAATATTTTTTGGCTTTGCTCCGATGGTTGAAAAATGGCCGAATGATCACCAAAGATTTGCGTTCTGAAGCTGTTCATTTTTATAATCTTTTGCAATTTTTCTATTGTTTTAGATTGTTCATCTCGTTCCATTTCATTAATCAATATTGGTAAATTTGCGCAACATATCCATAAATAAAACAGTCCCACTGAAACAATTTCATATTAATAACTTATAATCTATTTATTTATCTATACTAATCTATACTTAATATTATAAAGAGGAAAGATTTGTTTGTTTGTTTGTTTCGAATAGGCTCCGAAACTACTGGACCGATTTGAAAAATTATTTTTCCATTAGAAGCCGACATTGTCCCTGATGAACATAGGCTATTTTTTTTATTTATTTTTTTATTTTTTATTTTTTGGTTTCATGTGTGTTTTAATGTTTCCGAAGCGAAGCGAGGGCGGGTCGCTAGTACATAATATAGACAATTCAATGTGTGTAAGTAAGACCCTTTTCGATAGAATTTTCAGGAAATCTTCAGATTTGCCTAGCGAAAGAAAAAAAGCTATATCTAAACTAAAAAAAACTAGAATATTACCAAAATAATCATCGAATTCTATTAAATAATAATATGAATTATTAAGGATAACACAAAAACTACTGGTTACATCTCTATAAAATATAAATGGGACCAATTTGAAGCACCAATTTTCAAATAGGTAAAAAAAGAATCATCAGAATCGTTTCACCTAGAAAAAGTTCTGAGGTAATACACAAAAATAAAGTCGAATCGAAAACCTCCTACTTCTTTGCAGTCGGTTAAAAATCATGAATGCTTTGTGGGCTAAAACACCGACTATAGGTATTATTACTACTCTGGGGAATGGGTTTTATTTCGCACAGCTATGCTCTTTCTTTACTATGCTATTAGTTCGTGAACATAATACTGTTACGTCGGTAAGAGTAACGCGGTATGTATATCGCCGAATAGCCGAACGGATATCGAAGGTACTAGTAAAATCGAGAAGTACACCGCCATCTATTGTCGGATAGCAAAAACACATGGAAGCTACTCGACTTGCCCAGAATGTTCTCGATATATCTAGGGATGTCGTATCGACTATAGCAGCAGCAGAGATGGCACGAATGCAGTCAGTAATCGGAACTACTCGAAGCGAAACAGCGAACGAATCACCTGAAGCGAAGCTGGAGAAGTGAATTAAGATTTTTAAAGTGTTCTGTGAGTGTTTTAAGTGTTAACACAGTGTTAATTTGCACTTCGGTAGAATTTTTATTTCTCCCGAACCCCAGCGCGTAACAATATATTCAGAATTAATATGTAAAAAATTATGCCTACTAACCACCACAGTCGCGTGACGAGTGCACCCCATTTGCATCTAGTAAGCCAAGGACACTTGGTAATGACATTAATTGCAAAAAACAGTTATTATTTAAGTAGCAAATGTAAGCTTTAGCAGTATCTAAGTGCATATTAGTAAACGTCTATTTCACTATAAAAATAAAACTCACACAATAAAAAACCGCCGAAAACACTAGCTCCAATTAGAACACCAATATCCATCGTATTTTGTTTCAGTATTAACAGCCCAGTAGCAACAAGGGTCGAAAGCATAACGAGTCTTAACAATTCAAGTAATATAAAGGAAACCATGAGGATATTATTTCGCTGAAAAGGAGAACGATCCAGTAGTGCGATATTTTATTGTGATAGTTTTGTCGCCTAACTACTTAACACTTATTATAAATATTAAAAATGATAACAAGTACATCCGTCAGGTCCTCGTTACAGCACACTTCGGGGCAACCCCCTCTGCTCAGGCTCAGTGTGCTTAGTTCGAGTTTTTGACATTCTAGCGTAAAAGTTAAATCAAAGCGGTGAAACGTTTCCCTTCATTTGCTGCTAGGGGCGCTGGTTCAACTGCATACCAATTTGAGTTAAATTTTACGCTATCGAGAACGTTAAAAAACTCGCACTAAGCACACTGATCCGGTGTGCTACTTAAAATATATTTGTGAATTTCGAGAGTTTCTTGCGTTGCTTAGAGAAGTATCGTCACAATTCAGTGCGGAAATAAAGAGGCGATTACCACTTTCTTCGCTTGTCTTTCTGTTTTCCCTGCATATATGATAGTGCCGTGTATTCGTCGTAACATTACGGTAGGTTGATAAATGGTAGTGAACGAAAAGCGATGCCCGGCCTCTGCGAATTCACCATATCGCAGAAAGAGGCGGCGGAGCTCTTCTTCACTGAAACGCGGCCGCCGAGGTTACGGCAAAAGCAGGCCGGACAATACAGATTGTTACGACCCATGTCCTCGGGAAATCATAACGCCATAAAAATCTTGGATACTTATTAATTACCTTACTCACCATATAAGCTCCGTATATAAACATTATGCATATAAAAATGTAAAAACATGATAATGTCACAGTAAACGAAATATACTTGACTGGATCTGAAAAAAAAGAAAATCTTTTATTTTCACATAAAAACAATTGTTTTTTTTTTTGTAGAGAACACTCACCTTCGCTGACGTTAATTAAATAATCTTCGGCGTAAATAAGATTGTAGTTGTTGATCCATTCGGTGATTTCATCCTCCAAAGTGTTCGCGTAAGTGTAACCCAAACAACACAATATGAGTATGAAAATTGCCTGAAACTAGAGTTTCTTAATAGTAAGAATATTCTATATATAATTTAGATAGATAGAAAAAGGTTGCGTGTACTTATGTACGCGCGTAAGAAGTTATACTTTATTTTTATTAAATTTATTTCTTTTTTTTTATTTAAATTTTAATCAATTTGAAAAAAAATCGAATAAACAACATCCTCAAACACGCATATTGGACATCCCTTTTCTTGACATCGTATAAATTCGGTAATTCTCGGTACGGTTCGGAAAGTTCACCTGCGGTTATATTCAGACTCGCCAAGTTACGTCGGTGGTATTGTAATGAGCGATTTAGTGGACAACTTCATTCTGTTAATATTGTGTCACGGTGTGCGCGCATCGTAGAATTTCACTGTCATCAATTTTTCATAACGCGCCTAAAGAAGTATAACTTCAATAAAATAGAATAGTCTATTGCTATTTGTTTGCTTTGAAAGATTATCATATTTTATTTTTTAATCTTTATTTTTTATTGCTTTGATGGGTGGACGAGCTCAGCCCACCTGGTGTTAAGTGGTCACTGGAGCCCATAGACATCTACAACGTAAATGCGCCACTCACCTTGAGATATAAGTTCTAAGGTCTCAAATATAGTTATAACGGCTGCTCCACCCTTCAAACCGAAAGACATTACTGCTTCACGGCAGAAAGGCAGGGTGGTGGTACCTTTTTTTTTATTGCCCTTGTAGGCAGACGAGCACACGGCCCACCTGATGGTGAATGGTTACCGTCGCCCATGCACTTCAGCAATGCCAGGGGCAGAGCCAAGCCGCTGCCTACCGAAACCGCGCGGACTCACAAGACGTCCTACCACCAGTAGATCACCCGTAATCAGACCACCAGTAATCATAATTATGTATTTAGTTTTATTAGGTATATAACGTAACGTTACTGACTATTGAAGGCACGCTTGCAACCGTTTTCCCGCTGTCATTCTAGTACCTACAACTGAGAATTTGATTGCACATCTCGCCCTAGGTAGAGGTTTTTGTTTTATTATACCTATATAGGCTCTATTGCTTAATATTAACGATTTATTCAAAACAGGAACTTACCAAGCAAAAAAGTCCGATTAAAATTCCACCTAGTCTTAAAGAAAACCAAAAACAACAACTGTAAACTAATGCCATTTTTTTCCCAAAGAACTATTAAGCGCCTACTTTTCATATTAAACTTATTTCATTTTTAATACTTAAAATACAATAATTGTCTGGCCTGATTTCTGGGATTGAAAAGTACAAATGCCGTGGTTGCGTGAACACCTGCCATTGTCCAATGTAAAATGTAAATGTAGGATGTATACCTGCCATTCATGACACGTATACGTGATTCTATAACTTTTTGTTACGTTAATTGCTTAGTATTGATTCACTAGATTTTAAAGATTGATAACGTGGACAATGTGAGTTTTTTAATATACCTACTGCTACACTAAAAGTAAACAAACATATGTCCAAATCAGTCCAATTATCAAAATATAAAAATATCTAAAATCAATCCGGTGCATTCGTATTGAGCGATGCACCGGTGTTCGAATCTCAAGCGGGTACCAATTTTTCTAATGAAATACGTACTAATCAAATGTTCACGATTGATTTCCACGGTGAAGGAATAACATCGTGCAATAAAAATCAAACCCGCAAAATTATAATTTGCGTAATTACTGGTGGTAGGACCTCTTGTGAGTTCGCACGGGTAGGTACCACCGCCCTGCCTATTTCTGCCGTGAAGCAGTAATGCGTTTCGGTTTGAAGGGTGGGGCAGCCGTTGTACTGTAAAAACTTAACTGAGAAATCAAGGTGTTCCGGTATTTACGTTGTTGATGTCTATGGGCTATACTGAGATCTTAGAACTTATATCTCAAGGTGGGTGGTGCATTTACGCTGTAGATGTCCATGGGCTCTAGTAACCACTTAACACCAGGTGGGCTGTAAGCTCGTCCACCCATCTAAGCAATAAAAAAAAAGCGATTCTCGTCTAAAACTTATTTTAACATTTCCATTTATATTGTCAACATGATGTGTATAAGCGACTAAAAGTTTTTTTATTATATACCTACTATTTGTATTTTTTTAATAAAATAGGTAGCAATCTACTGCAATATGTCCCTTATTTTTTTTACCGAAATCAGCTAAAGGAAGGATATTTCAAATAGTAGCATAATAGCTTAATCTTTCCTGAGTAATGCTCAATAAAAAATAAACATTTCGAATACTTGTGATATTAATTATCTTCAGTTGTGTTGATTGGTTCCCAAATTATTGTATGGTATACATTAACTCCATAGATACCGTAAAACACTGAATATTTGAGAACTCCTTGGAAAGCATCGACTCAGACCACTGAGTGTCGTCATGCAGCTCGGTCGCCCGCTCAACTATGCACCAATCACGAGGACCATGGTGGATTGGAAGAAGCTGGGCACGTGCTTAGCCGATGCCACTCCACCAATCCTCCCCTGCGAACCGGATTCAACTCCATCCCCGAGGACACAGTCGAATCCATAAACATCTTTACCGAACACGTCCCTACCGCGATCATAAGGTCTTCTAAACAAGTCGATGTGGAGGACTGTTTCCACCGCATCAGACTTCCCCCCGAGCTTAGGGATCTCTTAGGAACGCGGCAATCCAGGCCTAGGATCGATATCCTACGGATTCAAACCAGATTCTGATGCGTCGTCTACAGCGGGAGATCAAATCCTGCCTAAGCGACGCTCGAAATGAAAAATGGGATAGTTACTTAGAAGAACTCGCGCCCACTCACCAAGCATACTGGCGACTAGCTAGGACACTCAAGTCCGAAAATATCGTCACTATGCTGCCTCTAGTACGCCCCTCAAGCCAACCACCGGCTTACGATGACGATGACAAGGCAGAGCTGCTGGCCGATGCACAAGAGCAGTGCACCACCAGCACTCAATACGCGGATCCCAAACACACCGAGTTAGTCGACAGGGAGGTCGAGCGCAGAGCTTCCCTGCCGCCCTCGGACGTGTTACCCCCCATTACCACTTCCGAGGTTAAGGAGGCGATTGCTAACCTGCAACCACGGAAAGCTCCCGGCTCCGATGGCATTCGCAATCGCGCGCTAAAAATGTTACCAGCCCTACTGATAACAATGTTGGCCACCACCTTAAATGCTGCTATGACGAACTGCATCTTTCCCGCGGCGTGGAAAGAAGCTGACGTTATCGGCATACACAAGCCGGGCAAACCGAAGAACGATACCGCGAGTTACCGCGCCATCAGTCTCCTCCCGGCGATAGGCAAACTATACGAACGACTCCTTCGTAAACGCCTCTGGGACTTCGTCGCGTCCAACAAAATATTGACCGATGAGCAGTTTGGGTTCCGCGCCAAACACTCATGCGTCCACCAAGTGCACCGCCTCATGGAGCACATCTTATTAGTTCTGAATAGGCGGAAACCCATCTCGACAGGAGCCACCTTCTTCGATATAACGAAGGCGTTCGACAAAGTCTGGCACAACGGTTTGTTACACAAACTGTATAACATGGGAGTGCCAGACAGACTCGTGCTCATCATACGAGACTACTTGTCGAACCGTTCGTTCCGATATCGAGTCGAGGAAACGCGCTCTCCCCCCAGTCACATAACAGCCGGAGTCCCGCAAGGCTCCGCCCTCTCCCCGTTACTGTTCAATTTGTATATCAATGATATACTCCGGTCTCCGAAGACCCATCTGGCGCTCTTCGCCGATGACTCGGCTATCTACTACTCGTGTAGGAAGAAGTCGTTGTTACATCTGCGACTCCAGACCGGAGCTACCACCATGGGACAGGGGTTCCGGAAGGGGCGCATCGTCATCAACCCCACGAAAAGCAACACCACATTGAGCATCCCACTCCCGACTAGGCGTGTCAACACCTCCGCCTCCGCCATTCGCCCAATCATGATGTACGACCAACCCATACCGTGGGCCCCGAAGGCGTCACCCTCGACAGAGGGATGACATTCCGCCCCCACATAAAGACGCTACGCGACCGTTTCACCTTCATACTAGGAGGCCTCTACCCGATGATATGCAGGCAAAGTAAAATGTCCCTTAGAAATAAGGTAACACTCTACAAAACTTGCATACGCCCCGTCATGACCTATGCAAATGTAGTGTTCGCTCACGCGGCCCGCACTCACTTAAAATCATTCCAAGTCATTCAACCCCGTTTTTGCAGGATAGTCGTCGGAGCCTCGTGGTTCATCAGGAACGTCGACCTCCATAACGACCTGGACTTAGAGTCCACAATAAAACAGTCGGCATCGATGCGCCACTTCGACAAAGCGGCACGACACGAGAACCCTCTCGTCGTGGCCGCCGGTAACTACATTTCCGATCCTGCGGAAAGAATGAAAAACAGTCGACGTCCCGTCCCGATCCACTAACGGTGCTTTTAGGCACCTCAATCACCGGTCACCGTTCTCGTTGAACCCGTCGCTTGCGACGAAGGGCTCGACGCGTAAATTAACCCTCAGGCACAGCCCACTGAGTTTCTCGCCGGATCTTTTCAGTGGGTCGCGTTTCCGATCCGGTGGTAGATTCTGCGAAGCACGACTCTTGCTAGGGTTCGTGTTAGCAACGTCATCAGGTTTGAGCCCCGTGAGCTCACCTACTAGTTAAGGTTACGCTGATATAGCCTCTCAAGGCTCTCAGCTTAGGTAAGATAACAAAAAAAAAATTGAAAGCAAACGATAACCTGCTGTCAGTGTGAAAAGATCTAAGATCTAATATATCACATCACTAAGGGATTTTATGACCTGGTAACTGAGACCTTTAAGTCATATCACCACTAATCTAGAGTATTGATCATAGATTAAACACTTAACATTTGATTCAGAATTCAGATTATTGATCCATCAAAGACTGTACCTGTACAATACATAAGTACATTTTGTTGTAATTGTTACTCAAAGAATTTGCAAACTTTGTACCTACATAAGATGTTTAAAATGTAAATTCTGCAGTGTATTGTACAATTTACTAGCAGTTACAAGTGGGTGGTCATCCAAATCAATAACTACAACTAGCTAAGATTTACGAAAAATACATATAATGGATGAAGAACTTTCAATATATTCCTTACCAGCAGAAGTAATTTCTATAATACTGAAAAATAATGATTGCCAAGAAATACTCAATTTTAGTTCCACTTGCAAACATTTTAATGAATTAGTAAACACTGACCAACAGTTGTGGAAAGAAAAATTGAAAGAACTGTAAGTTTTTTGTATTGAACTCATCAGTCTACCACTTGATCACTTGTTAGGGATGAATGCTTGAAAGCAATGAGTTAATTGATAAACGTTTAATATTTGTAACAATTGTACATTATTACAAAGCTACAGTAATGTTAAAGCTAAATTATGAAGATTTAGTAAGTTCATTTTATAATATTGTTATGAAGTTAGCAAAATAAAATGCAATTCCTGTAGCTTAACATTAGATAGTAATTTTACTGAGAACTTGAAAGCAGAACAATGCTGATGAACTAATCATCACTTACTGGTTCTTAATTTATGTTTCGAGTATTTCTTAATATGTATGATACTCAATGTTTAGCACTGGTGCACTCACATTTTGTGATGTGACAATGCTGGGGCTTTAAATCTTACAATCAGGTATCATACCGAAATATGTATTTGATAAATTTTCATTAATATTTGAATGATGAAGGAATAACATTGTGAAATGAATTTTATATAATAATGACCCTAATAACAATTTATCATTAAGAAGCTGTCTACCAATCTTGGCTTAAAATATGCTGTTAATTGTTTTTATTTCAGAATACCTGATGCAGCTTTTGTTGTAGTAGAGTCAGATTGTCATGATGGTGACTGGTTGGAAGAGATCAAAGGTTTCTACTATATAAAAAATTATNAGGAATAACATTGTGAAATGAATTTTATATAATAATGACCCTAATAACAATTTATCATTAAGAAGCTGTCTACCAATCTTGGCTTAAAATATGCTGTTAATTGTTTTTATTTCAGAATACCTGATGCAGCTTTTGTTGTAGTAGAGTCAGATTGTCATGATGGTGACTGGTTGGAAGAGATCAAAGGTTTCTACTATATAAAAAATTATGTTTTTTCTGAATTGAAAACAATGTCACCAACACATTATTGGTAAGAAATTGGTCTAGTTATGGTAGGCAACTCTCTGTAATAGCATGTGTTATACATATTTTTCATAAGAGAAAATTAGTACCTTTTGTTTAAGGATAAGACCTGAGAGATTTATGTTATAAGTCTATTTTATGAGGGAGTGACCCTTTGACACCTCAAAGATCCGATCCAGTAGTAGATTCATTCGTGAAGCAGCTGCCCTTGAGTTGTTAGGTGTCCTTTGGAGGCCCTCGGGCAGCTGTTAGCAAATCTTACCCCTCCTGGCTGAGCCTCGCCCACCTGTCCTGGTGAAACTGGAGAGGCCTCTGGGCCACCAGTAATATCTCAAACATAGAAAAAACCTCAAAGATTTTGCCTGAGCTCTCATAAACATTAATGCTGATAAAATATATTTATTGATGTCTAGCTCTGAATTGTTTTTACAATAATTCTAACCAAATATAACTAATCACTATTTTGTATCAAAAACATAAAGAAGTTTACAGCTTATAACAAAGAACAAGTAGCATATTCCAGAAGTCACATTTTACATTATGTAAAGTTTTATTTATGACAAGTACTCAAACAAAATTACATGCATAATTTTTTTTTTTTTTTTCTTATTTGATTGGACAAGCTCACAGCCCACCTGGTGTTAAGTGTTGGTGGTGGTACTGAAGCCCATAAACATCTACAACGGTAATGCCGCCACCCACCTTGAGATATGAGCTCTAAGGTCTCCGTATAGTTAGAAATAGGAAGGGTGATGATACTTACCCATGCGAACTCACAAGAAGTCGTACCACCAGTAATAAAATGATAATGATTTTCAGCAAACGGGATGATTTAACAAAGCAGGATGTCAGAGATTTCTTTAATGTTGCAATTTCAACTAAAATGAGTCTGGCCTATGCTATCAACATTCTTCAAGATTTTATAAAAATAACTAGTGAACTGGCAGATGCATATGCATGCAAAAAGTAAGTTAAATATTTTACATATATTAACAATATATATGTATAATAAAACCCCTAGTACCCCAGAACATAGGCCAAACATTTTTAGTATTATTTTCTGTAATATTCATGTATAGGTCAAATCTGTTTGCTGGTTCGTGTACATCTCTGCTATTACCAAATGGATTCAAATGTTGCTTTCACAGCACAGATTACTTAAGAGCAGAAAATACATACACAAAATCTGATATCCTGGTTTAAAGTTTTTTTCTTTCTTTTATATTGTTAGACATCACGAGCTACATGGGAAATAATAAGATTGATACGAAAAAAAACTTTGTTATATTTTTACATACATACTACTGAACCGATTTTGACAAAAATCAGTATGAAAACAGTATCAACCCTACCCAAACCTACCCAAGAATATAGCTACCTTTTAACCCACTGATTAGCACAGGACTCTCCCCACGTTCTATAAAGTGTAGTCCCCCATGAGGCAGTGTATTATACTAGCATAATAATAATTGAAATGTTACCCTTCTAACAATTAAACAATTGCCAAAATAGTGTTCATACTGTCACATTTACATTGTTGATACAGCATGCAACAATAAAATTGACAATAACCACCCTGAATTAAGGACCTATCAAATACAAATCTTTCTTTTCAGACCATTTACTTTGACTGAAATGCATTATGCCAGAATTTTGCTTCGCCATTTAATACATCCGTTCATAACTTCTAAATGGGTGCAGCTAGAAAAAAAAGATCAATTAGATCCAGAATTTGTTCTAAACTTTTTCGTCCAGTGGGTTGATATTGATAAAATGCATTCTGATGAAGATTTCGCAGAGAAGGTAGACTTCTATATTGTTACATTTTAAGTATAGATTTTGTGACTTATGTGGATAATATATTTTAACTTCTTGAAAAAAGTCTAGATAAAGAGCCCTATGTCCAAATACAGGCCACACCATCATAATGATTTTGCAAATTTACGCTTGTATTCTATGTAAATATATTATAGTAAAACCAGACGTGAAGTAGAAATTTATTAATTGNAGAAGGTAGACTTCTATATTGTTACATTTTAAGTATAGATTTTGTGACTTATGTGGATAATATATTTTAACTTCTTGAAAAAAGTCTAGATAAAGAGCCCTATGTCCAAATACAGGCCACACCATCATAATGATTTTGCAAATTTACGCTTGTATTCTATGTAAATATATTATAGTAAAACCAGACGTGAAGTAGAAATATATTAATTGTCTATTTCAAACAACAGATTCAAGCGCTCGTTGATAAAGTTGAAGCTATTCTGTCAGATAAGAAATATTCAAAATCTGATTTAACACAATGGAAGACTCTAACTGCCCAAGAAAAATGTTCGCAAGGTCTCCTTACTGAGCGACAAGTACTGGCTGCTGTGTCTTACGTCATCTATGGACAGGAATGTATACAAGTTTCCGCGACTGCTAATTTGGACACATTGGATATCACTAAGGTACATATTCAGACTTCTATTTGTAAGTTCTGATTTCATTTAATATTCTACTGGGTGTCACGGGAAGAGGATATCAAGCCGAAACTGTGTAGTTAACATTACTGTTGTATACAGTTAAAGAAGAACCTCCACAATTTACAACAAATTATAAGACAAGTTAACAGACTGAATATCCAATTGTCTTAAATGTCACTATTACTGTAACGACAAAGTTCATTATAATTTATTTATTTATTACGTTGATGGGAGAAGTAACTGACGACCCATCTGGTTAGTAGACCCTATAGACATCTACCCTGAGCCATGAGGGTGAAGTCTCAATTATATTGTATAACAACTATCCCCCCCTTTTACGACACTCACGGGAAGACATGAGATAGTGCTTGCAGACTGACAACACAAAACCAAATAGGATCACTAGTGCTATTTTCAATAAAGCCCACGCACAGCGACTGCCGCTGGTCACCCCTAAATCCTATTCTAAGATTATAATGATGAACTCTTATTTACTTCTTCTATATTGGTTAAAGAGAAACCCACACACCCTTTTAAAGTCGTCGTGGCCTAAAGGATAAGACGTCTAGTGCATTCGTATCTAGCGATGTACCGGTGTTCGAATCCCGCAGGCGGGTACCAATTTTTTTTATGAAACGCGTACTTGACAATCGTTCACGATTGACTTCCACGGTGACATCAGTATGAGTCTCTTCAGGTTGTCAGAAGGTTTTCTTGCTATATGACCAAAATATTGGAACACTGTATAGGCATATAGGGAAAGCCTCTGGTCAACCTTTAGCTCGTTGAGAATGGAAGCGTTCGTCCGGAAGGCCGTCCCAGTCCAAGTATATAATTATCTAAAATAGCTACCACAGTGCCCACGCTATCAAGTCGAATGAGTGTTCCAATGATTCAACTTTTTTGGCCAAAAACGTCAAAAATCTTGGAATAATTTGTTCATTGCATTCAAGTGCTCTTTAATCGGAAGCTAATATGCCAAATTAAGTTTTTTGTTTATTTATTTCTTTGAATCAATCATTTCAATTAAACTCACAATATAAAGAAATTTCAACATGAAATAAATACTCTGTATCCATTATTGCCTGCCTTTATACGTATAATAAATATTTGCAGATCTTACTAAATAAACGAGGGAGCGTTTTAGCCGTGGCGTGCATCTATCACGCAGTAGCGAAGCGCTGCGGCGTCGCTTGCGATGTGGTTGCGTTTCCGAATCATTTCTTCCTGGAGTGGCGCGACACTGATGGACAAGAATATAAAGTGGACCTCGAAAATGGGGAGTTAAAGTCGAAGAGGCGCTGCCCGTTTTCAGCGAGTCCAACAAACCAGAAAAATATACGCAGATACTGTCCAGAGAAGTTGTTGCAGCAAATACTCTCTTCGTATCTCAATTCAATGGGGGTACACGACAACTGGTGCGTTTGGTTTAATTTAAATTAATTAATGAAAATAATTAACTAATTTAATGAATTAACTCATCTAGTTAATTAATGAATTAAGTAATTTATAATTAGCTATTTAATTAGTTAATTAATTTAATTAATTAAATTAATTAATTTTTTAACTGAAATTAATTAATTAAATTATCTATTTGTTTAGGAAATTACTACCGCCATTGTGTATTATTTATGTGTATATCTTCATTGTTTGAATTATCTTTATAATTATTTCAGCTACCGGATGTTTATTCCTCAACATCGACTTACCCCTTAGATTTCCGAAGCGACAGGTCGGAGGAGTCTGTGTCCGGTTTATTGCTACGACTTTGATCAAGGCGTTAGAGCTCCGCGCTGATCTCATAGTGCGCTTGCCGATTCATTACTTATATACTAGAATGTTTCTGCACCAAAAACCCTCACTGGTGTGCGCTATGCCGTCACTTCAACTGCCCAGTCCTATGACTTGAGTTCTTCTACTTAACTTACCATTCTTTTATTAAACAATATGACATAAGTAAGTAAGCATACCGCTAAAACTCGTGTGACGGTATTATTGTCAATCCTCTGGCTTAGAGGCTACAAGTCATTACTAATGATAAAGCACGCTGATTTCTTTTTTAAAAACGGATATAAATACTAGTACGTATTTAGGAACTTGCCCTGTTATCAAATAATATTTTTGTAAATCATACCCGTTTTGCACACAACCATTTCCAAATAAAAATTATATTTCCTAAAAATAATATTTCCGCTACCCTACTTAAAATAATAATAATTAAATAATAATAAAAAAAATGTCGGTTCAATACAATTATTCGACAAAATCTTATTCACAATTTAAAACGAATTGTATTTTAATATTTAAGAATCGGTTTCAGTTTTAACATAGTGATCGTTTTGCAGGACCACACAGAACAGTCTGCGTCTAGTGGACCTGCTCAACCCGTCCCAGAACCTCGACAACGTGAACCAGAGTCACTTAAGTTACTTGCGCAATGAAGTTGACTTAGTAAATTATCCTGAACTAAGCTACAATGCCGTAAGTAAACAATCTGTTCATTTCGTTTTGAAGTCGTCGTGGCCTAAAGGATAAGACGTCCGGTGCATTCGTATGTAGCGATGCACCAGTGTTCGAATCCCGCAGGCGGGTACCAATTTTTCTAATGAAATACGTACTCAACAAATTTTAATGTTCACGATTGACTTCCACGGTGAAGGAATAACATCGTGTAATAAAAATCAAAACCCGCGAAAATTATAATTTGCGTAATCACTGGTGGTAGGACCTCTTGGGAGTCCGCACGGGTAGGTACCACCACCCCGCCTATTTCCGCCGTGAAGCAGTAATGCGTTTCGGTTCGAAGGGTGGGGCAGCCGTTGTAACCATACTGAGACCTTAGAACTTATATCTCGAGGTGGGTGGCGCATTTACGTTGTAGATGTCTATGGGCTCCAGTAACCACTTAACACCAGTTGGGCTGTGAGCTCGTCCACCCATCTGAGCAATAAAAAAAATTAAAAAAACATACTTCTAGAATCTTCTAGATTAACCTTTAAATCTCGTTACAGCTTCACTGTTCTCACGCGCGATTATTATCGTCCCTGTCGTATTTGGCTAATACCATCCACATAACGGCGTCCGATAGATATGTAAGTACATGCCGATTTAATAGTAATTAATTTATATTATATTGTATTTTTTTTATTTACCTACCTATTCGCTGGTAGCCTGAGTGGTTATTTAAGTAAGCTACGCCCGATCGGGTTGTTGATTATATTAAAACATATTCATCAAAACAACATATTTTACAAATTGTTTAGTTTCCGCAATGTAATAAGTTAGGTTTTTTTTTGTTCTTAATGTAGAGATGGGTGAAAAACGAAGGTTACGGAGGTTTGGTGTTAAGTTATAGGGGCCACACGCACCACAACACTAATACCTAGTCCACCTTGAAACATTGTTAAATGGCTGCCCCACCCTTCAAACCGGAATGCGTTATCGCTTTTCAGTAGAAATAACCAGAATGCTTGTACCAGTTGTACCAAGGTTTCTGTGTAAATCATCCTTTAAAATATTGCTTTCTTCACACTGATTCACATTTAAAAACTAGTACAACTATGTTATTTTTCTAGATGTTTCCTCATGTTGTTGTTAAGAAACGAAACAGTTACATTAAATATGCAGTTGGTATGATATGCACTCACAAGAAACATAAATATACGGGAATAATCCGCGGCTGGGATCTCATTTGGGCAGCAGACTGGAAAGAGCACGGCGAGGCCCTAAACAGATTAGAATTTGGACACAATCAGCCATTCTACTACCTCATCATTGCTAATCAATCCAGCAGATATGTGGCCCAAGGTAATAATTATATTAAAGGGTGTTTGTTTATGCATTCATTATGATGAAATGTTCCCAAATTTTTCAAAAAAAGCTGTCGGTACCGTAAGTATTCATTACCTGGTCGAGTCAACGAGCTCTAGCGATAATATCTAAAATTTACTATTGTAAAAAGAGGGTAGACATTGGTCTGCTAGCATCTCTTCTGTCTACACGTGATCATCGCGCCCAAATATCGGGAAATTCACAATAACTCGTTAAATAATAATCCAATAAAATTAATATACCATACTAGCTGACCCGGCAGACTTCGTAGTCCCTCGATCGATAAATAAAATATCTAAGCTTTTGTATAAAATAAACTTAAAACAAACAAAAGGAATCCGTCCGACGGGGGACACATCAAAGGAAAAACAAAATTGTTATTTTTATTTAATTCCGAGCATTTTCATAATTATCTACCTTTTAAACCTGGACTTCTACAAATAATTCAAGACCAAAATTAACCAAATCGGTCCAGCCGTTTTCGAGTTTTAGCGAGACTAACGAAAAGCAATTCATTTTTATATATATATAGATATTAAATTCATAAGGAAAATCAGAAGGTTTAAAGCAATAATATATTTTTTAGAAAACCTCTCGGCGTTGACTGTTCCGCCTCGGATGCCGCATTTAGAAGATTTGATCGCGCGAGAGTTCACACATTTCAATGGTTACGCTTACGAACCGAACGACGAGAAACGAATGGAGTATCCAGACGATATGCACATTAGCAATATGTTTCGGAGTTGCGTTGAAGTTAGATACGGAGAGCCGAATCAGGACAAGAAGAAACTTGTTCAATATTAATCTTTATATTATCACTGGATATTATACCCAACCTATATGATATATACAATATTCAATACAATTTACTGAAATATATTTGAGTTTTAATATAGCAATGTTACATATTGAAAATTATTTTAACTCTTCGGGCCGCTATTATGATACTTTGAAAAGATAAACCATATTACGCCTAACCGAAAACACAACTGGTGGTAGGACCTTGTCCGACTGACTGGCGACCATCCTCTAACTAGAATCCGCCGCCAAATGGCCTGTGTTCCGGCGTGTGGGTTAGAAAGCCAGATCTACTCCTATCCTTTCCTTCTCCTTGTTGGGGGTAAGTCTTGGTGATACTTGAAAAATGCGGGGCAAACGTGCTCGCGAGCCCGCGGGACGTAATTTGCTGACGGACGTTTTTTATTTATTGCCCAGTTAGGCAGATAAGCATACGGCCCACCTGATGGTGAGTGGTTACCGTCGCTCATGGACGTCAGCAATGCCAGGAACAGAGCCAAGCGGCTGCCTACCGTATAGGGAGACCTAGTGAAACGGTATCCGCCGCCGCCCGCCGGTCAGTTGGGGACCTGAACCGGGTGTCACTACTTAACTCCGCCCCGGGAAGCTGTCCCGCCAACCGGTGTAAAAAACGGTCGTGCGGTCGTCGTGCCGGAGTCGGAGACCGGACTGGGAGCCCTTCGATCCCCTGTATTTCTTTTAAAAAGCAGGGAATACGTAAATGTTTATATCTATGGAGTCCATAAACTCCCTTGGTGGTCCATAAACACTTGGTGGGCCCTCAGCTCGTTAACACGAATAAGAATAATTCAAAACCATTCAAAGATATCCAGTATTATAGAATGTTTCCTGGAACGAAATTTTAACAGGGTGTCCTTACAAATTTTGTAAATCAGAAGGTTAATTCCATGAAATTATCTAGAGTGAAAAATTCATAAATAGTGTTAATATCATAATTCATCGAAGTTTATTAGAAGTTTAGTAACCATTCTATCTCCCCAAACAAAGTCATTACAGTTTTTTTCCCCCTACCTATTCGCTGGTAGCCCAGGGAATTATTCCAGCTACAGGCGGACGGGTAGGTGAGCTCACGGACAGAATCTAAGAGAATTTGCTTTCACTAGCCTTAGCAAGGGCAATGCTTCCCAAAATCTACTACCAAATCTGAGCAGATCCGACGAGAAGCTCAGTGGGTTGTGTTAATGGAATCCCAGAGTCCGCCTGATCTTTAGTTTGCATCAATTTTTACTGTATAACTGAAGATATAATTTTTTTTTTGTTTATTAATATCAATGGGAAGTAAAATAATATTTTATAAATTATATTTTATTAGGTATCTTTTCCGTTGTAGTGCTCTCTAGTCGCTGACAATTTAAGAAACGAGATCTTGAAGTTAAATTTATTATATACAAAGTTAATTGAGTGCTAAAATTGTTTCATAATGATGGCACTACAGCATCTTAAGAATCTGACTTGTTTTAATTTAGTTACATTCCAAGTACCTAATTTCAATAATTCAACCAACAGAATTTAAGTACATTATATGAATACTACATATTGATAATGCAGTAAAAATAGAAAAGGCGTCTAGTGCTTAAATTACACAATAAACTGTAGTTTTAATCACATTCAAACATCGATTTAATTTATAATCATAAACCAAAATGAAAACGTACAAAGTAACTTTTAACATCAAATGACAATTTGCTAAACATTATTATTATAAAGCTAAGCTGTTTTTTGGCAAAGACTTGGAAATAAACTCCTAAAAATAAAATAAAAATTTGTACCTTTTGTGTTCTCATGTAGGAATGATATTATTTACTTCAAAAATATGGGTCGCAAGAACAAAAGAGAACAAGAATCGAGATAGATATTCTACTTCAAAGTCTCGAAAGTAATTTATTACACATTACAAAAATACATATTCCCGCTTTTATTAATAGCAAAAACAAGAATAGCATATTGTCTAAGTTTTTCCCCTAAACAAACAAATACTAATTTAATATTTAGAAAATAACCGACCTTGTAAACTTGAAAATTAAATTTACATAAAGCACAAAGTTTTTAAAGCTTTCTGTAACAAGAATTAGTTTTCTAATGTTTTTTCTATCAATTTTCAATGGTTATTAAGCCTACTATATTTTGACTTTAGAAAAAACAGTAGATATTCGCAATGGCAATCGTATTTATGACAAATGTTAAATCCTCGTTGACAATATGACGCGCACGAATGACTTGCGCCCGTTTTTGTCTATTTTATTGATGATAATGATACCGATTTCGAGTGTAAGTTCGTGTCTTAGAAATTATAGTTTAGCGTTATGTACCGTTCACTTGGTAGTATTATAGCGTATTGGCCACCGCGTGCTCGCAGTGGACTCGAGAGGAACAGTGGAGTTTATGTCAAGAGGTAGGAACAATTTCAATGCGCTCCTACCCTCATACACTAAACAATAGTTTCGAATCAAAATGCGTAAACTGAAAATTACGTAACCTAAGGATTCTTTCGTACAAACGTTCCCAGATAGTTGGGTACCTAAATAAAGAAGTTGTTCCAACATTTGCTAATCTACAATTAATGTGATAAACACTTTAAAATCTAGACCCTAAAATAAAGATTAAAAAAAAAATTGGCAGCAAAATAACGTTATCGTCGTAGTAGCGATCAATTTGAATCAATCATCTTTATATCCAGTCGAGTGGGTCGACGACATTATTAAACCTAAGAGATATGTTGAGCAGCAAGTCTGCCCTCGCATCCACTTTGTTGTGTTCGAAAGCATCATTTACCTACGTGTAATCACAATTTTAGTTTTATTAAATTTAGTATCGAATGCTAAACTATTAAAAGCAAAATAAAAATAAAAATCGGAACTCGCGTACATCGCATTACGTTGAATACAAATAACATTTGGATCAAATTTGGTTACAAAAATACAATAAATTAACTGTACGTTAGCGATTGAGGTACTCCATTGACAGTCTTTGACTTTAGAACCCCGTTTTCGTAAGACATTATTGTCTCTCGTCCGTTCTCTGTGACTCTGAAAATAAATAAATAAATAATTAGATCTAACTATGATATGGCCTCATACTCGTGTGCAGCTGAGTTTTCCAGAATTTCTGGTCTAGTTTTGTTAATATTTATAAACCGACGCGGGTAGCTATCAACATTCTGTTTATATCCATCGCGTTTTATTCATATATAATACAATTCAACAACCGACCTCATGTCTCAGGTATCCTGGATTCACGCTGTGATGTCTATGAGGTAAGGTAAACACTTAACAAGACAGGCCGTGATTTCGTCAACTTATCCATACACTTTACGCTTTAACCATGGGAGTCAACATGTGACTGTTGCAAAATATCGAAATTATGATTATTCATTAATAAAGCTCACTTTTTATTTGCCCTTGTAGGTAGACGAACGAGCATACGGCCCACTTGATGGTGAGTGGTTACCGTCGCCCATGGACCGCAGCAATGCCAGGGGCAGAGCCAGGCCGCTGCCTACCGCTTAATACTCTCCACAAGCCTCTTTTAAAGAAGGACATGTCATAGCGCTCGGGAAACACCGTGGAGGGGAGCTCATTCCAAAGTCGGATGGTACATGGCAGAAAAGATCTTTGGAAACGCACTCTCGATAAACACGACGGTTCCAGATAATATTGATGAACTCTGCTCCGATGGCGGGAGGTGTGATGATAAATAATTCACAGTGTTACTAAAAAAACTGGTTAAAACTATAATTACAATTTTGTTGTTTTAGTTATCGATATAGGCGATATATATGGAAATTGTGACGTCACAACGAAGGTGAACTCGATTGTTATTTTTTATTATTTTTTTTTATTGCCTAGATGTGTGGACGAGCTCACAGCCCACCTGGTGTTAAGTGGTTACTGGAACCCATAGACATCTACAGCGTAAATGCGCCACACACCTTGAGATATAAGTTCTAAGGTCTCAGTATAGTTATAACGGCTGCCCCACACTTCAAACCGAAACGCATTACTGCTTCACGGCAGAAATAGGCGGGGCGGTGGTACCTACCCATGCGGACTCACAAGAGGTCCTACCAACAGTAATTACGCAAATTATAATTGTTTTGAAATGATGGTACGTGGCACGACGGTACGTACTTCTTGGTTGTGATCTTTTTTCCGTTGACAGTACGCGTTGTTGTGGTGGTGCTCCTCATGTTGGCGCTGCCGGGGCCCGCCAGCGAACTGTTGAAGGTCGAGAAAGACGTGAACGTGTTCCCGTTCGTGTGAGCGAATATGTCGTCCAGCCCCTGCATCCCGAACCCGAACGGATTGAACATGGACGACGTGAGGGAGGTGCTCGGGTGACTTCGTCGACTGTGCCTCGGATGGTGTCCGTGACCATTGATTTCTGAAAAAAATTATATCGTACTCATTAATTTCTGCTGCCTTTTTCTGTGAATATTATAATTACATCGCTACTCCCCGGTAGAGGTTAGCAAGAAGTAGGTTCATTTTTTTTTTCTATCCATCAAAATATGCACGCTTCTGGCATGCATCTTTCTGGCAGTGGTAAATTTTCAAGGCCCTTCTTGAAGAAGGTGTACGGGAGTCAACAAACTCTTCAAAGGCATTTTGTAGTGCCTTTCGGGTATCGAATCTCTTTTCCAGCCAAGAAGTTGTCCAAAATTTGGAAAAAGTAGGCCCAAGGTCTGGTGAGTACGGTGGGTGACCCAAAACATCCAATCCTAACTCTCCTAGCGTCTGTTTTGACAAGTGTAATGAAATCAAAACACTAATAACTAAACAATAAACAAAATCCCTTTTGTAACGCAGCGTTCCGTTTCGCGGGGCAACAGTAGCTAAAGGGATTGTTACTCAGGTCCGTGACGCGACGACCTACCCCGCGCTCCCCACGCCCGCGCATCTATTGCACCATTTGCACCCCCAGTTAGTGCGCGCCAGACTTTGAAGCGAAAAACACGCGTCCCCGGTCGATACCGGAACTGACAACCCGAGAGTCTCATGCCAGTCGGGCACCCAACTTTAAATTTTAAAATTATTGCCATGCATAAATTACGTTTCAAATGGCTGACCCGGCAGACTTCGTAGTGCCTCAACCGATAAATAAAAGACCTAAACTTTTGAATAAACTTATAACAAACAAAAGGAATCCGTCCGATGTGGGACAGATCAAAGGAAAAACAAAATTGTAATTTTCATTTAATTCCGAGCATTTTCATATTTATCTACCTTTTAAACCTTCTCTGGACTTCCACAAATAATTTAAGACCAAAATTAGCCAAATCGGTCCAGTCGTTCTCGAGTTTTAGCGAGACCAACGAACAGCAATTCATTTTTATATATATAGATTTAACGCAAGTGAAAAAAATACCATTTGCAAGACTAGGCAGAAATACATGGTGATTTTTTGTAATATTATATATAAACAAGTTGAATTATGTATAAGGAATACAGATAGTATGCTTAGTGCGAGTTTCTTAACGTTCTCGATAGTGTAAAAGTTAACTCAAATACACNAGCGAGACCAACGAACAGCAATTCATTTTTATATATATAGATTTAACGCAAGTGAAAAAAATACCATTTGCAAGACTAGGCAGAAATACATGGTGATTTTTTGTAATATTATATATAAACAAGTTGAATTATGTATAAGGAATACAGATAGTATGCTTAGTGCGAGTTTCTTAACGTTCTCGATAGTGTAAAAGTTAACTCAAATACACTGCCGGCCAAAAGTTTAACACCGCAAATAAACAACATCTATCTATTGTAATAAAATCCCATAAGATAAATAAAAGAAATGCACATCTGCATATTCTATTGTTAATATCTAATATTTAAAGAATTCATTCTTTTCTTTACTTTCAAGTTATTGGACAATAAATATATATTCTTTTCAAATACCAACAATCGTTGCGCTAAAGCCAGGTGGTAGAGTCAAAATAATATTTTTATGATGTGCTCATAACTAATTACTTTGCTTCTGTTTCGCATTGGTCAATAATTAGGATTATTTAGATTCTGCAAACACGTATTTCTGACTTCTTATTACCTGAGTTTAGTATGTCGAGACTTGTGAAAAAAGTCATAGAACGTAAAGGTTAATTTTTTGATGAAAAATTCATTTCGTTATTATAACCTTTTTTAGCATGGACTGTTAATATTACTTTAAGCTTGTAAAGTATATTGTTTGTCAGTCAGTGTTTAGATGATTAAACAGTTTAATTACACATGTATAATAAATATTATTTTATTGGAGTTTAATTTTATTTTCCTACTTTAATTAAGGTGGTCTTAAGCTTTTGGCCTGCAGTGGATGTAATATGTAGTTCGAACGTTTGCCTAGGTTTGCCGCTAGGGGCGCTGTTCCAACTGTATACAAATTTTAGTTAACTTTTAGACTATCGAAAGCGTTTAAACACTCGCACTAAGCACACTGTTTTATACTAGTTAACACTGTGAGCAACAGAGAAAGCGAGAGAGAAATGCTTTAGTGTACATCAAAATAACATGAACGAACTAATCGCTAATAACGATGTCTGCAGTAAGATGCGACAAAAAAAAATGATACTTTGCGGAATGCATAATTTACTTACCAGCAAATAAATCCCCGAAAGATGAGGCACCAAAGAATTCTCTGAATACTTCTTCGGGATCTCGGAATGTGAATGGGAAGCTTGCATAGCCAAATTCGTAGTCCTCGTCTGCGGCAGAGCGACGACCTCTTCCGTTATTCAATCCTTCCTTGCCGTACTGGTCATACACTCTGCGTTTTCTCTCTGCGTACAACAATCTTACGATCAGTCTTCAAATCAAATTATGATATAAAATTATTTCGATCGATATAGAAATCACAACCAAAATCATATTCATTTTCAGCTATTAATTTGGAAAACACCTTTTTTCACGAATTCTAATACCTTCATCTAAGTCATATTGTTTGGAAAAGGAATTGAAATTACATAAAACCCAAAAAATAAGCAAATAAAACAATACTGGTTAGTGTGGAAAAAGCTGACATTCAAAAACTGTATTTTTGCACCCCCTAACAAAATTTAATAAAAATAGCATAATAGTTATTAACAGTAGTAATATAACACTGATACAAAACTAATTATATAATGTCATATTATAGGTTTAATTATGTTTTAAAGATGATGATCTAGTGATTGAAGTGGAAACTATAAGCTATATCATTTACTCGAGAGAAAAAAACAATTTGTAAAATACTTAGATAGGCATCGAAATAACATTCAGTATTTCAAGCTCTGGTCCCACTGGTAAATTAAGCAAAAATAACACTTCAAAAAAATTACGATAAATCATGTTAGTAAAAATTCAATGTTATTTGCACCACTCTAAACACTGTTCATTATGAATTTCGTTTTCAAGTTATTACGTTATTAAAAAAGCATATAATATAATGTATGAACTCATCATATTCACAACTCAACAATTGGAAAATCTTCTGTTAAATTGTCAACTACCAAAAAAGCGGTGGAATGGTGTATCTCCAAAGAACCCTTTGAAGCTAAAGTGTCGATGACCATTGACTCCATTCTTGCTTTGATATCTGTGACCGTGATGACTGGAACCACGTGCATCATATAATTTCCGCTTGGATTCTACCCAACAACAAAACACTATTTAACTTATTTTCTCCCAAAATTGTAGTCTACTATAATTTCAAAGCTCTAATGAAACCATAGGTAGGTTTTGCTGCTTTTGAGATTTCTGAAATTAAGGAGGAATATAGAAGTGTTTTGGCTATTTTTAAGCCCCACTTCTATTTCATATGATTACAATTGAAAACATTGTTCTAGCTTTTGCATTTCTATTTGCTAGCACTTTTCAAAATTACTGTCAAAATATTAATTCAAGACAAACCATCTGAAAGAACCTCATAAGCTTCAGAAATTTCTTTGAATCTTCGATTAGCTTCATCAGAATTGTCAGGATTTTTATCAGGATGCCATTTCAGTGCTAGTTTTCTGTACCTGTTGATGAAAAAAGTTACAAGTTAAATACTAGAAGCACAGCACTTTGTTCATATCGTCTTTGTAGTCGTTGTAACTATAATAATTCAGAGGAATCAATGTCTGTTAGACTTATGGAAGGGAAAGAATTTCCAATGACACCAACAGACATTCTTTTTGTTTATTTCTTCTTTTTGTCTTTTTGTTTTTCTTTTCATCTAAGGTTATGCTGCAAGCATCATTCTAAATATGGGTGCTCCCTCAATTATAAGAAAACACAGTCATAGTATAGTAATAATAAATAACAAAGTCCATAATAAAACTAGGCTAAAATGAAATCGTAAACAAAAAGACAAAAAAATCAGTCAAATCAAAAACAGGAAACAAGTACATTAAGCAATTGAATTATTTACATTACAATAATAACAGAAACCAATAATTATACCTTTAACGAAAATATCTGTATTAAAGTGTGTTCATAAAAACAGTGTGGACAACTTGTGAATACTCTAATATAAACATTATGTGTAACAAAATATAAATTTAGAACAGTCTTTCCAAATTATTTTTTTAGCTATGCTGATGTTGGAGGGTGCGATAAGAGTGATTCTGGCGCCATTGGAAAAATTTATAGCTCGACCCACATATTGTTAAAAAAACAATGCTCTTATTATATAGGGAATACTTAAATAAATGGGAGTCATAACTGATTTTAGATGAAAGGATCATTATATCATTAGTTCATTATTTATGATTGTCCAGTTTTTATTATTCTCATATATTCTTCATAACATGAAATAATAACACTATTCCTTGAGTTTGAATTCTATGTGCTATATTTTACTACAATGAAGCATTCGTTTATATATTTTCTTAAGTTTATGCACCAATCCATGCAACTTTCATTGAAATGTTTCCCTTCCTTTGAAATGTTTGTTGTTACTGCAAGGCTTCAATTTGTTGGCAAATGCCAACAATAACATTATTCAAATTTACACATCTAAAGTGGATCAAACCAATTGAGGCCAGTGAAATTCATTTGTTTATAAGCCAGTCTATATGCAATATTATAAAACAATGTAAAACTGTTTAGCATAGAGTTGAGTTGTGGGATTTTAAAAATAATAGTAACAAATAGTACAAATTTGAAGAACCTACAAATTACCTTGTATTGACAGGTATATTTTTCTCATATATATTCTTGTATTGTATTTGTCATCATCAAACAGAATAATCATAATTGTATTAGATAATATTATATGATATTTGATGGATATAGATTGATAGATAGATACAGTGAGTAGTCATAGTAGCACAGGTACACCACTGCATATGGTGAATATCTTCTGTGTAATTAAAAAAATACTATGAGGCCCATATTCAAAATCAGTTATGTGATATCTGAATAAACAATTCTTACAACTAGCTTACAACTTTCCTTATGTTAATGGCCATGAGACATCACAATGTAAATGCTGCTACTACCCACCTTGTAGGCAGCGGCTTGGCTCTGCCCCTGGCATTGCTGAAGTCCATGGGCGACGGTAACCACTCACCATCAGGTAGGCCGATGGCTCATCTGCCTACAAAGGCAATAAAAAAAAAAACCTTGGGACCAAAATCAAAGGAGAAATCATAGATTAGTGTCCCAAAAATTGAAGCAAATAAACAAAGATAATGTCATTACAATCTTAAATTTCTAAAATAAAATTTGTATAATTAGAAACATTAATAATGTTGTAATTAACAACTTACGCTTTCTTTATTTCAGTGTCAGTAGCAGTTCGAGTTACACCAAGTACCCTGTAGTAGTCCACCATCGCTGTGTCTCTCCCTCAAGGGGTTCTTAAGATCTGAAAAAGATCATTATATAATATATAAGTATAAATAAACAAAAACAAATATAAATAGATATATATACATACATATATATATATATAAAAGTCTTCAATGAAGTTTATATTATCTCTTTGTTTATACTGCATTGTTCACAGTTTTTTGGTGGTTACTTTTTTTAAATAGAAGATTACCAACTGCAGATCTTAGGGAACATGGTATTAATTTTTTTTGAGCACATGTAGTCCACATTCGATGTTCTAGAGACTTGACGCCCATCTTAATTGCAATCAAATAATATCCCTTCTATCTTTCAAACCAGAGCTCATAATATCGTTTCATAGCAGAAATGTGTAGAATGAGATACTGACATATGCAAACAGACAAACAATCACCACAACCAGTATAATAATAATACTAGTAATTATTTTAAAATTAATACTAATAGATAATTATTATGAATGATATTTGAATGTATGCGATAATACTTCAATTTGTAAAATGTCAAGGTACATATTTTATGATTCATAAGGGACAGGTGCGAGTTTAAATACAAAACCTTTAAAAATATGGATACAGTACCTACTATTACTTATGATGATTTTATACTGGATAAACAAACTTTGCGTAATTTACAGCATATACATTTCGACATTTAGCAAACTTGCAAAATCTCTAGCACGGCAAGCCTAACTTAAAAACGAAAGACCTTACCTGTACCTTCTAATGACTAAATGAATAGAAATGAGCGATTCGAAAACGACTGTTCTTTTTTGGATAATTAAAACTGATAGCTTTTGTAAAGATTAAAGGTTACCTATTTTTTTTCTGGAATAAACACAACATCACGTAGTTTCTGTGACAGTAGGGGAATTGTATCGACTCCTTAGATTTAGAAACCCGTTTATTATTTCGAGATTTATTTTACTTACTTGTCAAGAAATCACTTAACAATTTGCTATAGTTCTATTGTTTTTCAATGGAAAATTTAAAGCCGTTTTAATGTATGATCTGTTTTAGTTTTTGACTAATCTAACTTCGTCGAACTAACGTCAAACCTCACGTCAAACCATCAGTCAAACCACAGAAAATCAACATGACCATCTTATACAGTAGTGTTTAATCTGTGAACAGGGCTTAGGGATACCGGTAGTGACTTTTTGGCGGGAACGCGAGGAGTGAAGTTGTGTGATTTGTTTTATTTTGTCTATTTAGTGTTTCTTCGGGTTTAAATGTGTAATAATGGTGGTTTATTAAATGTTTAATATCTGTGAAAGTGCACAAATGTGGGAAAATGAAACAAAGCCGCTGGACGTAACTTCTCGGGATCCTCCAAAAAGTCCACTGAAAAAATCTTAGTNTTTTGTCTATTTAGTGTTTCTTCGGGTTTAAATGTGTAATAATGGTGGTTTATTAAATGTTTAATATCTGTGAAAGTGCACAAATGTGGGAAAATGAAACAAAGCCGCTGGACGTAACTTCTCGGGATCCTCCAAAAAGTCCACTGAAAAAATCTTAGTAAATGACCACCATTTTACTGAGATTATATTTCATCCCATATCAGCTCAATTCATTTCATTTCATTTCATCCCAGTTGATTAGTGTCTCAAATTAATCATCTTCATTTCATTTCACTCCATAATATCATTTTTCATAAAAATATGAATAATATAAATTAAAATAAGACATGACATAAAGGTCTCAGTTACCAGGTCATAAAATCTCTTAAAAAAAAAAAGATACCGGTAGTTTCATATCCACACGAAAATATTTCAATTTACTAAACAAGGAAAAATATTGTAAATCAAGTATTTTAATGCATTTTTTATTTCATATATGGGTGGATGAGCTCACGACCCACCTGGTGGTGAGTGGTTACCAGACTACAAAAACATCGTCAACATAAATGGCGCCAACTTTCTGAAAACAAGAGTTTTAAGTCTCAGTTTTACACTACGACTGCCCAACCCTTCAAACCGAATTACTGCTTCACGGCAGAAATAAGGCCGTGTAATCGTATTATCAGTTAACATAAACTTTAGTAAATTTCCACATTTTATTGAGAGGCTATTTCAGATCATCTTATTCAACGCCTACCAAATTATTATATTTTACCTCATTTAATTAAATATCTAATCAATTTGAATACATTCCATAATGTTCCGTTCTACCATATATATATATAAGAAACTTGGCTTCGACTTTGTCACAAAAGCTTTGCTTTTATGGAATAGATTCCAATTTGTCAGCCCAATGTACCATAAGCACAAGGCTCCACCCGTGCGATATTTGTATAAAGCACACAAAGTTGTGGGTGAAAGCGTAGTTAAGTGATAAAATAAAAACATCACGATCGGTAACGAAAACATTAAGCGATTACTTTAAGTGTTTTATTTTGATATGAACACATGAGCTCTTGACCTTCCTGAGCTCATCCCGAAGGCGATGATCAGCATAACGTGAATGCCACTATTCACAGCACGTCATTTCGAATGCTTCCGATCCACTAACGGTGCTTTTAGGTAGGTACCTAAAGCACCGGTAATCGTTCTCGTCGAATTCGCTCGTGACGAAAGGCTCGGCGAGTAAATTAACCAAACAGACACAGCCCACTGAGTTTCTCGCCGGCTCACCTACTTGTTAGGTTACGCTGACATAGCCTATCAGAGCTGTGAGCTTAGGGCTAAAAATTTTTTATTCACATTGCGGTTAAGATTGAAATTGTCTCAATTGTCTGCATTGGTACAATTTATAACTGTATCTACAAGTATTTATGTACTTATCCAATATTATCTGCATAGATTATATTTAAATGTATTTAAGTAGGTATATACGTCTAGCCTAAAGTAAAATCTTTTTTTTTTTTTCAGTTACCAAATAGGTAATAATTTTTATATCGTCTCGTCTATTTTAAATTATATTGCCATTTCTTACAAATAATTTATAAATAAATAAATAAATAGGAGATCTAGTAAATATTTTTTCTATTATTATAGTTTATCTATAATTATCGGTATTTTTAAAGAAAACGTAAGAATAGGAAACTGGGTGCTTGTCGAAGCGACAGTCCTGCTGTCGGGAGCAACGCGCCCTATTACATTCAAAGCTAAAATTATTACCCATATTTTAAGTGCGAAGTTGAGTTTGTTAGTGTCCTCCTTTGAAGCATATGTTTGGGACCTATCAACATTTTGCAAAAAGATAGTTTACAGGCCGAAAACAAGAAACGAATGATGTACGTATAAATAACAAATGAAACTTAAAAATTATAAAATTACAAATTTATGATAACCAGCATCAGTACGGTATAAAAATTTCTTTTAAAAAATATCCGCGTCGTGGCATGCCCTGATCCTGTGGAACTGCCGAAGCGACCCACTAAATGTCTATTCTGCACTTTTCGCCCAAATGATCAAATTACGCTCGAAATGCTGGGGGGCGACTGCGGTCTGCACTGCGATCAGTCACGTGGCCACCAAGAGGATGTTCGGCCGACGAAAAACATCGACGAAAACGATTTCGTCGGCCAACTCGGATGACAGCTTATCAAGAAGGCCAGGCCTTGCCACTGTGGTTCCGGAATACCTCCCAGAACCAGAACCAGTCTGCTAGGTGCTCGCGATGTACCGCCAACCGATCACTCTTTAGCATCAACTCTGCAACGCCCTAGAGGGCGTTAGCTCATCTCTTAGGCTCCAACGCCTACTTCTGTGAGAGGTAAACTCGCAGAAGTGGCGATTTCCAGGATTATTCGCTGCCATGTGCCGTATCTAAGAATTTGGACAGCGACGAGTCCGGTCCTATTTGAGCAACGAGAATACTATGTCGCTTCTTCCGAGCGATGTAAGCTGCGAACTTGTGCTCCGCCGTGTTCACATTGGTGTACAGCAATACACCTAGATTGTGAGAAGGTAAGCCTTTTAGTATTGCAATTGTTTGAGAGTAGGTGAGTCAATTCATTAGTTTCTCCACTCGTCAAACCACATTTCAAATTGGATGTACTTAGACAGATATCGGAACTATTGACGGACACATTGTTCTGTGACTTATTTAAATAACATTTTTTTATTATTAAAAAGTTCAAAATAATCGAATGATCTTCGAAACAAGCATAGAAGAAATGTTCTCAATACTTAATTTAAATATAATGTTCATAAAATTAAAACCTGTTTCTACTTTGAATACTTCCATTTTTGGAGACTGTGACTAACTTTTCCCACACAGTCTTATTTATGGTCCATTCGTAACGATCTACCTAAAGTCGATCCCACACAAAACTGAAATTGCACTCTGAAGAATATAACAGATTTATATAGTATGTACACGGTACACATTTACAGGCATTATGATTGTACGATAAATCCGAAATAACATAGAATAGGTATGTAGGAGTGATATACAAACCTTAAAATAACATCGGGCTTTTCCGGTAAAATACAACTGGTGTCAACCTTGAAACCACAATGGAAAATACGATTTTCGGATTTGTGAACACCGTTTGGTTGGTAGCATGAGATCACACAATGACACAGAGCTCGTACAGTAAGTAGTAGCACTTGCACTTTTAATGGTTGACTGATCGAATCAATGACACCTTTTCTCAATTATAAATTAAATTTTTTTTTTAAATCACTTTTAATTAGTAGCATAAAAATAATTTTAAATACTACACTGCTATAAATTTGTTCACAAAATAACATTAATATCTTTCATTGTTTAAGTTTATATCTTTAATTTAATTGTAGACAAAGCGTGGGAAGCAGCAAGTGGTAACATAACCACATACTAACAACTCGGACGCCTGTTATGCATCGACTGACATTCAGAGACACGAACATTTACGAATAGAATACGAACACTCTAAACTATGAGCTAATGATATCGCGATCACAGCATCGCAAGCATACAATTTTTGAAATTCAGCAAAACTTGCTTTAGTTTTCTTTTATCAAATACATTATATACAAGAGCTTGTGTTATCAAAAATACATAATCATTTCTAAACGAATCTCTGTATCCAACAATAATTTATGCATCTCGTAAGAAACACAATTTACTTAACGTTGAAAAATAAAACCATGTCATAATTTTATGAATGGGCCTACATTATAGGTTTTGCAATTTTCACGTTCAATAGCCTTACAACATACTGAATCGTTGTTTTTAACGACATTGAATCGACTTTTCTAATTTATCTTATCTATTTTTGTTTTATTAACGAAAAAAACGTTTAAATAAACTGTATTGAAGAAGCATTTCACTAAGTGCGAACCGCTGAGGTAATGCGCTCTCCAAAAATTATTTTTTTACATATAAATATATGTTATACATAAGCTGTTTTTACTATACATTTTTTATATTTTTATGAAATGATGCCCTGGACCTTTACAAAATTTATGTAGGATACAGTTACAGATACAGACGACATTTCTTTAAGGAAATCCGATCAACAATAAGGAACCATAAAAAATGTATTTTTTGTATATTTCGTTCATAATTTTTGTAAGTTAATTAAAATTTCAGCAAAATAATTTTTTTTAATTTGGACCCAAATATTTCATTAGATACTTGGTACAATTATATAAAGACCAACTTTTTTTGTGATTTCCAAAATTTGTCTATAGTTACTAGTAAGTTTTAAATATTTTTTTTGCGTGACGTGATTGAACGAGGTGACGGTCAACCTGGTCTTGACCGGCTAGCGGAGCGCATAGACATGAAATGCTGCCACCCACGTTGAGGTACGAGGTGATAGTCCCAATTCTAAAAGGGCTGGCTTATCCTACAAAGAAACACCGTCATGTTGCGCGGCAGAAATAGCCAGGGCGTTGGTACCTAGCCTTGCGAGTTTACAATACGCCCTACTACCAGAAAATAGAGGTTGGCTATGACAGTACGTTAGTATAACTGCTAAAATAACGATACCACCCATTAACTCGTGAATGTCTTAGTTGCTTTTTACGATTCTCACTGGAAGAGATGAGGTGGTGGTATTCGAGGCCAACACAGCCATACACTTTATAAGGCTGTGTTTTGGTAAAGTCAAAGTCAAATTTTTGTGACTTACGGATTTATGACGAAATTATAAGAGTTCCGTTTTCTTGTATTTGACAGCAGAACCCTTATAAAAAAGCTGATTAATCTAAAATACTGAAAATTATTGGAAAGCTCTAATAAGTTACACTCTATTAGAACGAACATCGCATAAAAATATTTCTACGACGATCTATTTTAAATCGTTGGATACGTAAATAGCTTCGCAGTGGCTGTGGGCGAGACGTGATCATAACGTTTAGAAATAATTCTTTGAAAATAATTCTAGTATTTTATCATAATTTACTTAATCAAAGTATTTGAGTTGAAACTCACAAATATAAGTTATATACTTACTCATTTTTAACAAAATTTAATTATTTGTAAATTCATTTTTAAATCAAACCGTGATATTCAAATGATTTTTTCACATATTTTTTTGTATTTATTATATTTTCATAGTAATCACAGTGACACCTATTAGCTATTTCTCATAATATCATCTCATACCATATATTATCAAATACAGAATTGATCAATTTGATATGAGTAATTTCATAATTAAAGCATACCTCGGATTATATACACAAAAATACACCCTAAATTCCAAACTGAGAATGTCCTCTCGCTTTATAAAATTGAAGTCGATTTAAAATGCATAAAGTATTTAGGTACCGTAAGTCTCGAGTTAGTTGGCTACAAAAACTAATTAGCCAAGTGCCTACGCATTTACGTAGTGCAGAATACCCACTCATTGTGACGTACCTTGTCATTACTGCCCTGAGTCACCGCAGTCGCCACGTCAAGGATGCCGTTATTCTAACGTCTGGTAACTTGTAGTTCATAATATTTACACGAAGCGAGTACATTAATAATCTAGTGCTATTTAATTGACCTAAATTGAACGGCTTACAAAGCGTACTTGATTTTATGAACCTAAACTCATCAAGCGTTCTGGTTGGGATTATAGGTCGTTATTCGAATGCCATTTATGCTAAAAACTTCCATCTCATGTCTCAAGATGAGCTGTGGAATTCATGTAACGTCATCTGCGGGCCCCGGTAAAGGCTTAACCCAAGATCACCCATAATCATTTGCCTATCTATACTAAAAATAGATGAAGGTAGATAGGCAAAAGAGCAGTCTTCGAATTCACGCCAAGAACAAAGTTTAAAAAATGTAAGCCTCGTCTGTGTGTTGCACTAATGCACCGGTCATCGTTCTCATCGATCCCGTCGCTTGCGACGAAGGGCTCGACGAGTAATTTAACCCTCAGACAGCCCACTCAGTTTCTCGCTGGATCTTCTCAGTGGGTCCCGTTTCCGATCCGGTGGTAGATTCTGCGAAGCACGGCTCTTGCTAGGGTTCGTGTTAGCAACGTCATCAGGTTTGAGCCCCGTGAGCTCACCTACTAGTTGAGGCGACGCTGGTATAGCCTCTCAAGGCTATCAGCTTAGGAAGAAAAAAAAAAGCACTAATGAGAACATCTCGTTATTATCGGAAATCAGGGAATCTCTCTAGTATTCCCAAAAACTTATAGCCCGATTTCAGTATAGACAATAAATATTATTTTTCACTCATCTATTTCAGAATTCACCTTGGAAGTTCTCAAATAATGACGTTATATTTTTCGTAGCCGTCTTAATGATAAAAATTTCCTTATACAGGTGATCGCTTACGTACCCTAATAATTTATTTTGGTCCTCTGTTCTATTCAAATCATTTAAACTACTTCCTTTTCAGTTTTGGCAACGGTTCAGTGTCAGAATGTAGAATACGACGGCATTTCAAATGATTTCAATGAAAAAAAAAATTGTTAACATACACACGCAGAAATATTCGAGATCTCCTCCGAGCAGGTCAAAAACTAAAATCAAATTAAAACTCTCAGTTGCATGGACTCGACATCTAGGATCATAGATAATTTTAATTTTCTGAGTTCCGCATTTAATTTTGTTGTTCTTCGATGTTGTTGTTTTTTTTGTTAGTATAAAATTAGCGATCTTCCGCCTAAGCGTTCGGAGTTGGTTCGATTTGAACAGACTGTGTCGGGAGATTGACAACATCGACGTAAAAACCAATGTTAAGTCTAACAATGACCTCGTCTTTGTTTTCGGCTTTTATAAACATAGTTCAGGTTACCTTAATAATAATACAATACAGTAGCATAAATGATACTTAAATAACTTATTCACAATTATTAAGTGTAGATAAAATTTAATCTGTTACTGGTCAGAATAAAAGAGATGCAAACATGGCTTCAGTTGGCCGCCAACGCTTCTTCATCAATATCCATTCATAATAAGAATATCATTACCGTATTTTTCTTTGGTGACATAGTACTTGTTTATTTCTGCCCCGAAGTAACCATGTGGCCCAGTTTGAAAATGATGATAGCCGCTATTACACTGTTCGTTATTACGCGGTGGTTTTGGGTTTAAGCTCTAACACCCCTGGTGAGCATTAGCTGTCTAAAAGTATTCATAAAATAAATGATAAATCCGTTTATATCGATAACATTATTTTATTTGGAAGACATCGTTAAGACTTAATTGGTATGTAGCTAAATAAAGGCCTAAAACTTTTGTTTACATTTTGATAGATCAATACTACACACAATACATACTAAAGTATTCTAAAGTATATAGAATGAAACGGATAGTACTGATTCGTAAATAAGCTTGAAAAGATTTGTTTAAATTTTCGTCCGTCCATTTAGAGAGAAATATTGCTCACTGCATTTTCATATTATGTGTATTTGATTACACGTACTTTGAATGACAAACACAAAATTTAAGCAATATAGTTTATCTAAACAAGTGGCTACTAACTTTTTATCACATTTTTTAAATTAACAGTTTTGTGAAGACGACCTCCGGCAGATCTAATTACGGAGTTCATAGACACTGCAATGTGAAATTAATTTCAAGCCAAGAGACAAAAAAAATTAGCATTGAATGCTAAATGAACATTGGATGTTGCTATTTTTATTATTATCATTTTCTAAAAATAAATATATTTGGTTAATAATACATCAAACTTATGGCATTAATTTATAAATGCTTTATGCAAACTCTTAGAAAAATTATACATACTTACATAAGAAAATAACAATTTAATTATTAAAATTAAAAATAAACGATTGAGCTGCAAAAAAGTTCCCAGTACCACTCAGAATGATGTGAGGATTTAAACGATACCCCAAATCTGTTCAAACATTTAAAAGTTATAGTGCAGTAACGAAACCCAAACATATGAAATCTGAAAATGTCCCTTTTTTGAGCTGTCGAGTACAAACTTAACAGTCTTTAGTGATTATACAATAAAATGCATTGGAATTACGGATGGCTAATACCAACTCGCTACTTATATTTCTTTCAAAGTCTTCCGCAGAACATCCAAATAAATAGCAGCATGTTTAGGTTCGAAAATTAATGCTGGTCTCAGACGAATTGCACGTACACCACATACTCCCCCCAAAACACCTAAAAAAATACATTTGTGCAATTCACACACAGTAGAATTGAAAGCTTCAAAATGTTCTAGTTCAAATGTCGCAGGCTAAATCCTTTAAGCTGGGGGCCGCAGAAGGGTTTCGCCCAGCTCAAGCCCTATATGAGGCAACCCCTCCTTGGTGAAAGTTACGGGGCGACCTGAGGAAGTGTACCACGAGATGTGCTTTAGCACGCTGCATGAGAGCAATTCTACGGAAATTCTAGGGAGCAAACGGTTAGCGGTATATCGCGTTCTGATCCAGCCGGGTATACCGAAACAACAGCGACATCGCCTAGGGCGTCCCGAAGGGCTGCCGTACCGGGACGGCCGACGTAAAGTCGTTGACTATCCGCCTCGATGACCTGATGGTCGGGCTCTGACCAGGTTCTAACCCCATTCTGACCCAGACGGAGATCGGATGTCTTGTACTCTCTCAAATTTTTAACAATTTCTCAAAATATCAAAATAATAGCAATCTGTCGGGCTTATTCAGGTTATATTCATATTCGATAGCTTTCTTGAGCCTGAGCAGTAACAGTATCCTCTAAATCCCTAATTCCTACAGATACTGATGGTTATGTTGATGGTGGCATATTGATGTTAAAAAGAACACAAGTTGAGGTTTACCATTTTGGCTATTTCTGGCAAAATAATTATGTTTTTAGGTTTAAAACAGATGATTCAAACTTTAGGCTTAGGTCTGAGAGTTGAGAGTGGAATTAACATTTTAATGTTTATGAGCTGCGATAACAGCAAATATCAATTGGTTTTGGATGGCGTCATCAAAAACTGAAAAAGGAATAGTTGCTGGGCGTATTATGAGCATGCACTTAGGAACCACCATCCTGCACACTTCTGTCTCGTAACAACCCTACATTCCAAGTTTGAAAGGGTTAAGGCATTCAGAACACGATTTACATCTTCGCTTTGTTGTCTACAAGCTTCAGTAAGAAATTAACGTCAAACGGACCTTGGACTTTTTTATGCGCTTAATCCAATATAACACAAATACATTCTTACCGTTTTTCTTTAATCCAGCGTTTATCTTATCCCTTGTTTCAGTAGTGGGAGCATTATAAGCCAAGAACGTGCCTCGACCACGAACACTATGTATTACTCCAGGGAATTCCTTTTCCAGATCGTGTAGGCCATTTTTCAAAACCTTTCCGGTCTTGTTGACTAAATCCAGCAAGTTTTCCTGTTTAATGACCTTGAGAACGCGCTCGAGTAAAATCAATTTACCTGGATCCCCCATCCACGTGTTGAAAACTCTGTACGCGTGCGGAGGTCTGAAAGTTGATTGAGAGAAAACACGTTAAATATAAATATAATTTTGGTTAGCACAAAACTATTGTTCGTTTACGTCATCGTTATTACGACACCTACTTAAAATCAGCAGTGAAGTAGAATCCTCCAGTCAACATTTTCTTGCTAAAGGTGACGACGTCGGGTGACGTCGGTAGATCGAAGTGTTCATAACACCACATTTTCCCGGTTGGACCACATCCGGTTTGCACTTCATCAACAATAAATGCAACCGCCTTCTGCATTTTTTTATAATAAGAGATTAGTATTTTAATATTAAAGATCACAACCAGTATTCACTTCGTATGGTTTAATTTTAGTTACCTCCTTAGATAATTTTTGAAGGTCTCGAAAGAATTCCGGTGAAGCTTCATTATCACCTCCTTCGGACTGAATTGGTTCCACAACAATACCAGCAACCGGATTGCCCTTTTTTTTATACTTCTCAATTAGGTCAGCCACTTGCTCAAGACATCTGCAATTTAGTTACTAATTTATCGTGCCTATAGCCTTATTAGTTACTAGCGACTCGCCCTCGCTTCTCTTCGGAACATTAAATTTTATTATTGATGATAGCTGAGTCCCGCGATGTTACCCGCGGTTATTCTCGTACCGCGGGTGACGCCACGGGGCGAAGCTAGTCTAAAAAAAAAGTAGCCTAAGTTACTCCTTATATCATCAGCTACCTGTCAGTGAAAGTCTCGTCAAAATCGGTCCTTCCGTTCCAGAGATTAGCCGGAACAAACAGACAGACAGACAGACAAAAATTGTAAAAAATGTTATTTTGGTGTACGTACCGTATATATTCATATGCATGTAGTAAAAAGCGGTTATTTCAATATTACAAACAGACACTCCAATTTTATTTATATGTATAGATTAATTATTCTTGTTAAGCCTGTGATTGCATTTCTTGTTATTAAAGCAATATTAACATTCGTAGAAACGCTGGACACGATAATATTTTTTTTTTTATTATACAAAACATTAACGAAAAATAATAATTTTCTAATGTTGTGTGTACAGCACCTAATGTGACATAAAAATTGAAATGAAGTGACAAGTCATCAAAATTTACGTGAACCCATGATCATCACAATAAAACTGACGCCACCCACCTTGGGGCATGAGATCTAAGACAATTGTATAGAATCACGGTGGTCTAAATCTTACAAACCAATAATTAATAATAAAGAATACATTAAACTATATAGATCTGATTAAAGTTACGTCTCCGATGATTGATTGCCTTACATTCCCAAGAGCTGTGCTTCGTAGAATTTACCGCCGGATCGGAATCACGACCCACTGAGAAGATCCGCCAAGAAACTCAGTGTGTTTATACTTTATATTATGTGTAGGGACACAGTTTGAGTAGCGCATGCGGTTGTACTGGCCGTTAACTTGGTTGGGCTGGCCACATTAGCCGGACAACCGATAACCGTTGGGGTAAACTCGTTCTTGAGTGGAGACCGCGAATTGGAAAACGCAGTGCAGGAAGCCCTCAGGCTCAATGCAGTTATGATCTGTGCAGAATAGCTGGTCAGAGCGGGATGAGAGAAGCAGAGTATCGTGCTCAGTGGCGAGCAATTGGAGAGGTCTATGTTCAGCCGTGGACTGCTATAGTGATGATGGATGCGGTTGTACATCGCTTATTATAGACACTTGTGACAATATACGGAGTAAAATCGGAACTCACTTGTTTTATTTATAAAGGGCAGTTAACACCTTTGCTACGCCTTATAAACCATACAGTGGTGACCCCGAGGACTCGAACTTTATACCTTGCGTTTTTGTGTGTTGTGAAAGTGTTTTTGGAACTTGGACCGGTACGACCTACTATTGCGATTGCGACCTGCTACTGTCAAACAAACCATGGCTCCGGAAGCTGCTCTCTAACTGGCAAGCATCAACGTATCATCACGTAAACCAGAGTTTTGGACGGATCAACCACGCCTTTGGTTCATCCAGATTGAGGCGATCCTGTGTCCGCAGAAACTAGGCGACGAGCCAAAATACAATTTGGTAATCGCGAAATTAAGCAAGGATGCCATCGCCCAAGTTACCGATTTTTTGGCCAAGCCACCGGACAAAAATAGATATAATGCTCTGAAGGAGAAATTACTTCAAGTTTTTGAAGAGTCCCGGAAACTATACAAGCTGATTGGTGAGATGGAGCTTGGTGACCAGGGCCCATCCCAGCTGTTGACGAAGATGACTGACCTGGCGCGGGGGAAGGTGAACGAAGACACTCTGTCTTTGCTGTGGAAAAGACATCTCCCGATGTGGGTACGCGCAGTCCTCACCGTATCCGAGACCAACGACTTGGCGCTGCTCACCAAACTCGCCGACCAAGTGCTGGAATATACTTCACACACCACATCTCAGGACATCTGCAGAGCTGATAACAACATTCCTGTGAGCCCCGACGACCTAGAGAAGACGGAAATTATTACGCCGTTCGGTCTCTATAATTGCCGTCTTCTCTATGAATTTCCGCGAATGAGTTTTGGCCTTAGCAATGCAGCCCAAACTTTTCAACGATTTATGAATAACTCGGTGTTGCGGGGAATACAAGTTGTGAACTCGGACGGTGACATTACTGAAGGTTCTGATTTTTATACTGTTACTTAGATGACGTAATCACCGCTAGTCAAAATGCAGATGAGCATAAGTCACAACTGGACGCGCATTTTAAGCGTTTTGACGAATTCGGCCGAAACCCTTGACAAGTTGAGACAATTTTTAGGGATGTTGAATTTCTATAGAGCTCACTTACCAAAAGCAGCCCAGCGGCAGACAGAGCTCAATAAATTTTTAAAAGGCGCCATATAGAATAAGTCGAAGATACTATAGGACGAAAAATCGGATAGTGCGTTTTTACAGTGTAAACGCGACTTACAAGAGGCAGCGTTATTAACTTATCCAAGCGAGAACGCTCCTTTATGTCTCATGGAGGACGCATCTAATGATCGCGTAGGCACGGTGCTACAAACTGAAGTCCGAGGTTCTTTAAAACCTTTAGGATACTTTTCTAGACGTATGACGGATACGGAGCGTAAGTATAGCGCTTACGATCGGGAACTGTTAGCTATCTATCTCGGCATACAACATTTTAGGTATATGCATCTACATCTTGTAAAAATGAATATTTAAGAAAATCGAATATGATTTTTAAAAAAATCTGATTTAAAAAAAAAAGACATGCCCGCTGAGTTTCTTGTCAGTTCTTCTCAGGAGGGAGACTAGTTTTTGTGAATTGGCGGTAGTTCTTTTTGACGTTCAACAAGTGTGTACTTTACGTTGAATAAAAAAAAATGATTTCATTTGATTTGACGCACTTTTACAGTGCTAACAGATCATAAACCGTCAACTCATTGCGTTTAGACAAAAACCTAGCGCGAAAGATACTCCACGACGTACTCGACAGCTTATGTTTATCAGTGAGTTCACAACTGATATTTGATATGTGAACGGTTCCGAGAAAGTAGTCGCAGACTGCTTATCGCGCACAGAAACAATAACTTGTCCCACGAACATCGACTACCAAGAATTATTCCAAGTGCAAAATGCTGACGGCGAATTGTCGGAGTTGTTAAAGTTACCGGACACGAACTTTAATTGTAATATTAAAAAAAGAATCACTACCTGATTCTGACCAAGCTATTTATTTCGACGTGTCAACTAGCCGTATTCGACCCTATTTGCCTGAAAGTTTTAGGCGTAAGGCATTCCAGATTTTGCATAATCTAAGCCATACAGGTATATGATCGACCCGGAAATCAGTTAGCGAAGGATTTTATTGGCCTAATATGAACAAGGACGTAGGTCTCTGGGCCAAAACATGTGTTCATTGCCAAAAGGTTAAAGTCACAAGACACACAATCTCGCGATTCGGCGAATTTCAGCGGGTAGATCGATTTGAGTATGTTCATTTAGATCTAGTCGGCCCACTGCCGACGTCACAAGGTTATAGGTACTTGTTGGCGTTAATCGACCGAACTACACGGTGGCCTGAGGCTTTCCCTTTAAAAGACTTTTCTGCTGACGCGGTAGCTAGAGTTTTATGAAGGTTGTATATTACATTTTGTGTGCCCCGTAAGGTTAACTAGTAACCAAGGTACCCATCACAACACGCTTCTAAAGTACTTAGGTGTAGTGTAGGAGAGAACTACCCCATACCACCCACAGCACAACGGTATCGTCGAGCGTTAGCATCGCTCTCGCAAAACATATTTGCGAGTGAGGCTAGAACGCACGGACAGTACATGTATTGATCAGATACCTACGGTCTAGCTCGGGTTACGCGCTGTTGCACGTAGCGACACAGGTGTCAGCGCTGCACAAATGGTTTATAGCGATAATATCAGGTTACCGGGAGAGTTTTGTGATAACACAAAACAACAATGTAATAACGATGCAGAGTTACTTCGGAAAATTGCGGAATCTATTCACAAAGTTCTACCTGTTCCAAATAAGAACAGAGATCAAAAATCTATTTTTGTACACCCTGATTTGAATACGTGTTAATTTGTTTTTGTACGAAATGAGGTTAAGCGTTCGTCTCTTGAACCTTCTTACTCAGGACCATATAAAGTTTTACGGCGAAGTTCTAAAGTTTTAAAAATTCATTTTCCGCATAGACAGACGCGTGTGTCGATAGATAGATTGAAACCGGCACATAATCTCAACGAGGAGGACGTTGCGACATCGTTCTTATGTCCACCCATTATGGACGATATTTTTTTGCCTTATAATGTGCCAGTGTCTAAACAATGTAGTGTCGCTCCGACTCCTACATACTCAAGTAGCAGTAGGCAGGTACAAAAACCTGTATGATTTGTTAACTGAGGCTGAGGAATTTCATTATTTGAAACTCGATATCGACACCAATTTACCTATGAGCTGTCCGTCAGCTGCCACTATCCAGTTGCGCGAAGTCACACCTAAACCTCAACCTCAGGAAACAAGAAGTTCGGCTTTCGTGTAGTGTTTTCGTATAAAAGTATTTTTGTGTAATTTACGTACGGATAAATTAATGTTTTTCTGAAATTCAATATTTCTTTTTTTCTCTTGTTTTTCTATATTGTTTTATTTTTGTGTCATGTTTATTGTGTATGCAAATTTTGGAAATTAGTTTAAGTATGTAATTATAAAATGTAGCCTTTTTTTAAATGTACGTATTTATAATTGTAAATAGACATGCTTTAATAAAAACCGACTTCAAATAGAAAAATAAGATATTCCAAAACAAATTATTAGACACTAAAAACAATAATCATCGAAATCGGTTGGCGTGATATTGAGTTATTCATCTATTTGTCGCGCACGTATTTAATGCAAATTTAAGACATATGGTTTTCTCATGGAAACCATTATCAGAACTGGACTAAACTGGACTGGGAATGGGGACCACACGGAAAGCGCGTCAGCTTTCTAATAAAAAAAGAATCATCAAAATCGATTCACCCAGTCAAAAGTTATGAGGTAACAAATATTAAAAAAAACCAGTCGAATTGAGAACTTCCTCCTTTTTTGACCTCGGTTAAAAAAGGGGGAGGGGCTTATGTAGGGAAAGAGTTTGTGTAGCGCATGCGGTTGTACATCGCTTGTTGTAGTTAGTCGTACATAGCGGACTTTTTGGCGGGAACGCGAGGAGTGAAGTTGTGTGATTTGTTTTATTTTGTCTATTTAGTGTTTCTTCAGGTTTAAATGTGTAATAACGGTGGTTTATTAACTGTTTAATATCTGTGAAAGTGCAAAAATGTGGAAAAATGAAACAAAGCCGCTGGACGTAACTTCTCGGGATCCCCCAAAAAGTCCACTGAAGAAATCTCAGTAAATGACCACCATTTTACTGGGATTATATTTCATCCCATAATAATATAATCTCATCTCATTTCATTTAATTTCATCCCAGTTGCTTAATGTCTCAAATTAATCATCTCCATTTCATTTCATTTCACTCCATATTATCACTTTTCATAAAAATAAGAATATAAATTAAAATAAGACATGACCCTAAGGTCTTAGTTACCAAGACATAAAATCCCTTAAAAAAAATCGTACATAGCCCGCCCGACAAGTCAGACACTTGTGACAATATACAGAGTAAAATCGGAACTGACTTGTTTTATTTATAAAGGGCACTTAACACCTTTGCCACGCCTTATAAACCGGACATTATGTATTACATAGTATTAGTATAATAGCCAGCAAACTTCTTGAGCATTTGTCGACGTAGTGGGGGTAAGTTCCCGCATGGTACACTCACGTGCAAAAACATCATTTACTCTGCGTCATAATGCTATTAAATTATTAAAATCAACATATTATGTATTTATTTATATATTTATTAGAACATCAACAAAAAATATAGGTTAATAATTGTAATAATTTAATCTTGGGGTAAAATAGATATTCCTTCTATTAAGTCAAAACTAGAGCTGTTGCCAGGTCTTCGTTCAGTTGAAGCGAAGCTGGTATTTGAATATTTTTTTCGTTATCATAATCTTGACCATCATCATCATCACTGTTTTCATCACCCGAGTCGCTATCATCGTGATGAATCGACATAGGGCTCATCGGTGTAGTTTACAACTCGGTCGGTGCGGTCTTCTTTTTTTCCTATAATTAATTATTTTTTGAAGATATTCGATTCGTAGTAATCGAATGTTACTTTTTTCAATTACCAGCTTCCGATTACTTTCTGTTTTTTTTCCATCTGAAGCCTAGCTCTTTCATAATTCGTCGTAAGCTTTATTCAGAGCCATTAAAATTTATATCTTCTTTAAATTTTTCGAAGCCTTTCTACGGTACGGACTTTCGCTGCTTGTTATGTAGTTATTATGATTACACCTTTTATTACAGATTGAACGAAACTATCCATTCCGGTATCTTTCTTCTTCCCTGATCTTTTCTTAACCGGAGTCCGAAACACGGCGAGCAAGCCAGAGCCTTTAGCATCGTTAATAATGCACCTAACAGTACTCACTGATGTTTTTCTTGCTTCCGAAGTCTGTTTTACTTTTTCCATATCATTCTTCACCTGTTTTATAATGAAGCAATATACGTCGTACACAATTTTTCTACCCTTTCTTTTGAATACTACACCAGTTTGTCGCGGCATAGTGTATTTTTTATAAAAAATCAACAAACACTCAACATATAGCAATGGCAACAAAGTCAACAAGCAATTATAACAAATAACTTAACGATTAATAACGATAGACTTTTTACTGTACGCAAGCGTACTTTTGGGAGCAAGCGGAACGAGGGCGCGGTGCGGGGCGCAAGGTTCGACTGATCTACCAATAACGCGCTCGATACGTTTTCCCCTGCCGTCGCGCCTCACCCTCACCACCAAAGTGATCTAAAATTCGGTTCTGCGCAGTCAAGGTCATTTGCTCAAGAAGTTTGCCGGTTACTATAAAATTGTTATTAACACTGATAAAAATCTGTTAGTAACATTATAAGCCACCGTCACCTGTCCCTTTATATAGTCTCGACGAGTATTGCATGAATGCTTCTAATACTACTTACTTCTAATACTTCTATTATGGTAGTATGTTTTATATGTGGCGTGAACCAAAATAAATGTAATGTTATTTTCTGAAAGGTATTCATAAAGATCACTAAAGATTTTGAAACAAATTGTTAAGTATATAAACCTGTAAGAGTAAAATTATAATGATACCTCTTGTCTTCTTGCTTATTTTCATTAATATTTTCTTCAAGGGGATATTTGTATCTGGGAAACGGAGCAACCGGCCAATCAAAAGCTGGACAGTCTAACTTATGCAATGGCTTCGATCTAGTAGTAGACAGAGCTCCAAATGTTCGACCGTGGAAACTTCCCTGTTAAACAACAATGTTACATGACAATATATTTTGTAAAATCCCGTTCTCATAGCGTTCCCAGTGGCGGATTAAAGGTCCAGAGCGCCCTAGGCAATCACTTTATCGGCGCTCCTGTACCGGCCATAAATGGCCTTCATAATACTATAAATTTTAACTAGTTGTTTTTGCAATTACGATGACGTTGTATCATCAAACCCTAGACTTTAGTAGACCAGGACCCTTGTACTTACTCTAATGCGCGAATGAAATACAAACAAACCCGCAATATTGCATAATACGAGTATATCGATGCTTGTGCAATATAATCTATTATAAATTTAGATAATATCAGCATCAGCATTTAGTTCTTAATTGTCGACATGTCATTTTCTTTATTTATTTAAAAATTCTGAGATCGCACGTCCCTTGTAAAACTATACGCCCCTAGGCACGTGCCTAGTTTGCCTTACGGATAATCCGCCTCTGAGCGTTCCCAATTCTAAATAAACCTGACTTAATTGCAAGCAGATTTATAAATAATCGGAGTGATTTCATTTGATGTTGCCCATTCATTACCGACACGATAAAACGTTTTTTTTTCTTAATCACTCTTTTTTTAAACTATTATTTACATTTGCTTCTTTTGACCTTAACGATGATAATTTTATAATAAGCAAAAATTGGCTTTTTAATGCTCCACATGCGAAAACAGGTTATTAGTATATATAAGGTCGGTCTGTGAACCCGGACAGTAGCGCAGCCGAGAAGCAGTAATGCGTTTCGGTTTGAAGGTAGAAGCAGCCGTTGTACTGTAAAAATGGGACTAGATCTCATGTCTAAACCACCACACGGTAACCACTTGACAACAGATGGGCCATGAGCACGTCTACCATCTAAATACCAAAATTAAAAATAACCATTTCATCCAATGCATTACCAATGGGATTCTCCCACTTTGAGCGACCAAGTTCTTCCTATTCGGTGATAAGTTCTGTGCCTACCGGGTTTGGAAAGGGGAATTGCGGTTCGGTTCCTGAGAAGGAGTCTGAGAAACGGCTATCATATTGAAGGAAGACAGCAGGCGCGTACCCCTTAGTACGTGGCGCAAAACACTAACGTGTTTTCAAGGGTTAATCCTGAAGACCCTAATCAGGATAACAGTAAAGTCTTATATTTAATTTTTCTATTATGTATTGCCATCGGTCCTTGATAAGTGTGCAAAGCTTAAATCCAAATTGTTTCAACTTTGAAATCAATCCGACGTTTTAAAAGTGAAAATCAAGTTCAAAGTTTCTGTTACACATACCATGATAATCAAAGTGTTAATGAACGCAGTGAATGCAAATTTGCCTCCCACTTTGAATTAGGTACGGGTCTAGTTAACAATATTCTGTTGTGCGGGATAAATACTGATGTTATCATACCTCAAATGATAATATTGACAGTTTAGGTGATCCAGGAACTTGATTCAACATACAACNGTGAAAATCAAGTTCAAAGTTTCTGTTACACATACCATGATAATCAAAGTGTTAATGAACGCAGTGAATGCAAATTTGCCTCCCACTTTGAATTAGGTACGGGTCTAGTTAACAATATTCTGTTGTGCGGGATAAATACTGATGTTATCATACCTCAAATGATAATATTGACAGTTTAGGTGATCCAGGAACTTGATTCAACATACAACTGTCAATTTCTTCGGGTGTGAAATCCAGTTTTCCTCCGCGTTCCCGGGTCTGATACCATATGAATACAGTTTTATACGCATTCTCAATAGAACAGGAGCCACACATCATTGTCGCTATGTTGTCCAACCCAACGGGTCCAACAGATAATAACACATTTTTCAATTTCTCTGGCCAATCAGCTGAAGGAAAAACTCCCAGAGCTGGCCTATTAATCAAAGATTTCTGAAATAGTATACAAAATATTAGTTTAAATAAATAAACAAAATTAATTTAAAATAAAATTGAAATTACGTACAAGATTGTGTTGATCTTCAAATGCGCTTAATAATTCAGGATGATTATACCCCACGGGAAGAGAAGATATTTGTGTGAAAGCATCTAGGAATGCATTACCATCGGCGTCAAAGAAATAATTTCCAATACTTTTGTCATAATCAGCAAAAAGCTGAACTGCTCCCGCTTGCTAAAAGCATAATTGTATTCCAGTTTAACTTGTAGTATGGCATACGTGATAAAATCCCTATTCGATTGAACTCTTTGAAATCTAATCGTTTTTTACTTCATATTGGATGTTAGTCGTTCTAAGTTTAATGCTATTTACTGGCATCCAAGACGAATTAATAACAATAATGTTCGCCGTTTCAGAGAGAACAGATGAGAAGGCACAAAGATTCAATAGATATTATTTTTCCTACCTATACTGATAGCCTTGAGAGGCTATTTCAGCTTCGCCTTAACGTGTAGGTGAGCTCACGGGACTCAAACCGGGAGTGTTGCTAACACTGGCCCTAGCAAGATCAGTGCTTCGCAGAATGTACCACCGGATCGGAAACGCGACCCACTGAGAAGATACGGCGAGAAACTCAGTGGGCGGTGTCTATGTGTTAATTTACTCGTCGCGCCCTTCGTCGCAAGCGACGGGTTCGGCGAGAACGGTGACCGATGCTTGAGCTACCTAAAAGCACCGTTAATGGATCGGGAAGATCCGTAATGACGTGTTTGGGGCGACGTCGACTGTTTACCATTCGGTCCACAGGATCGGGTATGGTTGGATGTGTAACACGTAATTCATGGAATGCAATTTCTTTTTATTTTTATTGCTTAGATGTGTGGACGAGCTCACAGCCCACCTGGTGTTAAGTGGTTACTGGAGCCCATAGACATCTACAGAGTAAATGCGCCACACACCTTGAGATATAAGTTCTAAGAACTCAGTATAGTTACAACGGCTGCCCCACCCTTCAAACCGAAACGCATTATTGCTTCACGGCAGAAATAGGCGGGGCGGTGGTACCTACCCGTGCGGACTCACAAGAGGTCCTACCACCAGTAAAATGCATTGGAATCACTCTCTCGTTGACCTATTTTTTTACAAGGGAACAAGTATGAACTTTAAACGAGTTTACACTTAAATTCCACGATGGTGGAATAACAACGTGTTATAAATGAGACACGCAGAAATGGGGCAGCCTTTGTAACTATACTGAGACCTTAGAACTCATATCTCAAGGTGGGTGGCGGCATTTACGTAGATGTCTATGGGCTCCGGTAACTACTTAGCACCAGGCACCCAACTAAGCAATAAAAAATAAAAATTATCATCCAATCAGATTATTAAATCAAAATTAATTTTTAGTCTTAAATCAGTCTATCTAATCTTTGTGTATCGCACCAATGTCCTTGCCTTACTTAATCAATTTAATGTATACATAGATTGAAATTTTAAATTTTTTAATCAGTTTTATTTTTTGGTAGCTGTTCGAACACAAAAAACTTTGATTTCGTTTGGAAGTTAATTCGTTTCGACATCACAGGCCACTACTGATAAAAACCTGCGACTTTACTAATTACCGTTTGGAACAATCAATAAGTTAACTTTACTTAACAATACCTGTAGAGTGTTGAGTTCTTTCAGCAGCTGCTGCGACTTGGGCCCGGGAATCGCTGTTTGAATATTGGGTTTATCTGGTTCATGCTGCAAAACCGAATAAGCCCTAACACCTGAAAACCAATTAAAGGATATAATTAAATAAAGTATAATTGGATATACACCTTAGATACTTTTAATTTTAACGTATCTTTAACTACTTAGTCTGGCCATAAATACTGTTACAATTAAAAATAAACAAAATATTACATTTGAATTTGGAATCTGTCATTTTTATATGATTGCTCATTGAGTTTTCTCATTTTGGCGCCAATACATTGTACAATATTTTGCGATATTAAAATGGAGTGGGGTAATAAAGAGAACAGAATCGCTGTGATTGCATTACACAAAGTAGGTATGGAGCCAAATGCAATTTTTAAAACTCTCCATACGCTTGGTATTAGTAAAATGTTTGTGTACCGGGCTATCAATAGGTGCAATGAGACCTCCTCTGTTTGTGACAGAAAAAGAACTGGCCGTTCACGTAGTGTTCGTACGAAAAAGGTGGTCAAAGCAGTAAGGGAAAGAATTCGAAGAAATCCTGTCCGAAAGCAAAAGATTTTATCTCGGGAGATGAGGATAGCACCTAGAACCTAGATGATTGCAGCCTATAAGAGACGTACTGGTCATTTCTTAACTGATAATTTAAAAGAGACTAGGGTGGTAAAATCGAAACAACTACTGCAGCGGTACGCAAAGGGAGGTCATAAAAATTTTTTGTTTACGGATGACAATTTTTTTACAATTGAGCAACATTTTAACAAACAAAATGACCGTATTTATGATCAAAGCTCTAAGGAAGCTTCCCAATTAGTCGACAGAGTGCAACGTGGGCACTATCCGACTTCAGTGATGGTTTGGTGGGGTATTAGCTATGAAGGAGTGACTGAGCCATACTTTTGTGAAAAAGGTATCAAAACATCGGCACAAGTGTATCAAGATACCATTCTTAGGAAGGTAGTGAAGCCCCTTAACAACACCGTGTTCAATAATCAAAAATGGTCCTTCCAGCAAGACTCGGCGCCAGGTCATAAAGCTCGGTCTACGCAGTCTTGGTTGGAAACGAACGTTTCGGACTTCATCAGAGCTGAAGACTGGCCGTCGTCTAGTCGTTTTTTATTTATTTTTTAGACAATTTTTTTGTTAATGTTTTCATTTTTTTATGATACAGCATACAAAAATACATACAACCCAAAATTTTCACCCCTCTACGATCAACCCTTATTTTTTATTTGCTAACTAGCTGACCCGGCAGACTTCGTAGTGCCTCAATCGATAAATAAAAGACCTAAACTTTTATATAGAATAAACTTAAAACAAACAAAAGGAATCCGTCCGACGGGGGACACGTCAAAGGGAAAACAAAATTGTTATTTTTATTTAATTCCGAGAATTTTCATATTTTTATACCTTTTAAACCTTCTCTGCACTTCCACAAATAATTCAAGACCAAAATTAGCCAAATCGGTCAAGCCGTTTTCATGTTATGTCGTGACAACGGAAAACGGGTTTCATTTTTATATATATAGATTAAAAACTTTAAATTTTTTGCAAGAATTTTGTTTTTTATTTTGTCATGACTTAGAATAAAAAAATTCATATTACTCTAACATTTTCACCCCTCTACGATCAACCCCTATTTTTTTTTTTTTTGTTAATTATAAACTTTAATTTTTTTGGCAAGATCTTCATTTTTATTTTGTCATGAATTAAAATAAAAAATCTAATGTTACTCTCAATTTGTCATCCCTCTATGATCAACCCCTATTTTTTATTTGTTAATTATAAACTTAAATTTTTGTGGCTATATTTTTATTTTTATTTTGTCATGACTTAAAATAAAAAAAATCATATTACTCTCAATTTTCACTCTTATACGATCAACCCCTATGTTTCCATCCCGATATTTTTTTTTATTCTATGCGCAGATCCGCACTAAGGTTGCAAGATGGCAATCAAATATTATAATTATTGTAGTACGATAAATTCTTATTCAGAGCTTATAATTTCAAGTTCCTTTAATTATGATTTTTTTTAAATTCAATTTGATCTCCCGCCCTCGTCGGTCGACTACTGATCAACTATCAATCGATCAGTTATCCACGCCAGGTGTTACCACTCATCCAGCAAACATCACGTAGTAGGGATGAGGACGAAGCCGGTCTCCTGTCTTACTTACTCACTATATGTATATATTTGAGAGCTATACAATACTATACATTTTTCGGCCATGTTTTTTTGGTTTTATTTGTGTATCAATAGTATGTTCAGTAGGTTTGAGAATCGGCTACAATCTATTTTTCATACCCCTAAGTGATAAGGGTTGTCCACACCAAACATTTATTATTATATTTTTTTTGGATAATATTTTTTATGTGGTTGAATCTACGAATAAATAATAAGTAAGGAAGTTTAACTCGGAACAAATTTCACAAAAAAAGTGGCCCCACTTCAAACCAAAACGACGTATGAAACAAAAACCCATCACAACCGAGGTTGGAAATAAACATTATTTGTGATTGGTTTGATTTCAAAACGAAAGCAGGGATTGGGTCATGCACTTGCTGCAATGTCTGCTATGACAGCAGAGTCATGACAGCGTAGACGATATAACAAATATAATAAGTGGACCGGACAAAGTTAATAATGAAACAATATAATTGTATAATGTTTATGTATTTGTTTTTTTTGTAATAAACTCTATGTCCCTCGACATATTTTTAATTTGTTAAGTTTTTGCCTAGATGACATTAAAAAATAATCTTTTTTCGCAATGTAGGGAAGACGGATTCTGAGAAATTCAACCATTACACAAATGTGTAATGGTTGAATTTAATATGAATTTGAATTTATAATTTTATAAAAAAATGAAATGGTCATTATTTGTCTGGTGACTGTTTTTTGTAAGCGCAGAATATCTTCATTGTCAATTATTTTAGAAAAACTTGTTCGAGTAAGTGATTTTCCGTTATTACGTATTTTCATTATCTGTCTTAGTGTTTCTGTGCGTGTACATATTTTATACAACACCACAGATGGGTACGAGAGTCCACCGAAATCTTTCATACTAATCAGATTGTGAAAATACAATTTTTCATTAGCAGTTAGCAATGATAAGCATTCTGGACAGTTGGTTTTCGCTTGCAGTTTTCGGCTTACAAAGCCGGCTGTATAGCCTACATGAATGATGTTATTAGGGTTCAATTTGGTTTGCGTACTATCCGTAAAGAAAAACTGCGTGTGGTTGCAACGACATTTATTGTGCGACTGTCTTAAATGTTGACAAGTAAAAATATCGTAATAGCTACTCTACAATTTGCTCCACTGTTTCTGGCAATTGAAGGCTAGCGTCCAGCATGTTTGATAGCGTGAATAGAGCATACTTTGCTGGTTTTCACAGGCATCCAGTCATATTCTTGTCTTTTAAACTTAACTGCAGTTATCCACTTTTTTGCAGAATTGCATTGGCAGGAAAACTAAAAGAAAACAAATTAAGCAAAATCCATTATCGTTATAAAATTATCAAATTAAATATACCTATTTTATAATAAAAAATATTATATCGATATACTTTTCAATATTTAAATACATACATACATAATAAAAAAATACAATCAAAAATTTACTGATTTCATGTTGCATAGTGTTAACCATCTCGGCTTGATAACATTTTTGCAAATCATGAAATATAATTATAATTTTGCTACTACTTACTAGTGAAAAGTGATCCCTGGCTATTTTAGCCTTGTATGGTTCCTGCACCACTTCACAACACACGCTGGCATGATTATTGACAACACAATAATAAATCAAAAATAAGAGATGTGCTGGCTTTCAAGAACAATATCCGACTGATGACGCGTTGGACACGACTTTTAAGCCCCGGCTTCTTGGACACGACTTTTGTTGGGTCATTTTTAGAGCGCAGTTACATTTCCTGACTTAATATTTTTCGTAGGGTTGACTGAGGTTTTTTTTTCTACACTAGAATTTCCCTAGAAATCTTATTTAAGGCAACACAACGTTTGCCGGGTCAGCTAGTAACACAGGTCACTCACATGCGCACGAATACGCAAACCCGCAAGTGTAGGACGACATTTGCAAATGATTATGCAAAGTTTTCGCTACATTCGTTGTTTTCCAAGCTGTGTCGGTTTTTTAACAGACATCAAAGCGCGCGAACCGCGAACCTTCGCGTAGTCTCCCACACATTCGTTTGCCCAGTTGCGCCGACGATTGCGAAAGTAACGGACGTATCGCCATTTTCATAGTTCGTGACGTCTACTGTGTAGCGTCACGAGAAATCATCAAAAGAAATCCCATAAAAACAGCATGGCTGTTAATGATGTCTGGGAAAGAATTCAAAACTCTTTTTCTCTTTAATGTTCTATTGACGAATTAAAAAGAAGGAGAAATTCGTGAGACATTCGTAAACAAGTGTAGGAGGAAGCGCAAACGGGTTCGCAAATTGAGTATGCGAACCCATTTGCACAGCCGCTAGGTTTGCGAATGAATGTTTGACGGCCCTTCACATGCGCGCAAACATTCGTACAATGTACGAATATTTGCGCGCATGTCAGTGGCCGGCATAATATTATAGAAAATTTTTGTCGTCAACGACGACGACCACGTTAAAGCTTTTTTGAAACATGTTTTGAAGTCTGCTGTCATGAGTATTAAGTATCACTTGTTCAATGGGCCAATTTCCCATCGTATCGCACGGTGAAGCATTCTTGGGAGTTTTTCGCGTCAAATCTGCGTAAGACAATCATCAGACAGACATCTATTAGATCTTTTGATGTNATTATAGAAAATTTTTGTCGTCAACGACGACGACCACGTTAAAGCTTTTTTGAAACATGTTTTGAAGTCTGCTGTCATGAGTATTAAGTATCACTTGTTCAATGGGCCAATTTCCCATCGTATCGCACGGTGAAGCATTCTTGGGAGTTTTTCGCGTCAAATCTGCGTAAGACAATCATCAGACAGACATCTATTAGATATTTTGATGTAATTAATATTTTTCAAAGAATACATTTTACCGATATTTATTTTTATGACATATCTCTATTTGGTCCCAAATTTTATTTCATCGGTAGGTAGTCGCTTTCTGTCCCACTAGCAATAGATAATGCGTAATCCTTTACTTTGTACTCGTTTCCCGCGTTCTATCGCTAGTCGAGAGAAAACTAACTTTGCCGTCTCCCGCGGTTCTAAGTACTAAGTACTAAGAGGTGACAAAAGAGTTTACACCCTTCACACCTAAAATGAGATATTCTAACAATTCAAAAAAATATGTTAACATGAGATAATGAGATATTTAATGGACTAACATAATTTTTTTAGCTTGTACAAAAAAAAACTAGTTATTTTTTTAGTCAGACATTTTCAGACTTTGTTGCAACCTGGATATTGATATGTGTGTACAAAAAAAGCTCAAATTCATTAGAGTAACGCTAAAGTTTTGGGAAGCTTAAAAGACAAAGGGAAGATATTCCACACCGAGCTGGTGATATTGCTCGGTAGACCGACGGTCCAAATGTTGTTGTTCGGAACTTGTATATATGCAAGCTTATCTTGAAAATGTAGTAAGCAAGATTCAGGCATCTGTCAATTATCTTGCGTTGTATGATGGCTACCGCCACAAAACTAGTCTAGCCCGAAAACCTGAACGCATGACTGCTTCCTGGCAGAAAGGAAAGTTCTGGTAACGCGCCACTTTCCCTTTCTAGCAGTGTGTCGCGATGCCACTCGGCAGGCCGATTGTGGTTCAGCGGAATATACCGGAACGCCAGCGGCACCGCTTAGACGATCTGGCTGTCAATCGATGTACGGTCGTCGATTCGTCAATCCAAAAAATTAGGATGGGTCACGTTGTTGTTCTTTTGCTAGTACCTCGCTTTCTTGGACTCTCAAGGGTCCCGAAACACAACAGGCTGGGAAAGCATAAATCGTTTGAGGCGAGAGACCTAATTTCTCTTGTCCCTTGCTGTTAAGCCGGAAAGGAATTGGGATGGCGTGAAAAACTTTCTCTTTTCTTGCAAAAAGTTGTACTCCCAGAAGTCTAACGTCACCAGCTACAATTCATTCCATCCAAGTGTTACACCCAGGCTGGTCAGGTTGTACTTGCACAAAAACTACACAGCCCTTTTCATGTAGGATGAGTTGCAAATGTGTGCTATGCCATGTCTTGGATGTCATAGTATTGACACACCATTGTTGGCTCCTTCTTGTGCATGTAATCAGTGACTTGAAGGTTGTTATAATCACATGACTATAAGTACAGAGTGGAGAGCCAAGGCCGCTGATGAAAATTGATAACTGATCAAATTAATAAATATATATCAGGAACTTGGTGTTTGTCTTCCACAAGCATATGATCCTGAATGATTTGAATTGATTTGACCTCCTGATTCATTGATTGTGTCCATCAATATTATTACTCATTGTAATAAGAGCTTAGACAGTGAAGTATACGCTCCAATCACTTTTATTAAATTGTCATTCATTTTCATATTCAGTTTAAAATATTTATTTATTTCTTTAATTGTGTTTTTACGGATTGGGGCCCTATGAGCTATTTAAGACGTTGCACCAATACAATTTTTCTCTTAGAATAATTGTCAATAACTCATTTACAAATAAACTCAGACAGACTTTATAGTCCAACCGGTCATCGTTCTTGTCGAACCTGTCGCTTGCAAAGAAGGGCTCGGAAAGTAAATTAACCCACAGACACAGCCCACCGAGTTTCTCACCGAATCTTCTCAGTGGGTCGCTTTTGGATCCGGTGGTAGATTCTGCGAAGTACGGCTCTTGCTAGGGTTCATGTTAGCACGTTAGTAACAACGTCAGGTTTGATCCCTGCAAGCTCACCTACTAGTTTGGTGAATCTAGAATAACCCCTCGAGTTTCTAGAATAGGTAGGGAAAAAAAAAAGTCCAATAACTAGGGTCACTAGACCAACAATAATAATATTAGCTAAGCCCACATAGTTTGGAACACACTCTTTTCAGAAGCTCCTAAGAGAGATAAAATCAATGTATTGCACCGCTAGGAATGTTTTGAACTTAAAACTAAATAACAGACTTAGTACTGACTTAAACAAAGAAAACTAGATGTCATTAACGGAAACAAANAAAAAAAAAAGTCCAATAACTAGGGTCACTAGACCAACAATAATAATATTAGCTAAGCCCACATAGTTTGGAACACACTCTTTTCAGAAGCTCCTAAGAGAGATAAAATCAATGTATTGCACCGCTAGGAATGTTTTGAACTTAAAACTAAATAACAGACTTAGTACTGACTTAAACAAAGAAAACTAGATGTCATTAACGGAAACAAATGTAAAAAATCAAAATAGACTAAACATGTCATAATTTTCTTTTGCAAATAATTAATTATTCAGCTTATGCATAAGCGGGTGCGATATATAAAGTTAGTGAGTAGAGTGAATGTAGTTTTTTAAGCAGATCAACTATGGTGATTAGTCATGATTTGTTCATTAGACAAAGGGTATTATGTGAACGCAAAAATATGCGAAGAAAAGGCTAGCATATAATAACCTAAATAACACTTTATAATCAGGTATCAATTTATAATCAGACTTAATACAGAAATAGACCAAATTCATACACCTAATTTGTTACATTATCATATAATAAATCATATAATTGATGTACTGCAGTGTGTTTATATTTGATTTTTTTATTGAAAAAGTATTGTATTGTTTTTAGGCATTATGAAGACTGTTAACTTTAGAATGGAATCATGTTCTGATTTTATGAAAGTGATGTTACACTAAGCTCCGAAATTTATTGAAGCGTATTTTATTGCGAACTTTGTGGTAGTGAATAGTGGGATGGTATCATAATAATATTTTTTGTTACAGTTGGATTTTTAAATTTATTTTATCAGGGAAATAAAATATTTGTTAAACTTTTGAAGAAATACATTGTTTTCTATGGTGTACAATTGTAACGAAAAGTACAATAAATTAAAAAAATATTTATCTATGATGTTGTCTTCACTAAATTAATTTGGAGAAAGGATTTTTTTGTGAATATTATTTCTCAATAAGTAAGTGCTTACCTCTAAAAACGTGAGCACTTCTTGAAGTTCGTAACAACATTTTGATACTTAGAATCAAGAATTTTGTGGATCGGACTTCTAGATTCTGCTGTACCTCTAAATCAAATTTATAATTAGGTATAGGTACCTAAGTATGCAGCAAAAATTTTATTACTCCCCACTATCAGGTACGGTACGGAATAATAGAGTAAGATTAAATATTACGGAATGTATGTAGGTACCGGTACTGGTATCAGGGGGGTGCAACTCCCATACAAAGGAAAATAACATACAACTAGCGTCATCTTACTCCTGTGGCGACGTCATTTTTGTAACTTTTAGGCATTAATGATCTAATAAACTCACTAGATGGCAGATATGAGTTCTGACTCAATAAAAAATGTAGCGTACTTTGAAGCAGTGCTTCCACTTTTAGGGAATTCTCCCTTTTTTAGGGAAAAATAGCTGATATTTTGGATGATAAAGACAATTTAAAAAATACCAGGATTTAGGATATTTCGGGGTAAAAAGCAAAGCCTATACTAGTAACTGTTGTGAATTTTAAAATAAACGATAATTAAAGTAAAACAATGAACATTTTATTTTATGGAGAGAGAATGACATTAAGTCGAGTTGACAAGTAAAAGAATAAAACAGAGTTGTGTATAAAAACTATAAAGGTTTGATTCAACAGTAACCCTCTAGTANAGAGACATGTAACAAGATCAATGAAATCTCAAGGTGGACAAAAATGTCTAAGTAATACATAATAAAATATTTAATATTTGTTCAGAGTGGGGGTATTCATCTGATTAATCCATGGAATAACCGACACACCTAATCTCTTAACCCAGATAGAAATATCAGCCCCTAAGTACTTACCAAGAACGGAGAAATATAAACCGTTTTTATAAAAGCCCACTATATATGTATAAATATATATATATATATATATATATATATTGTTGTTACTGCACTGTCGATTGCACCTATAATTGAGGTGATGTCTGCCATGTATTTCTGTCAGTTTTTCAATTTTTTTTATTGATGATCACTTTGTTGGTGCAACTAAATAAATAAATTAATTAAAACTATATATAAAAATAATAGTAGTGCCAACCCTAGCAAATTTCTCATTTCGTCCCAATTAACCGCAATTTTCGGGTAAATAGGGATTACACCTATTTTTGCATTTTTTGCTTAAACTGGAATGCTAGTTGCATAATTTTAAATTAGACAACAAAGATGCCCACAAGACTCAATCATTTTGATCCTGATATAGCATTATATACATCAACAACTACCTTAAAATTGCTCATAAAGTTGGAATTTGTCCCTAATCGCCCCATTTTACGGTACTGGTATGTACCTTTTTTTTTTAATTTTATGATCTGGTGACTGAGACCTTTACGTCATATCTTTTTTGGAATGGTATATCAGGTGACTGAAGTTAGCCCCTCAAAAAAATTTTTCTTTCCTGTTTTCTACTTATTTTCTATTAATTCGTTTGTCCATCATTTGTTCTTGATTGTTCACTGTTAATAATTGTTTGTTCTGCATTTATTTATTTAAAAAAAAATATTAAAAATATATGTACAAGTTAGCTCCCCGATTGCAATTTTTTATATTTTTTCGTCCTTAATGACTCGTAAATATTCATTTTCGATTGTTCTTATATAAAATACGTTTGTCCTCTTTCGAAATTACTCATTTTTTGTTTAATTAACTATTTGTATTAGTTGAATAAATGTATGCAAAATATGTGTACTGCGCATGCGTCAACTATAACGCCTCAACTTTCTACGCGGTTTTATTCGTGAAAAAAAAAACAATTATAAATCCTGAAGGATCAATTAATTGGTATACAGTTTAATTAAAAAAATAAATAAATGAAATAATGTGCATTCGCGTAAAGTTAGACCAAATACATTTTTTCCATCCTACCTACTATCGTATTACCTATCGTATTAAAATGTTATTTTACTAATGTTAGGAATATAATTTCGACTGTGTAAAAAAGTTATTATAATGTATACCTACATTATCTCTTGAAAGATAAATAATGAACATATTTACTTATTTGTTTATATTACCTATGTGAACTCCCTATCTTTTTGAAGTGAAAACTTCTTTAGAATCGTTGTGATTTCAAACCGGATGCAACGGAAAAAACGACAGGTAAGAGACACAAATACAAAAATGTGTAGGATGAAGCCAGCAAAGAATGAGACAGAAATATACATACTATTTAATACAGCGCCATCTGTGAGATTTTTTAATACTAACGTGTGTATGAAAGCTCTTGTAGTGACTTTTAATTTAGGATTATACGTGAAATTAAAATATCAATTCACAGAGGGCGCTACCTTACAATTATTTACTAATTTTACATATAAGACGTTTAGGATAATTGTATTTTAATTTTGGAAGGTTTCACTTCTACCACGTGTGAATTGCACACATTTTTTATACCTTCATAACGATAAGTAGGAGGATGGAAAAAATGTATTTGGTCTAACTTAACGCCAATGCACATTATTTCATTTATTTATTTTTGATTTTTTTTAATTAAACTGTATACCAATTATGTGCTCCTTCAGGATTTATATTTGTTTTTTTTTCACGATTAAAACCGCGTAGGAAGTTTAGGCATTATAGTTGACGCATGCGCAGTACACATATTTTGCATACATTTATTCAACTAATAAAAATAATAAATTAAACAAAAAACGAGTGATTTCGAAAGAGAACAAACGTGTTTTATATAAGAACAATCGAAAATGAATATTTACGAGTCATTAAGGATGAAAAAATATTAAAAATTGCATTAGAGGGGCTAACTTGTAGGTATATTTTTTAATATTTTTTTTAAATAAATAAATGCAGAACAAACAATTATTAACAGTGAACAATCATGAACAAATGATGAACAAACGAATTAATAGAAAATAAGTATAAAATAGGCAAAAAAAATCTGTCTAAATATGTTTTGATGACACATTTTATTAAGAGGTATTTATGATTAGTGTCATGTTAGTGAAATATGCTTTAATTATTATTTTGGTATGTTTTAAGCGGGGTAGCATGATAAAATAAGAAATTTTATATAAGCAATCATATTAAACCGATATCAAAGTCAATAAATAATGTAGGTACAACCCAAAACAGACAGCTGAACTGACGTGACAATGACATTTGATGCGCCATGTTTAGCGGATTTTCGGTCTCATTAGACATTTACGTATATTCATGTTTCATTTTATGTACGCACTGAAATACTGTTATATTGTTTTCCTCCGAGTTACAGTGCTGAGTAAGAATGAGATAGATATATGTTTATGTGTGTGCTTTCAAAATGGGTGCTATTTATTTAAGTAATTGTACGTATAGAACAATATGTCGTGTCCCTACTATATAGGTCTATGGGAAAAATGAAACAAAGCCGCTGAACGTAACTTCTCGTGATCCTCCAAAAAGTCCACTGAAAAAGTTTCAGTAAATGACCACCATTTTACTGAGATTTTATTTCATCCCATATCATCTCATCTCATTTCATTTAATTTCATTCCAGTTGATAAATGTCTCAAATCAATCATCTTCATTTAATTTAATTTCATAATTTTTCATAAAAATAAGGAATATAGGTTGTTGGACGGTTAAAATTTGAGGGGATTGGGTTCTGTAGGTGATGAGGGGCTATTTAAAAACACACTGCTTCATTATAAATAAATTGCAGATAGTTTGAACACTGTTACACCATTATAAAATTATGATCTTTATATTTTTTATAAAACTCTTACATGTTTCTTTGACCGTGTCTAGATGAGAAGTCTGACTTTTTCTTACGAGAAGGCAATCATCTGTTTTTTAAACATTTAAAATAATTCTAATATTCGAAATCTGTGTGAATCAATGTTCTAAAATTCGAAATGTGTCAAGTGTTGCCTGCCATTACATTTATATTCAAACTCCAACATAGGTAACTTAAAAAAAGACATGGCTTAAAGATCTTAGTAACCAGGTCATAAGATCCCATAAAAAAAAATTAGGCTAGTCAGTCTAAGTTTGCTTAAAGGACTTTGTTTCCAAGCTAATTATATTATATTCAGTGTATAATCTATGGTAATATTTTAAAAAAAAATACAGTCTTACTCATAATTGTTTATTTTGTTTTCAAAATATACATATCCTTTATTAGAAGAAAGTGTTCGAAATTATAGATACATATAACTCAATAAATTAATGTTTATTTTTAATAAAAGCTATTAAAGCGATTAGTAATGTTAGCTTCATTAAAAAAAAGGTTGGCATGGGCTAAATTAGCAAAATGCCAAGAAAATCTAACGAATCAACCGTACGTTATATTACCAGCTTTTATTGGTTTATTTGAAGATATAATTCTATGGAAACAAATTTGGCTGTCCGTATCATTTATAATAATCAAGAGCGTAATATTTTTGTAAGTAAAAAATACATTACTTTTTTATACGACTTTTCGTTTAGCCGTGTTAAAAAATGGCTTACATTAAAACATGTATTCACAATTCGATTGTTACAGAGTATGTGTATACCACCAAATAAATTTTATAAAATTTATGATATGCCTGTGCATCACATTGCTTTGTTTGGATGGATTTGAAGCTTGGTTAAAATACAAACACAGAACTGCGTGTTTGGAAAGACTTTCAACATACAATGGAAAAAAAATAATATTAGCCACAAAACAGTTAAAAGATTGGTTTGTAAATAAATGGTGTGAATTCATTTATATAAGGCAAACTAATCATACCAAAGTAAGTAAATTGATTTACTTTATATAATTTAATAAGTAAATAAAATAGATTTCTTTTTTATCAACCTTGATGAAGTATATTTTTAGAGAAAAATTCTTGGGTTATAGAGACTGTTTCCTAGAAACCTCGTGTAGATATGTTGATAAAGTCAGATACATTCATTCACTCATAGTATCTAGGCTTCGGTATTTTAAATTATAGCATAATTAATATAAAAAATAGTGACTAATATTTTCAGGCATTTTTGCTGGCCAACATAATACTGGGATGCATTTTCTTCATTGGAAAGTATGTAAATGGTTACATGCTAATATATTCAATGTGTTTGTTTGTGTGTCTTTCACACAAAGTTATATATCCAGTTATAAAAATCTTCAAAAATATTCAACAGGATTTAGGCAAGTTTAATTTAAAAACCTTTTTTTTTATAAGTAATATAATTTAACTGTCCCGTAAGAATAAACATAAACTACACCAAATGAACATAAAAGGTAAAGAGATTCAATGAAATGCCTTGCAGGTTTAAAACTGCGTAGAGAACTCCAGTAGCAAAAAGTGGCTTAAATTTACATTTGTACCTATTCCATTTTGATTGCGTATCTACTAGAGTGCACTAGAGTAATGATGCCTACAGGCTCTGCATGGACTAGAGGCACCTTTGCAAGTAGTTATTAATTATTGTTGAATGAATTATATTTCCTAACTTTCAGAGTCTGAGAGCGAGCTTGAGGGTCTAATTCCTGAAATATCAGATGTTGATATACAACTATTGACGATTGAAGCTGAACAACAAATTGATGAAAAGCAAAGTTATGGTAACATAAAACTTATTAATTTAGGTGTAAGGGGACGTTAGGTTAAGTAATAAAACAGTTTCATCATTGGTTATTATTGACACAGAGAAGTCAGAGAACAGAGAAGTTGACCCCTCAGTGTTAATGGACATTTTTAATCATTAAAACTCATAATTTCATAATTAATAGTTTTTTGATCCTTTATTTGATTTAATGATAAAATTCAATGTCATGTTGAAAGTAGTTCTCATACTGCCTTTCTTACTGTAAGTTTTTATTTATTTATGTGATGGGTAGATGGGATGGTAGGCTCATCTAATTTTGAGTTATATCCGGAACCCATAGACATCAATAACTTAAATGCCACCAACCACCTTGAGACATGAGTTCTAATGATAAGTACCACAGTCCCATGATTTCTCTTTAAATTATTATTCAGGCTTCCATTGCATATCCTATATGTTTCTCTGACTCTCATAAAATAAAAGAAAAACTCCTGGTTTAGATTATTGGAAACCAGAAGATATTCCACTTGAAGAAGCAAGCGATAGCTCTGAAAACAGCAGTCTTGTTACAAGTTTCTCTGTTGATAAAATAAACACACTAGAAAAGGATATTGAAACATCAGACTCCAGTGAAGATGAATATATACCTCTAGGTAATGATTTTAATTAATATTGTAAGATTATAATTTTTATTGGTAATAGTTATTTTGCATTATAAGTGTAGGGTAGCATGAATCCAAGACGTCAACACTCACCAAAATTATACGGGCGAATAATTAACGAAATAATAGTATGAAATTTAATAAAAAAAACATTTTACACCAAATCAATCTATAAATGAAAAATTTTTTTACTCTGGTCATCCTGGTTGGAATATTCGGCCAAAGTAAGAAATCTATTGTATGGTGTTTGTTTTTATATATACGAGCGCTAGCCCTAGCCAGAGCAGTGCATCTCAGAATCTACCATCAGATCGACATCAGAGACATAATATTGGATTGGATGGACTTTTGTCTTTCAAATTTGCATGTATTTTTTTCTATTGGCTCTGATCCCAGAATATATAATGTATTATAATTTATAGACATTTTACAAATAATTTAAATATATACAATTAATAAATAAATAAAAAATTATACATACAAAAACACAGTACGTGCAAAGTCATACACACACACCACAACAACATACATTTATGACACTAATGTTGAGAACGTAAATTAATTATTCTTCATCAATAAATACAAAATAATAAATGAAAACTTAGATATAAAGGACATAAAAAAATATCGCCCATTTATTGAGAAGAAATTTAACTAGTTTATTATAACTGTTTAGATCCACAACTACAGACAACCTTGGAAGTATCCGAACCAAACACATGGACCAACAGTGCTTATAATACATTATGGAATTTTACTGGTGCTTTAAGTAATATGATGAAGACCACAAACGAAGCAACAAGAAAACGAATGTCAAGTAAAGATTCATCAGATGGATTTGAAATTATTGATAAAAATGAATTCACTTAGTTATTAATTGGTTTACTTAATCTTTGAAACAAGTTTAGGTCAAGCATGTCATATTTTCTAATTTAGACATCATCTGCTGATGCTGTTTCTTCAATGCTTTTAAGCGTATACTGTTTAATAAATTTCTGGCCACTAAACCTTCTAGCATTGGTCGGGACATCTGTAATGTTTAAACTGAATTAATATTTTAAGAATTTATTTGAATTAATTTGAATTATAAAAAAATCTGCAGCAAAAATATACCTTATCAACAATGTGGCCAATAGCAATAGTCCTTACTGCAGCATTATGTTGCTTAGTGACAATGTCATCAGTATCATCATAACTAATTTCATTATTAAAGGCTTCATCTTCTTCCTCTTTTAAAATTGTTGGAAGCTGAGTTAGTGTCTGGAGAAATAATTTTATTTAAAATACTATGTAAGTAACATAATTTAAACATACAGACAGCAGCAGCAAAAAACCCGTAACAGTATTTGCTGAACCCAGAATTCCAATTAATTTTCAATTGTGTTAGTTTGCATACAGTACCTACAACATTACTATAATTTTGATGTTAATCATAAAAATCACCATCAGATCAGTATCTTTGAATTAGGGAATAATTCCTTTACACTAAATGCATAAAGATGAAGGCTTCCTGTGTATTTGTAAAATCACTTTATTGTAGCAATAAAAAATTAAGAAAAATCTTGTGAAATAAACCATTGAAATCATTGTTTAATGTGATAGCAATTTAATAATAATGGAATTAAAAATTTATTGAAACATCAACTCAATGCAATTTTATTTCTTTGCAGCATGTTTTTTTTACTGGTTAAAATGTGCTAACTGGATTAGCTCACAACCCTAGCTGAGCTTCCTGGAGCTTATAGAGCGGAAAATGTGAAGACTGCTGCCATCCTGTTAACTATATTTTAATTGTATATACAACTGTTCAAAGTGAAGCACTTTGCATGCTTCATAGCCAAAATACACTAGTGGCAAAGTGTATGGACTATATAAGTACTTAAGAAAAATAATAGTCATAAAAAGATAGGTTCCAAAGAAGAAATAGGAAATTACTCTTATCATGAATAGAACTAAATATTCAGTAAGTCAACTATAGCGCTAAACACTTCTATAGTATTTACTTCTGCACTATACTTCCAGAACATGCATCAGACTACACTTTATTGCTTCTATAGGTATATTGGGTGTCAATTATTTTTATCCTACATGCAATAACAAAACTAAAATGTATGTATGATTAATAAATAGACAATTTTTTAACACACTCATAATTGGGATCACCATGTTTTGAGCAGTGGTTTACACATGCTGTATTTTTACTTTAATTTTTAATATATTACTACAATAATGTTGTTATAAATTTATATCTAATTCGGGTAAAATTTAAATATGTTTTTAATTCCTTAAAATTAAAAACTATGACTACAGCAATGTCATTCTACCTTTGAGATTGATAAGAGGAATAATTTCACTAATTCTCTATCAGAATGATTAATACAGAGTATATATTAAGATATTTCATTACTTAATTAAATACCTTTACGGATACTTACCTCGAAATTGTTTGTTAACAAAGAATCAGTGTTAGTTACAATTTCCATTTCTATTTCAATCCGACTTTGACTAGCTCCTTCATTAATTGATTGAAAACAAGTAATTTGAACCTAAAAACATGGTTAAATGATGAATATTCAATATCTATCACAATATTTAGTCCAAATATCAGGTTTGACTAGTACTGAAAATAACATTTTTAATAAATATTAAGAACATGGCATGTTTTTTATTAAAAAGACTCACTGAAGGGGCCTTTGTTGATTGGTCTGTAAGAAATACTGCAAAAATAATTCCAACAAAACTAGCATCCATCCTTTGATACATTGATTGAGTAGCCAAATCTGTTAAAAATCACATCTTTGTTTAAAGGAGCATAAAGTCTAGTTACAATTATGTTAATATTCACTATTAGATAAACAAAATACTAATATACCGATAACTGACAATAGGCCTATTAAAAATTGTGTACCCAATGTACATTTTGTTTAATAAAGACTAAATCCATCAAATTGTAGTTTAATTCGATCTTCAAAAAACTTTTATCATATATCCTATAACTGTATACTAATTTAGGTGCTTTGATATGTTCTGTTTTTTTATTTATGACAGTGAATTTGTATACATTGATGGACATTTCATTACAAAGATAAATGTCACGTATTAAGCAAAATGTCGCTTAAACCAAATAGCCTTTCACTCCTCGATATATTACTTTGTAAAAACCATAACAAAGCAATTATGATGAAAAAATAAATATCAAGGAATGCTTAAATGAACTAACCAACATGGGATGGCCACACTGTTATATGAGGATGCGAATGGTACCATCCAACAACTCTAAGAGGTTGGCCAACTTCTGCAGCTAATTCTTCAGCTCTAACAGTTGCTTGAACCAGTTGTTCTTCTGATATTTCAACACGGTCAGGTTTTTTATCCAAACGGCGAAGTATTACTGATGACACTATTGAAACAAGTGCACCATTATCATGAACCTAGAAAAATAAAAAAATAGGTATTGCTGTTCTTTAAAAACGTAGGTACTTACAATGGCGTTACTCAAACGATGTTAAGTGTTTATCTGAATCATCATAAATACCACTAATTGAGGTTTTTTTTAATTAAGCAATCATACTAATGATATTTAATATCATTACAGGAAACCAATATTTAAAATGTAAACATAATCAACTCAATTTACTGTCGTGTCAGTGTTACTTTTATTTTTCATCACTTTTCAGCTTCCTACAAATAGATTAGGTTAGAAACGGTAGGCAGCGGCTTGGCTCTGCACCCTGGAATTGCTGATGTCCACGAGCGACGGTAATCACTCACCATCAGGCGGGCCGTATGCTCGTCTGCCTGCACAGGCGATAAAAAATAAATAAAAACGATTGAAATCGTTCTACCTAGAAGGTTGCAGTTTAGTTTGCCCCTTGCTAATAAATTTTGTTAGACTTAGTGCCGGCAAAATGAGATTAGTCTCGATAAAATTTGATTAACGGGCATCTTACCCTTTAAGCTGAAACTTAACAGAAATTCATAGTACAACGGTACGTGCTTTGGGCTCGTGTGGGTTCAGAGTTTTCCCTAAAGCCTAATGCTTTCTCTCCGTAGAGTCATTTCATTAAAAAAACGTAATACCTCGCCTATAAGTAAGCCCATGATTTCTTCTTTCTCTGTCGACAACGCATGTTGCATACAGACCAAAGCAACATCAGACGATAAACGGACCTTTTGTAGCATTTCAAAATTTATATTTGTAATTGTTATGCGGTTAAACGTTACACTTTTTAATATTTTTAGCATAGATTAAACACTTAATATAACGAGATTTTTAGAATTAAACATTGTTCCTAAATTCCTAATAAACAGCATAGATAATACATATTCATAGATTATACACTTAATATATTTGAGATACATATTATTTTTTAGTATTATTTTTTCGCATGGTAAGGAAAATTTTTAGTCAAGTTTAAATTGGGCTACAATATGAAAAAAGAAATGTGAAACGAATTAAGATGATGTTGATTAATTTGAAATTTTAATAAATCGGGATGAAATTAAATGACTTTATTTCATATTCCCACATTTGTGCAGGTTTATAGGTGCTAAGCAGTTAATAAACCACCTATAAACATTTAAACCTTTATGAAACACAAAATTACCAAAATAAAACAATTCACACTAATTTACTATTTTAATTGAAACTATTTTAATTGAAGTCGTCGTGGCCTAACGGATAATACGTCCGATCCATTCGTGTTGAGCGATGCACCGATGTTCAAATCTCAGGCGGGTACCAATTTTTCTAATGAAATACGTACTCAACAAATGTTCACGATTGACTTCCACGGTGAAGATGTTATTACTGGTGGTAGGACCTCTTGTGAGTCCNTAATTTACTATTTTAATTGAAACTATTTTAATTGAAGTCGTCGTGGCCTAACGGATAATACGTCCGATCCATTCGTGTTGAGCGATGCACCGATGTTCAAATCTCAGGCGGGTACCAATTTTTCTAATGAAATACGTACTCAACAAATGTTCACGATTGACTTCCACGGTGAAGATGTTATTACTGGTGGTAGGACCTCCTGTGAGTCCGCGCGGGTGGGTACCACCGCCCTGCCTATTTCTGCCGTGAAGCAGTAATGCGTTTCGGCTTGAAGGGTGGGGCAGCCGTTGTAACTATACTGAGACCTTAGAACTTATATCTCAAAGTGGGTGGCGCATTTACGTTGTGAATGTCTATGGGCTCCAGTGATTACTTAACACCAGTGAGCTGTGAGCTCGTCCACCCATCTAAGCAATAAAAAAAACAAAAAAAACTTTTATACTTTTTAGGGTAAAATGAACACAACGAGATTAGGAGACTTTACTCCATTTAAAGCTAGGGAGATGTGTAATTTCGGCCTAAGCTTAATAAGATGTACAACTTTTGTTAATTTTATAAGAATAGTTTTTTATAAAAACCTAGATAAATCACGAAAATTACGCAAATCAGCAATTACCGTCGTTTCACAGGATCGATTCTCAGAGATACTCAGCTTAGGTCCACGGAGAATTCTAAAAATTTACGCTCGTTTCAACTTCTTAATCTTGGACACTCAATATTACTACATATTTAAAATAGCCTCCGGAAGATTATTTTCAAAATTTATTCATTTGCATATTTATTTATTTTCGGACATAATAAATGAACAAAATACAATGTAAAATGAATTGTTTTCCGTTATTGTGGACATTTATACACGCCCTAGCGTAGGTAATTTGTTTTAACTTTAACTCATTAATCGTGAACGCCGTCACCATACCTCCGATTAAGCTCACGCAACAGTCTGCCATTATCGACACCTTAGGGATCTCCTCCCGGATCTTCCTGACCCGCTCTCGTTTTGTTGGATTCTAACAATACTGATGCTAGCAGCAATGAAAACACAGGTCATGGTACTCTACTGGCTCTCATCAAATAACTATAATTAGCTCGCTAAGTTTCTCAGCAGATCGTAGCACGTGCCTAATCCGATCAGTTGATAAATTTACATACGAAGCAGCTGTTCTTGGATTGTTAGGGCTCCCTGGGAAGCGCTCGAGCACTGCTTAAAAAATTCGTGCCTCTTACTGAAGCTCTCGAGGTCACTCATCTGTCCTGGTAAAGTGGTGAGGTCCAACTCATATATTAAGTGTATAATCTATGGTCCAACTGCAACCCTTCGAAAGTGAACCTAGAAGGTGGGCTACTATCAAACTTTCAAACTNATAAATCACGAAAATTACGCAAATCAGCAATTACCGTCGTTTCACAGGATCGATTCTCAGAGATACTCAGCTTAGGTCCACGGAGAATTCTAAAAATTTACGCTCGTTTCAACTTCTTAATCTTGGACACTCAATATTACTACATATTTAAAATAGCCTCCGGAAGATTATTTTCAAAATTTATTCATTTGCATATTTATTTATTTTCGGACATAATAAATGAACAAAATACAATGTAAAATGAATTGTTTTCCGTTATTGTGGACATTTATACACGCCCTAGCGTAGGTAATTTGTTTTAACTTTAACTCATTAATCGTGAACGCCGTCACCATACCTCCGATTAAGCTCACGCAACAGTCTGCCATTATCGACACCTTAGGGATCTCCTCCCGGATCTTCCTGACCCGCTCTCGTTTTGTTGGATTCTAACAATACTGATGCTAGCAGCAATGAAAACACAGGTCATGGTACTCTACTGGCTCTCATCAAATAACTATAATTAGCTCGCTAAGTTTCTCAGCAGATCGTAGCACGTGCCTAATCCGATCAGTTGATAAATTTACATACGAAGCAGCTGTTCTTGGATTGTTAGGGCTCCCTGGGAAGCGCTCGAGCACTGCTTAAAAAATTCGTGCCTCTTACTGAAGCTCTCGAGGTCACTCATCTGTCCTGGTAAAGTGGTGAGGTCCAACTCATATATTAAGTGTATAATCTATGGTCCAACTGCAACCCTTCGAAAGTGAACCTAGAAGGTGGGCTACTATCAAACTTTCAAACATTTTATTAAAAAAAAAAAAACGTAATGTCGATACTCAAGTATCTCCATATAAATTAAAGACTTGACCTAAAGGTCTTAGTTACCAGGTCATATGTCCTTAAAAAAATAAGATATTCTAGTGAATGTCAACGTCATTAAATTTGCAGTTCGGAAATTGTTGTTGTCTGTCCTAAACACTGCAAACTGTGCACATTTGTCAATTAGTTTGTCTAGAATGTTTTATTTTGAAGTGAAGTCATCGCCAGCATAATATATACATCAAGATGTTTATGTACTAAATGATAACACTAATTGGCACAAACACAAGTTATAGTTCAAACTTAAATACCCTGAAAAACATTTCAATGGCTGTGGAAGGAGCTCGGCCTTATAAATTTACGGATTACTGTCGTAAAATATCTGTAAATTTACAAAATTTTAAGAAAGATGGTAGATTTTGTGATGTTGTTTTAATATCAGGAGAAATCCAGATAGAGGTAGGGCTTTTTTATCGCAATTATTTACTGCAATTATAACCGATAATAGTTAATGTTAATTTAACATTAAACAAAGACATCTTCTACATTTAATGGTGCGGAGCTCAGATTTTCACCTGGTTTATGTGTGCCGGAAACACCCACACACCTAGAATACCAATTATCTTGAGTGGTTCTTACTGGGAATCAAACCCAGTAGTTGTCAAATTAGATTAACTACTGCCCATTTAGATCAATGAGTACACAAAGAATGCAATTGAATGCAATGAACTCATGTTGGATCAGTGGACCACACTGTTTGAATGAGTGGGAAATAAGTATAAGGTTGGTGTAAAGATTCACTTTGCAGGGGGAGTAATGTTAGGGAATCTTTAAATTGATACAAGTGTCCTCTATTGTGGAGCACTGGACTCACCTGGTTTTCGGTTAATGCTTGAAGACATTAGCAATGGCAAGGGACAAATTCTGCTTCATTTTGATTACAATATTATTTTTTCAGGCACATCGTGTAGTTCTAGCTGCTAGTTGTGCTTATTTTGATGCCATGTTCAGTGTTGGGTTAGAGGAAAGTCAGAAAAATCATGTTTCACTGCCAAGTGTGCCACCTAATATTTTGCCAATAATTATTGACTTCATATACTCAGGTAAGCTTTCTCTTTATTAAATATTTGTAAGTAGGATTCAAGTAACTACTATGACTGAGGAAAATCACAATCAGAATTTAATATTAGATAACTTAATTTTTACTTCATTTATTGCTCATTAACTAATTGGTAACATAAACTTAATTTATTGTATGAATGAACTCACAGCCAGTGATGAATGGTTACTGGAGCCTATATACATCACAATCTGAATGCTCCTGGTAAAAGTCTCAATTGCATTGCACTATAATGATTGTCCTACCCTTCAAACTGGATAGAGCTACAGCAGAAATAAGTGGAAGGTGTTACTTAGTTATACAATCTTACAATAATAGGAAAATATTAGTAAATACTTATTATGNATGAATGAACTCACAGCCAGTGATGAATGGTTACTGGAGCCTATATACATCACAATCTGAATGCTCCTGGTAAAAGTCTCAATTGCATTGCACTATAATGATTGTCCTACCCTTCAAACTGGATAGAGCTACAGCAGAAATAAGTGGAAGGTGTTACTTAGTTATACAATCTTACAATAATAGGAAAATATTAGTAAATACTTATTATGAAGGATATGAAAGGATAGCTATTACTGACTATCTTACAAACTCATAACTTGAGATGGGTAAGAGCATTCATCAGAAAGCCACAAGCCAACATGACACCAGATTATTAATCTGTGTAGACAGAGGAATTAATTTTATTCATTCTAAGCTGTAAGAGGCAACTAAAGTAGCACTAGTATAAAACCTCCAAGAGACCGTAGAAGAAACCAATTTTGTGTATACATTGGACATGTGTCCATATTAAATTATGTGATTATCATCAGACTCCAGTATAACAGCTGTAGTAATAGAATATAATTATTTGCTATAATAGTATCACGTAGTAGTCCACATATAACATATTGTAGAGACATGGCTCTCTCTCTGGGGCCTTACTTCATAAAACAAACATAATAGAAACAAAACTAAAATCATTATTAGGACAACAGAATTATAACCATTATAATAATATAATAATGATGTTCCTCACTTAAAATATTTGATTGCTTCAAATTTGGATACACAAAATTTGGCTTTGCAAAATCCAATATAAGGGTTATTAAAGGTTTCACAATGTATGTATTTCTTAATCAAAATCCTTTCTTAGCTATCATGCGTTTAACTACCTAAAATATTATTTTATCAAGAATTATAACTTAATCCTTATTACTTATAACCTAGTTTAAACTCATTGAGAGGTATTAACCCTTAGCTAAGCAAGTTGTACTTCTAATTATCTAATAAATTTTTTATATTATTTGGAAATATTGTACCCAAAAAAATTATTTTAAGTAACTTAAATCAAGTAACGTAATCTAATAGAGATATAGAACAAGAAATATAGAACTAGATAAGCAGACAATTAAGTAAAACCAGTTCCAACTTAACAATATGTTTACTGTGTAACTTATTAGTAAGAAATATATGTAAAAATATGGTTCTTTTTCAATGAATTATGTCTAGTTGCTATTTCTGTTAAAAATTCAGTAAAAATATTCTGTTCACAGGTGAAATATTGATAGATAAAATAAATGTACAACCACTGTTGATTGCAGCTGATATGCTTCAACTAAAAGAACTAATTGTTGGCTGTACTGAATACTTGAAGGGTGAACTGCATAACACAAATGCTCTTGGAATTTTTAGGTTTGTAATTAGGATTTTAATTTTGTATGTGACTACTCAAAACATACCATACAGCATTGCAAATTTATGTATGTGGTTTTGTGTGTATATGAGTAAAATGTATTAGTGTATTTCTACTATAACAGCATTGTTTAACTGTCTGCCTGAGCATGCAAGTTTATAATATTTCACTGCCCATCAGTATACATCATTTAGAACTTCTGGGTCTGTGGAGGGACTTTGTATTTTATACTGTATGTTCCATGCGGAATGCTCTGAGAAATTTTTGAGATGATACCATCATCTCGTTTTTACAATCGCACCGCCCGCCACTGGAGTAGAGTTCATTCATGCTACCTGAAGCCACTGCATTCATCCACAATGCGTTTCTAGAGATCCTTTTTGCCACGTACCATCAGGTTTTGAAATGAGCTCCCCTTCATGGTGTTTCTCGAGTGCTATGACATATCCTTCTTCAAACCATGCTTGTGGAGAATATTAAACGGTAGGCAACGGCTTAGCTCTGCCCCTGGCATTGTTGACATGTATGAGCGACGGTAACCACTTAGCATTAGGTGGGCTATATTGTAAAACGTTAAAATCCTCAAGTACATCAGTGACAGGTGAGAAAAGCTTGTAAAGACACTAAAATAGTGGATTGCGGATACACGAACGTTACCCTGCTAACGAAACCCGATAATTTTATATTCGGAGTCAGGAATGAGGCTCCGGGCGACTATTTCGTGATGGCCCGGAGTCTGATTCTAATGTTGGCAGAATCAAAATTTCGATTTTCAAAATCTGTTCCGTTATGCCTTGGAATAGAGTTTGGGTGTACTTGTGTTTGTCTCGTATCTACACCCATAACAATGGATGAAGCATTAGCTTGGGCTCAATGTGTGTAAAACGTTTATAAAAATAAAACAATAATGACAAAATTTATGATACCGCGTAAAATTTCAGATTTGCTGAAGCTCATAATTGTACTGATTTGGCACACGAAGCACTGGAACATGCGCTAGGAAACTGGAAACACATAGCCCATGGAGATGAATTACTTGACTTACCATTTCAACATCTAATAACAATATTATCTTCAGAACAATTAACTGTCGATTCGGAAGCACAAGTGAGTTTTATTTATGTGTAAGTAATGAATGTAACTATAATATAAAAATATAGATTATGGGCTCGCGAGCTTACAAACCATTGAAATAATATTTCGATTTACTATTGAATTATCCTTTGGTGGGGCCGTTGGGTGTGAAAAATTTAACTTTTCTCGCCGTTGATAAGTTGTATCAAATTTGAGATTTAGTAATACACTTTATTTAAGATTGAAGTTAGACAATGACTGTTCGTGATGTGTTGTAATTCGAAGAGTGGGGCAGTTATTATATAATTCAATTGAGACTTCATTTTGTATTTACTGCTCTTGCTAGGGCCAGTGTTAGCAACATTCCCGGTTTGAGCCACGTGAGCTCACCTACACGTCAAGGAGAAGGTGAAATAGCCTCTCAAGGCTGTCAGCATAGGTAGAGTTTTTTTTTTTTTTTTTGCGTTCACTTGCGATCTTGTTCAACTTCGTTTCATGTTGCGACGTCTATTGGCTCAGACCGTGAACTAGTTTACACAACGACGTAGAAAAATAAAATCCAGCATCAGGGGCACCATTGATATCATTGTAATACAAATATGTAAACCATTTTTAGGTTTTGATTATTTTCACTTTACACGTAGTCTGTTTTATTTTATTTTATTTAACTTTATAAATATACTTTCTAGATAAACGGTTATGTTTTTTTTTATATTTAAAGGTCTTATATTCCGCTTTGAGATGGCTGGAACACGATCCCGCTGCCCGAAGACGTCACTGCTTCGAAGTGCTCGCGCACGTGAGGCTCCCTCTGATCGCACCGCATACCTTAGACGAAGCCGTGAAAAGCCTACAAGACCCTTCTATTGCAGTGGCTTTAAAAACTGCAGGAGTTGATATGGTAAATAATAATATCATAATAACAGCATGTAAATAATATTAATAGGATTCAACATTTATTATGAGTCATAACCCTGTTCTACCCAAATTATTAAACTTAAATGAGTGGGGTCGGCAAAACCTAACACTTGCGGTAGGACGTCTTGTGAATCCGCACGGGTAGATACCACCACCTTGCTTATTTCTGCCGTGAAGCAGTAATGCGTTTCGGTTTGAAGGGTGGGACAGGGTGAGGAGACCTCAAAACTCGTTTCGAGGTGGTTGGCGCCATTTACGTTATAGATATCTGTGGGTTCCGGTAACCACTTAACACTAGGTAGGCCGTGAGCTCGTCCACCCATCTAAGCCATAAAAAAACATGGCTTGCAATGACCGGCCGTCTAACTTGTGACAACAATGAAGACGGTTGGCAGATCAGTACAACCGGAGACATTTGATTAATGGTATATTTATGTTATAGGGGCGACGGGGTGGGTTTCCTACTGCTCGTAACGCACATGAGATTAGACAGTGATGACTAAATAAAATATGAAAATGAAATAATAAATAAATAAAAAACAATTGAACTTAGAAGTTTATATTGTACCTATCTAAGTATATTGTAATTAATAGTAAAATAAACGAAAAACAAATTAAGTACATAAAATTATTCTGACATATTTTAATGATTATGAAATTATTTCATAAATATATACTTATATGAAATTACTCTGACATATTCTCTAAATCACTTGATTCTGAACTCTCTGAACTTGATTCAGAATCAACTTGTATGTTTATAATGGTTTCGTCCATCATAGTATCAAATCTCATATCAGTAATGACAGCAAGCGCCCCCGCCTCTCCGTCCCACCGCTCACATACCTAAGGCGCGACCAACTAGCTCCGCGCGCACAATCTATACATATAAATAAAATTGGAGTGTCTGTTTGTAATATTGAAATAACCGCTTTTTACTACATGCATATGAATATATATACAGTACATACACCAAAATAACATTTTTTACAATTTTTGTCTGTCTGTCTGTCTGTTTGTTCCGGCTAATCTCTGGAACGACTGGACCGATTTTGACAGGCCTTTCACTGACAGGTAGCTGATGATATAAGGAGTAACTTAGGCTACTTTTTTTAGACTAGCTTCGCCCCGCAGCGTCACCCGCGATACGACAATAACCGCGGGTAACATCGCGGGACTCAACTATTCAATAATAAAATTTAATGTTTCCGAAGCGAAGCGAGGGCGGGTCGCTAGTAGTATATAAGGTATATCACAGAAGACAGGTCGGGGCGCGCTGGTGCCGCTGGGCGCGGAGCCGCGGGCTAAGGCTCGTCGCGTGATGCTGGTGGTGGGCGGCAGCAGTCGGCACTCTGGCACGCACCCGCCCCTCGCGTCCGACGACATACTCTCCTCCGTGCTTAAATTCGATCTACATAAAAGGTTAGCAGCAAATCTTCTTGGTATTACACTTTCCTCCGCCTGCTTCGCTCTTGATATCCACATGTTTTTCTGTTCGACATATTATCCTCAACTAAAGAAAGCCATTTTTGAGAAAATTTAGAAACAAGTCTTCATTTACCCTTTCATCGCTTTTTTCCCCTACCCATTCGCCGGTAGCTTAATTGACTATTTCAGCTACATGCGGACCATGCGGGTAGGTGAGTTCCCGGTCCCAACCTGAGAGAATTTGCCAACACTAGCCCTAGACAGACTTTAACAATTCTTTGTCGCTTGTAAACAAATCATGCATGCCTTTTAATTCAAACTTAATGTTGTGTCTGTTCACATTTTCTAATTGTTCACCCAATATGACGTTCGGTCGGGTCTCCCATGTAAAACTGAGGTATCGAGCAATGTACAGTTTTTTTAATCTCAGAACTATTTACATGTATGTTTAAGATCTACGGGGGTGTGTTAAAGGGCGTATTATGTTGCTCAATATAGTACACGTATACACATCATGGTACCAACATCCAGCTTTTTTTTTTTTTATTCTTACCTAAGCTGATGGTCTTGAGAGACCAGTTTAGCGTAGCCTTTTAGTAGGTGAGCTCATGGGGCTCAAGCCTCACGTCGCTGCTAACATTGACCCTAGCAAGAGCAGTGCCTCGCAGAATCTACCTAGGATCGGAAACGCGATCCACTAAGAAGATCCGGCGTGAAACTCAGTGGGCTGAGTCTGTAGGTTAATTTACTCGCCGAGCCCTTCGTCGCAAGCGATGGGTTCGGCGAGAACTATGACCGGTGATTGGGGTACCTAAAAGCACCGTTAGTGGATGGGGAGGATCCGAAATGACGTATTTTGGGCGACGTCGACTGTTTACCATTCGGTCCGCAGGATCGGGAATGAGACATCCCTCGATATTTAAGTATAAACCTGTATCTGTAGTTCGTGAACGATGGTCATCAAGAAACCTAATTAATCCTTAATTAAATAGTAGTTAATAGATATGCTGCTAATGTGTTTTCGGATTCTAATGTATTTCGGTGCGCGGAAATCTTCTTATAAGATACTATTGTTCAATTCAATTCAAATGGAACTTATAAATGTGGTATGATGTATAAATGATTTGTGCAGAGAATGGGAGGAACTAGCCCCGATGGAAATACCTCGAATACAGCCCGNTAATTAATCCTTAATTAAATAGTAGTTAATAGATATGCTGCTAATGTGTTTTCGGATTCTAATGTATTTCGGTGCGCGGAAATCTTCTTATAAGATACTATTGTTCAATTCAATTCAAATGGAACTTATAAATGTGGTATGATGTATAAATGATTTGTGCAGAGAATGGGAGGAACTAGCCCCGATGGAAATACCTCGAATACAGCCCGGCGTGGTTACGTTGAACGGCTGCGTGTATGCCGTTGGTGGCGAACAGGGCAGTAAGATCTTAGCGAACGGCGAGGTCTACGAACCTCAAGTAAGTAGCCGCTCATGTGACAGCTAAGAAATTCGCGTTTCACTTTAACATGAAGTTCAATGCTTTATTTTCAGACCAACACATGGTCAAGTATATCGCCGATGAAAGAAGCTCGCTGTGAATTCGGCCTCACCGCTTGGAAAGGCTGTCTGTACGCGTTCGGCGGCTGGGTGGGCTCGGATATGGGAGCTTCCGTTGAGGTGTACGATCCGCTCTCCGATGAGTGGACGATAATCGGGAAAATGCCAGAACCGCGTTTCGGAATGGGAGTTGTCAATTATCAAGGTGTGGATTCGATATCTTTAAATCGATTAAACCGTGAGATATAAAATTTATGTATGTATGTATGTATACAATTTATTTATTCATAAAAAGTTACACTTTCATTTAAACCATGCACCGCAAAACTGCTTACGCAGTTTGTGTGCAGGTAACTCGCTTTATATAAACAGAGATTATAAGTTATTAAGTTAGGTTATAGTAATACAATTAATTTACGTAAATGGTTACAACGTATTTAACAAGTGTTTTTATAATAAACTTTTAAATTTAGCAATAGACTCACGTCTTATGTCCTCGGGTAAACTATTGAGTATGGAGCTCGTTTTTTTAACGTTCTATCTCCATAGTTATTTTGTAGGTACCTTGGGTATTTCAAATTTACCTTTGGACAATGACCTTGTGTCAGTTTTATGTTGTACCAAATTAGTTGAAATATAAAATTAATATAAAAATAAATATAAAATTTGTATTTGTATTTCAGGTATAATATACATAGTGGGAGGGTGTACTCCCACGTGGCGGTACACGCGCGACCTGCTCAGCTACAACCCGAGTACAGGCGCGTGGTGCTCCCTGGCCAACATGAAGCATGCCCGCAACCAGGTCACGGCCGTGGTGCTCGACCATCACCTCTACGTCATCGGCGGCAACGCGCCCGGCCCGACCGTCTTGTCTTCCGTCGAGAGATACAGCTTCGAAAATGTAAGAAAACATTTCATTCTACATAACAATACCTTGCCTCATGCTCTTTATGGCTAAAGCAAGACTGATTCTTCAATATGGGGTCCATTTAATGTCAATCATATATCAAGTGAATGACGGTGCTGTTGGGGCTTTCATTTCGTAATTCACCGGTCATCGTTCTAATCAAACCCATCGATTGCGATGAAGGGCTCGAAGAGTAAATTAACCCACAGACACAGCCCACTGAGTTTCTCGTCGGATCTTCTCATTGGGTCGCGTTACCGATCCAGCGGTAGATTCTGCGAAGCACGGCTCTTGCTAAGGTTCGTGTTAGTAACATCGTCAGGTTTGAGCCCCGTAAGCTCACCTACTAGCCCGGCGATGCTGACATGGTCTCTCTAGACCATCAGCTTAGGTATAAAAAAAAAAAAAAAAGTGTGGCACTCGGGGACTACCGCGGTAAAGCTATTGCATAGCATTTTTTATCAACTTATGCATTTATAATTAGACAATAATAATTTAATATTAAAACAATAATAAAATAAGACAACGCTATATTTATAAACATTAACAAAAGCAAAACATTAATTGTCCCCTTCACACTCATAAGTTAGACCGCGCGAGAGAGATGGGCAGACTTTTCATGATGCGCATGCAGTGCGACGTCACCCCGCGCGCTTATTCACAAACACTACACAAGCGCAACGTGTGAATGTGTTGAACGCGAGCTACATTGTAGGCGGAGTGGGGGGTGTTAGGTTTTATTGTCGTTACGGATTTTTTTGATTCGATCGCTGCGCTCAAAGGCCTCGATAAAAGCTATGTAATAGCTTTAAAAAATCGTAATTCGTTCTGCAATCCTCAATCTACGCCATCTCTTGACACTAAAAACACCCAACTCGTGACAAAAAACTAAAATTTCTTAAATATCTTCATCGTCATCAATTTGATTCTGTACATTCGGCTCGTTGATAATTTATAATCTGTCCGTGCGTGCGGCAGGAATCGTGGGAGGAAGTATCCCAGATGCGGTCGGCGCGGGCGGGGTGCGCGGCGGGCGCGGCGCACGGCGTGCTTGTGGCGGCGGGCGGCAACAGCGAGCACTCCGCCGACCGCGCCTTCTACCGCGCGCTCGTCACGCTGGCGTCCGTCGAGGTGTACGAGCCGCGCGACAACTGCTGGCGCGAGGCAGCGCCGCTGCCGCACGGCCTGGCTGAGGCCGGCGCCGCGCTCCTCTGACCTCCGCTCAAACTCTTTGTTCCTAATCTTCCGTTGCTCTGTTGCGACAGAGCCGCGCGTGTCTTGCGATTACACAAAGGACTATGTTTACAATTTTTAAATCGCTTATGATATTTCTACTGAAGGAATATATTCATTCAGAAATGGAGACGTTTGGTGCCGAATATTTAAGTTAATGCACGCTATTTAGAAAAGACTAACAAATAAAAATGAATCCCGCGGACTTGAAAAATATTTATTCAACGGTCATTGCGAATCTCATTTGTAAGATTAAATGTTTGTGGGCTAAGAGATTTAGTGTTTTGATAATATTAAAAGCTCGAACGATGTCGATGGTCGGTTGGTCCATTTAAAACTTAATATTATGTATATCACAAATTTCCAAAAAAATATCCTTCCCAAAAATATAAGTTATCTGTTATGATATTTAAGTAAGAATGATGCTGTTGGTATATTATTGAAACATTGTTTACTTTTCTTAATATCGTTTTGTCGTCGTGAGAGGGAACAAATATTTCTATTTTTATAAAGAAATATTTTGTTTAAACACTTAATTAAATAATTTTATAAGTTTAGTCCCTAAAATTGATTTTAAACGACATTATTATTTTAATTTAGTTATTCACTGATAGGCACATGGAAACCACATACAGTACAAATTGATGGGTTCTAACAATAAAATAAGAGCAGCACCAGGATGCTTGATCTTTGATTGAATTTAGTTTTTCGTCCCTCAAAGTGGCCAAACGCCCCGTTTCAACTTACGACTTACCTAACCAAGATAATTGGAACTATATACTTTGAAACATAAAAATGAAGTATCAATTTCATTGGTAAATCGGTCTTTCAAAATGAAACTCAGGGTTGCTTCGCTTACATGTTCACAATGTTAGTACAGTACTTAAAATTTTAATTAGATGGTTAAGTTAAATATATTTGTATTCCGCTACTGCAGGCAGATGAGCCGAAATTGAGTAGTAGCTAGTAAAGACCGCGATCGGGTGCCCGTTGTTCATTTTTCTAATTCTTAGAGAGACTAACTATTAATGTTAAAATACTCTGGTATGAACAATCGTTTCCACCATAGCCACATCAGCCGACANTACAGTACTTAAAATTTTAATTAGATGGTTAAGTTAAATATATTTGTATTCCGCTACTGCAGGCAGATGAGCCGAAATTGAGTAGTAGCTAGTAAAGACCGCGATCGGGTGCCCGTTGTTCATTTTTCTAATTCTTAGAGAGACTAACTATTAATGTTAAAATACTCTGGTATGAACAATCGTTTCCACCATAGCCACATCAGCCGACAAATTGTCGGGATGTATGCTTTTTAATTTTTTATTGTTTATGTTTTTTTTTTGTTATGAACTGTTGAGTATTTCTGACCTGAATTTACAAAAATGTAGTTCGGGTCCAAAGGTACGCCTAAATGTCAGTGTAGCCAAATGTTAAAAAATGTATGAATTAAGCACTTCGAAAAATATGTATTTTGTGCAAACTTTGCTTATATTGACAACTCTATTGAAAGGCTTTCTATTAATTACAACAGTTAATGTTTAAGTAGCATTTTAACTTTAAAAATTAATAATAAAAATTTGAAAAGCGTCTTCAAAAATAACACTTGAATTTGTAGATGAAGAACATAAAATCTTACTATCGGACTTTAACCGCTCTTTCTGACACAAGTGTAATCCAACACGATTTACCTACGTTAGTCATTTTATTTCTAAATTAGCTTTTATTGACATAGTATTCATAACTGTACTACATATATCTATTACTCAGCAATAATTCCTTCTCTGCCATTCCTCTCACCTTACCTGATCTCAAATGGGTACATAATGACATTCAAAATGGAATAAAAAAAGGATTCGCAACATTTTATAAAACCCGGAAAGTTTTATAAAATCATGCAACACTGTTTATTCCAGAAAAATGTGCCCGAGAGTTATAGAAACTATAGACATTACCGTGGTGTCAAAAATATCTTCTATAGAGAAAAATGCGGAAACTGCATTTTTCGAATAACTCATTTGACTGATTTTTCTTTAAGTAACGCTTTCTGAAATTGAATGGTGGGTTGTCTGTAGTTATAAATCTTAATTTTTTTTTATAATGTTTTTCGAATAGCTAGGCTAGCGTTGCCCCATTTTTTTAAAAGAATGAAATATGGTCTCTGTATAATTTGTAACTACAGAGAAAGAATTTGAAAGTATTCGTATTTAAATATAATAATAATATAAAAATAAAATTTTGCAACTTTTATATTATATACACATAAATAATATTTGATATATATAGATGATATTGTTAAAGGTTTTTCAAGGATTAAATTGGGTGATATTACAATAATTAAATGATTTTCACAACAAATTTTCTTTCATTTTATGAAGTTGATTAATTTCCTATGTCAAAATGTCGAATTAAGGATTAAATTAAACAAGTGTGAGATTAAATTTGAAATCAATCTTTTAATCAGGTTGGCGTCCGTAAATATATCAAATTATGATGCAATGTCCTATAATATAAAAAAAAAGAAATACTAAAAGGTGTGTACATATCAATATCTCAAATGTTTTATTTATTTATTAAATAAACTGCAAATTACACATAAATTTAACTTCAAGGCTGATATTTATTTACTACTACAATTTACAGTTTACAGCCTCTTTAAGACTTGGTTGTATCTTAGTATCGTCTCCATTTTCACGTTAATCTCCAGTATCGACTAGATTGATAATGCTGGAAACCTGGCGTCCATAGCATGAGCAAGTTCTTCCACCAAATATAAACGGCCAATTACACCTTCGAAAAGAGAGATGGGTCTGTCAGGTCGATGTAGTTCGGTCCCGGGTCGCTCTAATGCACACCACTCCATGAAACAACACGCCCGGTATAAATGAAGTGATTTCTAAAAACAATTTTTTTTGGTACATTAATAAGTTATACTAAAATAATGATCATGGGTTTTTAAGTTTTTACCACGGCAACACTGGTCGCGAATTGACGGAACATTCGCGACATGACATCACCGTCATTTGACAATTTATGAGACAAATTTATTATACTCCTAGCGTGAAAACAACAATCTTAACGATGGGTGAAAGGCAATTTGGTTTGAGCGACATTTTCGCAATTTTACAGGAGAACCAGTTATAGTCTAAAATTTGGAAAAAACATCATAACAAAAAACTTATTTAGTTATTTGAATGGAGTCAACTTAATTGAAGTTCAGTTAAAACATCCAACTGTTGATGCTAATCTATACTAATATATAAATCTACAGTGGTTTTTACGGATGTTCCGTTATAACTACTGAACCATGCATCCAATTGACTTGAAACTTGGTATCCATGTAGAAAATACATGTACTTAATGGATAGGCTAATATTAATTTTTTTTTCTGTTGCCCTTGTAGGCAGACTAGCATACGGCCCACCTGATGGTGAGTGGTTACCGTCGCCCATGGACTTCAGCAATGCCAGGGGCAGAGCCAAGCCGCTGCCTACCGCTAATACTCATATAAGTGTAGGACTCCCTAATAATAATGTTAATTTTAAATGCTCAGCGAACTGGGCAAGTACGGCTTGTACCAAATAAAACTTAACTTTAATTACAAAGATAAATTTCGCTTAAACCAAATAGCCAATAACCCCTCAATATGAGGTGTTATCATAATAGTATCAAGCGGCCCCTACGGTATCCGAAGGTGCTGCCTAAACAGCTATGTTTGGTGTATTTAAGGTTTTTTAATGGTTCGATTTGTGAATGAATTCACGGCCTGCCGTTAAATGTTTTCCGAAGCCATACTACTAGCAACGTAGATGCCGTCATGAACCATGAGACACAAATTTCAAATCTTAGATCTATAGTACAAAGGCTGCTCAGTCTTTCAAACCGGAACGCATTACTGCTACACTTCTGCAGAAATAAACGGGGTGGTCGTACCCATCTGGGCTCACATGACGGCATTCCACTAATAATTACGCAAATTGTAATTTTTGCGGTTTTTTTTTAATTCCTCGCTCTTATTCCTTAATTGTGATAGTATTTCGTGAACTCGCAGTACATGTCCTATTAGAAAAATTAGTACCCGCCTGCGAGATTGGAACACTGCCACAGTCGTGACGACTACGGTTATTAGCGGTAACATATTATGAATATAGGCCCCATATTTATTAGCAACGATGATCTTTGATTGTTGGTGTAAATCCTTCGACGGGGAGATAAAATGGTGTAATATTGTATGTTTTTCTCAGACCACGCGGTGTGTATATCAGTCTCTCGCGAAAGAATCTTATGTCTCTATCATTTAAATTGTGCCCTTTATTGTAGGTAGTCTTTTTGTGTAAAATAAAGAATGGTGTAGAATATACTTAATTAAACACTAAAAGAACATTATATAAAGATGTGCGATTTTGTCGTTAATACTAAGCTTTTCCATAAAAAGGTTAAACAGAACAAATTAAACATTCCCGATCCTGTGGACAGAATGGAAAGCAGACGACGCCTCTTAAGGCTATCAGAAGAGGTTAAAAAAAAACGAAATAAAAAAAAATACCTTAGTGGCTTGAAAAAGTTGAATGAAAGCGTAGGCATTTCCACTGACTCCATGACAAAGACTGTAACCTTTTGTACAGAGTCCACGTTGCCATATAACCTCTCCACAATGCAAAGCGATTTTTAAATATTTTTCATCTTCAAATACCTGTAAATTTTAAGCAATATTTATAAAATATCTGCGGGCGAGAACGCAACTCAGGAATCGGAAGGATGAGAAGGACATTATTAATTTGTTTACATACAGTGTGTAAGTAACAGATTTTTTTTATTGATTTATTGCTTATATGGGTGGACGAGCTCACAGCCCACCTGGTGTTAAGTGGTTACTGGAGCCCATAGACATCCACAACGTAAATGCGCCACCCACCTTGAGATATAAGTTCTAAGGTCTCAAGTTAGTTACAACGGCTGCCCCACCCTTCAAACCGAAACGCATTACTGCTTCACGGCAGAAATAGGCAGGGCGGTNTTTTTTTTATTGATTTATTGCTTATATGGGTGGACGAGCTCACAGCCCACCTGGTGTTAAGTGGTTACTGGAGCCCATAGACATCCACAACGTAAATGCGCCACCCACCTTGAGATATAAGTTCTAAGGTCTCAAGTTAGTTACAACGGCTGCCCCACCCTTCAAACCGAAACGCATTACTGCTTCACGGCAGAAATAGGCAGGGCGGTGGTACCTACCCGCGCGGACTCACAAGAGGTCCTACCACCAGTAATTTAGACAGTAAATTAGTACAGAAAAATAGTACAGTAATTACCTGATAGGCTAATATGCATAACGGCACGAAACCAGGAGCCCCATGACACCACTGGACCAACTTGTCTCCGTTGCTACTGTTCAAAGACGACGGAAAATTTCCACTCGGAAACTGTTGACTCAACAACCAATCCAGTGTGGGTTTTATGAATCGTCGAATCTCGACAATGTTCACGAACAAGCGAGCCTTAAACATAGAAAAATTGAAAGATTTTACATTCATTTGGAAAGTACTTAAAGAAACACGATAGAAAACGTGGTTATTGCATATTGTTTCCAAGGCTTTCTTGGAAACAATAAGCCCAACAACAAAAATAGATGATGCTGGTAACGACGCTTATGGGCTCACAATATTCTTTGCCAACAATTTCAGAACCTCGAAATGCTATGCGTAAATCTTATTTTGACTATTATTTAGTTGACACTAAATATACTCAAATAGATTTTAATTACTGGAACAAAATTATTAGGCAATACAGTTGAAGTAATTAGCGATAGTTAATGTGTGTTTGTAAACAATATTGTATTATGCGTCGCGCCATTAATGAACAAAATGGCGATAGTAAGGGCTTGAGGTACGTAAGGGCGTGAATAATTCATAAAGAATCAATGATAATAACCACAGCTACAGTTGATCTCACATTCCGACTTCACCTCACATACCGACTGGTCCAGGTGTTGACCGAGAACGTTTTCTCCGGAGAGTGCCTGCACCGTGTCCGAGCTGAGCCGACGGCAGAGTGCTAAGATTGTGTATGTGACT